GTGTGTGTGTCCGCTCCGACGCACGACTGGAGTTTACTGGATATAAAAAATTAAACGAAACAATACGAGAAATAGTTCTATATTACGACAACACGATACACTACAGATTATTAACAAATTAACGAGACACAAAACAAACGACTAACAAATATATGAAAATACAATAATGAGAGAAACGCGCGATCAGTACGAGGCTTTGTGGCGGACTGCCGGCGCAGGCGCATAACGCATTTCGTGTGACATGCTAGTACGATTTTGGTCCCCATAATTTTCATACCCCGGGCCTATATATGTAAATCGATTCTAAAGGAGTAAACTCCAAAAATTGGCGTATCGAATTTATGAAATTAAAATATAAATAATATTATGTTTTTCTGTAACAATATTTATTAAGAAACTAAATTTTTTTCATATAAATAATATGGAAAAATAGAGTCGAAACGTAATAATTATTATTAACAAAGGCCTACTTTTGACGCAAGTCGAAATGTTTCGGTTCACTGCGGCCAAGCCAACAAAAACTGATGAAAGTATCGTGCCAAAAAGAAATATGATCACTATTATAATATAATAATGAAAATATCGGTCACGCAATGGAATCAAAACATTATATTTATCGGCGAAATTCATTAAAGAAGCACAATAAGGAATTAGCTATTTATTAATTAATTGGTAAAGTGTAGAAGTTAGATTACAGCCCCGGACTGTTGCGCCGAGAGTTGTGGATTCGATTCCCAAATAGGGAAAACATTCGTGTGATGAACAGTTTTATTAGCTTTTTGTCTGGGGGTTTATTATCTATATACATATGTATATATTGAAACGTATGTAAGTATGTATACAAGTCTCCGGTACACATAACACCGGCAATCCTAATTTGGGGCCAGACGACAGCGCATGATGTGTTTCCAGTTCGTTATATTATGACAACTACCAATATCTTCTTGGGCATACGTCACTGATCCGTTACAGCCTACAAGCGGAAAACCATGAAATAGTAAATATGATCTTGTCTGAGCTAGGGAATGACTTTTAGATGTTTTTAAGTTCGGTTCTGAAACACGTGGTTCGATTGAACCTAACTCATAGACGCAGCAGAGTTTCTCGTCGGATCTTCTCAGTGGATCGCTATTCCGATCCGGTGGTAAATTCTGTGAAGCACTGCTCTGGCTAGGGCTAGTGTTAGCAAATTCTCACAAGTTGAGCCAGTGAGCTCACCTACCCGTCCCGTACCTGGCGTAACTGGAATAACCTCTTAGGTTATCAGCGAATAGGTACTTTACTGGTGGTAGGATCTTTTGTGAGTCGCGCGGGTAGGTACCACCACCCTGCCTATTTCTACCGTGAACGTTGTGGATGTCTATGGACTTCAGTAACCACTTAACACCAGATGGGCTGTGAGCTCGTCCACCCATCTAAGCAATAGAAAAACAAATCGATTGAATTGTGACCGTGACCGCCCCTCGTGTACGTAGAAAACAGAAAGAAATGTTTATTATCCATCCACGAGGTCTTCAATCAATGCCAGTTATGAGAGCGTGGCGAACGAAGCCGGATAAAAGCGTATCTGGTATGGTACGTGATGATATTATCAAATATTAGGTCGTATTCTTTCACTGTGTGATACAAGCTGTTCCCAGCACCAATGAGACCAGAATACGGCGCTCCAAATCCACTTCTGGCGTGCGAATGCTGCTAAGCAAACTCAAGGTGCGATGTTGCGAGAAAAAAACCGTGCCGTTTTATTGCCGTTTTGTTTGACATATAACGTGGGATGTGTTTGGACTTCAAATATATTTTTTTGTTGCTCAAATTGGTGGATGAACTCACGGCCCAGTTTTCCGAAATGCATAGACGTCTACAACGTAAATTCTGTCACCCACTTGGAGACATGAATTCTAAGGTCTCAATTTCTGCACAACATTTGATTTTTCAAATCGGTTTACAAATCGTGGAATTAACGAATATAAAATAACACAATGAAAAGAGCCCGCTTTTAATATATATTAAAAAAAATATCGAGTATTATTATTATTATATTAGATTTACGACAAGCCGGTGTAATTGAAAACTTTTAACTACACGCAATGTAGCATGATTTATAATGGATGCAACTGGCGTGTGGGGTCAACGTACTCCTAGTTTGGGCCGTTCTATGCAGAATATCTTATCATATGATTGAAGTATCAATTGCACTGATACAGCGGCAGTCCGCATCAAATTCTGAATGCAGAATACCTACCTGCGCCGACTCGCAACACGACCCGCCTAGGACTGTTAGTTCAAAGAGGTATGAACAAGGACATAAGTATTTTTCTTTCAACGAACAGACATGATTAAAAATAATTATTTATTTTAATTTTAATTAGCGTAAGAATTGAACAATTGAAAGCCACCGTTTCACCGTTCAGTCAAACGTTTGTATTATTCATGATTTACGAACAACTACATATCTTTAACATAGGAAATGTTAAAGAATGCGGAACATATCACACAATTATTACTCTTTAGCAACAGATATAAACCAACTTGTCACGATTATAACTGGTTATCGATTTTTATCATGTTCAACAGTTAATGTATGGTATGCGCCGGCTTCATTTGCATATCAGTCAATAGATGAGGTGATAGAATTGGTTAAGATATGTGTTGGTTGAGCTAAAAATCGACGTGTTGAGATAAACAATTGGCATAGCATTTTCTCAAAATTAATTAAGCATGTAAAGTATGTCTGTTGAGAAATAGCATGCGTAACACATTATGGCTACTGTTTTTAACCGACCACAAAAAAGGAGGAGGTTCTCACTTGGTTGTATTATATTTTATTGCCCTTGTAGGCAAACGAGCATACGGCCCACCTGATCGTGACTGGTTACTGTCGCCCATGGACTTCAGTAATTCAGTGGACTTCAGTTGGCAGAGACAAGCCGCTGCCAACCGTTAAGTACTCTCTACAAGCCTCATTTGAAGGAGAACATGTCGTAGCGCTCGGGAAGCACCGTGAAGGGGAGCTCATTCCAAAGCCGGATGGTACGTGTCAGAAAAGATCTCTGGACACGCACTGTGAATGAACGCAGTGGCTCTAGGTAGTATGGATGATCTCGGGGTGGCGGTAGGATTGTATTATTTTCAAATTATCCTTCGATTTTCTTGTGTTAAAATTTAGTATTATGTACTACTAGCGACCCGCCCTTGCTATTATATAGCCTTATATATTGCCTTGTTATTATACATATAAACCTTCCTCTTCAATCACTCTATCTATTAAAAAAAACCGCATCAAAATCCATTGCGTAGTTTTAAAGATTTAAGCATACATAGGGACAGACAGATATAGGGACAGAGAAAGCGACTTTGTTTTATACTATGTAGTGAAGACGTGTATGATGAAGACTCACGGTGCTGGCGGGGTGGGCAGGCAGGAGGACCACGGGGGGGTGTTTGTTTCTCTGTTTCCGAACGCCGTGTCGTGTCCGCCCCGTCGTCGCAGTTCCTTGACCCAGCCAGTGCGTCACCAATTTCTCCTTGCTGTTCGCACTCCCAAACTCCTGAGTCTCGTCCTTTTGGACAAAAAAAAGTTTCTAATATTGAAAAGCTGATGTGTTAATGAGATCTAATCATGATTTTAGTGTCAGATATTCCGCGCGTCTTAGAAGTAGCTGCAGCCAGTGTTAGAGATGGACAAATATCTGTAACCACGGAAACTGCAGGAGATCAGGGATCGTTTAGCTTAACCTAACCTCACACATATATCGGGCGGTGGAGACCTATTTGGTTTGGGCAACATTTTCGGCAAATTTACATTTAGTTTGAAATTTGGAAAAAGATCATAACAAAAACAAATCTTCAGCTATTTTAATAAAGTAAATATTGCTGCTAATTCCAAATAAAACGCATCCTTAATTACAAAGTGTCGCGTATTAAGCGAAGTGTGGCTTAAACCAAAACATCCTTTCAACCCTCGATATGAGTTTTATATCCAGCTTTGTTAACGACTATGCTTAAATGTTTTCCAAAGAAATGTTTGAAGTCTTGAGGATCCTTTGTGTTACATCTTAACTTTATTAACTACACATACAGAGTTATGACAAACTACTGTTACAAAAATACTACAAGAATCTCGTGATTAGTCATAAATAATGTATGGTCCATATGTAAGAATGTCGCATATCGCAAGACCACGTACCACACGTAAGGTATACTCACGAGTTCTCACCATAGGTTTTAATGTTTTATTTATAAAAAGGATAATAATGAGCAGTAGGCAGAGGCTTGGCTCTGTCCCTGGCATTGCTGACGTCCTTGAGCGACGGTAACTATTAATCATCAAGGGGACCGTATGCTCGTCTACTTAAAAGGGTACTAAAACATTCATTTTCATTCATTTCAAGCATTAGCGAACAAAAAATATTCATCTAACCTTTTTTTTCTTCAATGTCTCTCCCTGAAGTTTTATCTCCAACTCCTTACATAGTTTGTGGTTCTTATTTCTCTCCACGTCTTGAGTCTTTTTGGCTTCGTCTACTGTAACCACAAACGGCTGACCTCCTTTAAAAGTGGGATCGAATTGGTTATGGTCGAAGGGTTGCTTCGGGCGGAAGCAGGGACATATCCTCTTAGACAAGTGGTAGATACTGACGATGCTGATCAAGCAGTGCGCTGTTGCAATGATCAGCAACGCTATGTTGGTCAGAACCGGCGTCCATGCTTGCATTTCATCCTGCGAAACGAAAAACACAGGAATAAGGGTTAATTTTACATTTGATCTAAAGAAATTTACTGTCAGTTAATTCACAACATAAACCAATGGACCTTTGTATTGAAATTTGAAGGACACGCTCAGGAGGGATTTTGTATCCTTTTATATCCCTTTCCTACAGGGTTAATAATGGTGATGAAAATATGCTTTTAAAGTTACGATTTGATAAATTTTAGTTTGAATTCAAATCAGTACTCGTGGAACACACTTTATTATTGCGAACTCAATGAAAGTTCAAATATTTGTAGTAGTTTACAAGGATAGTATATCCCATAAAGAGCTATAATTGCCAGAAGAGAACAGATGGCAAATAGGAGAAACAAATCAGAAAGTCTCATCCTTATTTTACCGTTCGTGTGTAGTTCTGTGAATCCACACGGGTGAACCATTATCTCTTGTCGAGAACCTTTCGCTCCTTCCAGTCTAATCATAAAAACTTCCACATCCTGGATGAAGGCGAGCGGTAGCACTCACTTTCTGTATATAGATGGGTGGACGAGATCACAGCCCACCTGATGTTAAGTGGTTACTGGAGCCCATAGACATCTACAACGTAAATGCCGTCACCCACCTTGAGATATAAGTTCTAAGGTCTCAGTATAGTTACAACGGCTGCCCCACCCTTCAAACCGAAACGCATTACTGCTTCACGGCAGAAATAGGCAGGGTGGTGTTACCTATTCGTTCGGACTCACAAGAGGTCCTACCACCAGTAATATATAGACTCGAGTGATTATTTAAAACCTTGTGGCACGTGAGCTCGTTAGTTTCTCTATTAAATTAAAAGGTACAGCGCAGTATGCTGATAGGAGGGATCTTCTGTATCTTGTAGTTTATTCGATCTTTACACGAGATAAAGCTATCAACCCTTCGAAGCGCAGACGTGAATGTATTTGCTAAACAAGCACAAAGCCCACTGTACATTAATCAGTGAATTAGTTAAATTTGAAGGCAGTTGACATTGGCCCAGTAAACGCAGCGATAGGCACATTGTAAAGGTGTTGTGTAATTTTCTCACGCATATTTAAGATCGATTATTTATGAGTGCTTGAAGCTCGGGTACATAGATTACGTATACCACTGCTGGTTTTGTACTAGAGCCCGGAAAGTATCAGAATCTTCGGACATTCTTCTGACAGACAGCATTTTGATTTTAGACGTCATTTGACCTTCCTCGCATCGTACCCCTTTTATCATTTTAATTTCCATTGTTACGAATATTACTTATTTATTGTTTTAACAGGCCGTTTTACTAACAGATACGCCGATCCATTAACGGTGCTCTTAGATACCACAAGCACCAGTCACCGTCCTCGTCAGACCCGTCGCTTGCGACGAAGGGCTCGACGAGTAAATTAACCCACAGACACAGCCCAGTGAGTTTCTCGCCGGATCTTCTCAGTGGATCGCGTTTCCGATCCAGTGGTAGATTCTGCGAAGCACTGCTCTTGCTAGGGCCAGTGTTAGCAACAGTCCGGCTTGAGCCCCTCAAGGCTATCAGAATAGGTAGGAAAAAAAAAGTAACAGATAACACATGTCGAGATGTGTTCAGTAGGAAATAAATCAAATTTCTATTTAGTTAACATGGTGGCTCATGCGTAATTTCTTATGTTGTAAACACTTTACACAAGGTACAAGGATAGCCAATTTTCTCTAGATTGGGCAATTTTAACCCAGTTTTTAATTGTGTATATCTAATAAAAGTATTTAATTTTAGCAATATTCATTCAATAAGTTGATTAGGAAATTTAAATACATAATTAATTCCACATTTTACTTAAACAATATTTATTATAAAACTATATGTCATAAAATGCGCACAGATTCCTTCTGAACAAACAAAAAACGCCTGAAATACTACGTGGCCATCAAATGAAATTTACATACTGAATATAATCTTATCAACGACTTCAAGGGACCTTCAGCTCGCGAATTGCAAAACTAACACCAAACATCAAACTAACATCAAATATGCATTTTTCTTATGACCCATCAGGCACTTTATGTTTTATTACACAACATATTAACTTTACGAGTATGTATTTATGTATGTGTGTGCGTGTGTGTGATGAACGGAGGCCAAACAAGATCTCGAATAATTACGAAACACATCTTCAGTTCACATGCCCTTAACGTGACTGATGTGTTTAACATCAAAAATATCAAACCAAATCTATAGTTAAATGTTCAATCTATACTAATATTATAAAGCTGAAGAGTTTGTTTGTTTGAGCGCGCTAATCTCAGGAACTACTGATCCGATTTGAAAAATTCTTCTATTATTCAAATTTTTTTTCACTTTCTACATAAATGAAGTCGCGGCTAAAATTTAGCGTTATGCCAAAGTAACTATTCCACGCGGACGAAGTCGCGGGCAAAAGATAGCTAATAATATAAAGGTCAGAATGTAATTTTGTTTTTTTCTATTTGGACAGGCGATCTCCCAGTCCTTTTAGATATTCAGTAGTTACAGAAGCCCATCACCCTCACATCGAAGTCTCGACCGAATTAGGCCGTGTCTGTCCCAGTCTTCAAATTTGCACAAATGACTGCTTTCTCGATCTAAAAGCTAAAATCCCTAAGCTAAGATTAAAAATTTGAATTTTCATCATTACTGAGAGTAGGGTTTATTCCGATATAGACAGGTACAGAGGCTATCTTGGATCTAGACCGAGGTTTGAATTATAATGAAACAACACCCTTCGTACCTTGCACAAGGCCTAAAATGGCAGCGAGAGTGGTAGGGGCACTACGACAGCCTCCGAGAACAAGAGTCACCACATCAGAATTCGGACTATAGATACGGTGCTTAGACACGAAAAAAAATAATTTAAAACTTGTCAACCTTCAACTTTGAACTTCGTGCAGTAAATATTCGTAAAACTACGTTCCCATGCTGTCGTACAGCGTATATCGGCGGGCAGTTAAGATTATTGTAACTCATTGATTTTTTTTAATACGCTTTTATTAGCTTCAGACGTATGTATGTTAGTATGTAACGGAATCTTTGAACATGATTTTGACCCCCTTCAAAACGTCGGATTAGCTCGAAATTTGGCATACTTATTAAGGACCGATGACAATTCAATATTTAAAAAAAATATTGAAAAAATTTAAATTCAACTAAAAAATGAAAAAGAAATAATAGTTTAAAAAACTAAAAGAAATAATAGTTTAAAAAACTAAAAAAAATACGCGTTTTATAGAAAATCCAACTAAAAAGTAGAAAATAAATTTGAATTAAAAATAGTCTAAGAAAAAAATATTTTATTGTAAAAAAGCGTGGGTTACTTTTCAGGATATTATTATCAAAATAACCCTTCCACATATCTTTCATAAAATATTTATAACTACTGATACCATGCACCCTACGCTCTTTGTACAATAAAATCTTTTTTACACTATTTTTAATACGTATTTATTAAAATTTATTTTATTTCGAACCCTATTGGAGATTCACTTTCCGTCTCTCATAAAATTAAATATAGAAATTGGTTTAAGGACATATTAACGTTCATACATCGCTCTATGCCAATCTTGGAACTTCCGTGCGCGCAATGTACCTACTTAAAAAGGGTATTCAACGAACTCCTACAACGAAATAATAAAAAAATTGTTTGACCAGATCCACATCACCCTTGATCGTACCGACAAAGATGCTCTCTGAGGAGCCGGAGACAGAATGAGATGGCATAACATCATGAGGATGTAATTCGTTGATGGATGTAGTCACCTTCAGACACGAGGTGCATGATGATAGGAATAAATGCATTAAGGGGTCTTCTTGAAATTTATTGAATGCATGCAAATAATTGCACGTATATATATAGAAATAACTTTTTTTTTGTTTAGATGGGTGGACGAGCTCACAGCCCAGCTGGTGTTAAGTGGTTACTGGAGCCCATAGACATCTATAACGTAAATGCGCCACCCACCTTAAGATACAAGTTCTAAGGTCTCAGTATGGTTACAACGGCTGCCCCACCCTTCAAACCGAAACGCATTACTGCTTCATGGCAAAAATAGGCGGGGTGGTGGTACCGACCCGTGCGGACTCACAAGGCCTCCTACCACCAGTAAATAACTATAATAATAACTACCTACTAACTAATAACTCAATCCTGAGGGTGAAATAATTTAAATTTACACCTAGTTTTGAAATGAAAAGTAATTACGATAAATGTGCTAAGATAATAATAGTCTGCATCAAAAACGGTGGAGCCTTAAACAACATTAAGGCAATAAAAAAAATCACCGACGATCCGCTAAGAACCGTAACGAAGATAATAATAATTAGAGATTCGGTAGAGTTACCCGCGGCGCCATCGTGAGTGATATGAAATGTCACCTACTACCAGTGGTCAATAAAATAAGGTATCAACTAATTTGTTGCCTCACAGCTTGAAGCTTGATTTAGGATTTTTAATTGTTACTAGCTGGCCCGGCAGACTTCGTAGTGCCTCAATTGATAAATAAAAGACACATCAAGGGGACACATCAAAGGAAAAACAAAATTGTTATTTTTATTTAATTCCGAGTATCTTCATATTTATCTACCTCTTAAACCTTCTCTGGACTTCCACAAATAATTCAAGACCAAAATTAGCCAAATCGGTTATCGAGTTTTAGCGAGACTAACGAACAGCAATTCATTTTTATATATATACTTATAGATATAGATTTTACAGTACAATCTTCGCACGCTTGTCTCAAGGTGGGTGGCGGCATTTACATTACGATCTCACTTTAATGTCTAATGAGCAACAGCAATTCGTAAATACCAAGTATTTTTTTATAATCGTAATATCATATATTACTTTAAAGTGTAATAAAATGAACTCCTAACAAAACTAACAATAGTTTAAGTATTAAATAAGTGTTTTCTTTACTGCCTCCACAATGGCCAAAAAATAATTGCTATAATAGCAATTATTATTATTGTTCGCATGCTTCGATAGGCGATGCGAGAATTTCTCTTCAATTAATTTCTCCAATAACGTTCATAAGATCGTAATTATGACAAGTAATAGTGTGATTGGACGCTATAATCAGAAAAATTACATTTAGTTAAATTATGTCGGCGCCATTTTGTGTTCGTCTTATTATATGTGTGGTAGAACTATACTTTTTAAATTCCGCTACAGCCGTATCACAACTTGAATCTACCAACCTCCCTGGAAGCAGATTTAATCTTACAATCATTGAGATATCGTAAATAGACAAAACCGTGGACTAGATTTCATGAACAGTTTTCAAAGGTGTTAAGAAGAATATTCTAGACCGAATGCTAGCTGAAACAGGGAGAGACAGCTGAACGAACGAGTTTCCATATAACAGTAATCCGATCTGGCTTTGCGATCACTGGCTTTCAAACTTTTTAATCAGTGACTATTTGGTTGGTTGCTGCTACTCCCTCGATTCTATGGTGGTGTACTTTGAGAATTTAAATATGTTTATGTTTATGCATTATTAGCAGCTGTAGGGACAAGGATATTTTTTTCGTTATTACTTGATTCAATTTTGTTATTCATCGATACTAAGTTAATTAAGTTAATTAATGTAAATACTTAAGACCCAATATTATTTAATTTTAGAAATCACTTAAAAATTTGAATCTGAACTTTGGCAATCGCTGATCTAAATAGTTATAAAAAGATGTAAACTGTTTGTACAGTTAAATAGCGCTAACAAAAACAGTTGCTAATCCGACATTTCGTATTGTTGCGAATGTTTTGATTTTAGTTGCATTTACGTAAAGACTCGTGTACTAGATACTAGCTGCGCATTATGTACAATATTAATTATTAATGTTCAAGGATAAGTACCACCACCCCGCCTATTTCGTCCATGAAGCAGTAATGCGTTTCGGTTTGAAGGGTGAGGCAGCCGTTGTAACTATACTGAGACCTTAGAACTTAGATCTCAAGGTGGTCACCTACCAGCTGTAACGTAGCTGGAATAGTTAGGCTATCACCGAATAGGTAGAGGAACCAAAGTGACAAACTGGGGTCTGAGAACCTGAGCGCAAGTTGTCGCACGCAGAGTTCGCCAATACGAGGGACACACAAAATATAAAATTAAATACTAACCTCAAAGCTAGCGGGTTCCACGGGCTGTGCTCGCATCGTGTCGCGTTGTAGCCCAGTGGCCGCTAGCACTGCAGCACTGTTGCCACACGCTAAGCACAGCAAGGACAACGCCAAAAAAGCCGTCAGTAACGGACTCCTGTGGACAAATCAACATTTACATGTGACTTCATTTCTTATACAGGGTTACAGGGATGCGGTTTGAAATGGCATTGAATAAATATGGTTTTAAAAGGTCTTTGGTTACGAGATACTTATAACCGAGATATTACTTCGTAACAATATATTTTCCAGTTTTTAAGTCAACACACTCAGACAGAGGAGGCTATTTTAAGAATAGACTGGTTTATTTAAAATAAATTTCTTTAGAATTATATTTGTATCTTCGTTCTAATCGTGGTATCTGATTAAAATTTGTGCAACGCTGCAGGGATGTGGCGAAAAACATAATATGGAGAGCCCTTTTTAACCGACTTTAAAAAAGGAGGAGGTTGTTATTTCGACTATGTTTTTTTTATGTTTGTTACCTCATTCATAACTTTTGACTGGGTGAATCGATTTTGATGATTCTTTTTTTATTAGAAATTTAGTCCACTTCTGATAATGGTATCCATGAGAAAACCATAGAAGTTTTAAATTTGCATTAAGTACGTGCGCGACAAATAGATGAATAAACTCAATAACTCAATATCACGCCAACCGATTTCGATGATTATTGTTTTTAGTGTATATTACTTATTATAATTTGTTTTGGAATATCTTTTTTTTTTCTATTTGAAGTCGGTTTTTGTTAAAGCATGTCTGTTTACAATTATTATTTTAATGCTTACACGAAACATTTCGATGTTGTTCCACTAAATTAGATGCTAAAAAGTGAAAACGTGCAGCGGATTCCGCGGTCGCCCTCGCTGCTTATATTTATTGTGTCAAACATTTTGTTTGAATCTCAAGTAGTTCCGACTGACAGGTGTAAGTGGCACGTCATTGCTTTCACCGGCTGCTGCGGTGTTACATCACGGAGATGTGCGCCGCGCCGGCCCGCCGAGGTTTTGTGGAATTCTTGCCTTCATTAACTGAAATGTACCTTTGGTATTACCTACTTCTCGAATTCGAAGTCGTCGTGGCCTAAAGGATAAGACGTCCGGTGCATTCGTATCTAGCGGTGGAACGATGTTCGAATCCCGCAGGCGGGTCGGGTACTAATTTTTCTAATGAAATACGTACTTAACAAATGTTCAGGATCGACTTCCTCGGTGAAGGAATAACATTGTGTAATAAAAATCGGACCCGCAAAATTATAATTTGCGTAATTACTGGTGGTAGGACCTGTGAGTCCGCACGGGTAGGTGCCACCGCCCTGCCTATTTCTCAGTAATGCGTTTCGGCTTGAAGGGTGGGGCAGCCGTTGTAACTATTCTGAGACCTTCGAACTTACATCGGGTGAGGCCAGAATAGTTTCTAAAGGCTACTTGCAGTAGGGAGACAAGAAAAGAATACGGGTTCACGAACACTGTTGTCTGCTTATGTTACCTTGGTTTACCCTCTTTGACATTAAGAGCGTTACGTTAGCCACTAAATGTCAATTTACTTTAATTAACTATAATTTTTCTAACACGATTTTACGAGGTTTACCGAGCCCGGAACAATCACAATTGTAGCCTGTCTTCATTTCCGTGAACAGTCTAGAATTCACTTAGGATTTTGCGATAGTTTTTCCAAACTTCCGAAAACATGACGAAAAAAAAACGAAGAAACATTGCGCGCGCGAGTCGGCCTACAATAAGATTTCACAACAAGATCACAATTAATAAAAGCAAAAATAAAACATTTTGAAATTCTGCGGCTAGTACGTTCAAACAATCACTCGCCGGCTAATAAACTGTAGCTATAAATAAATAAAACTGAATGGTTATTGCCATAGATACTCATGACTTCGATATCAACCTGTGCGGTCCTGCTAATTAGGACCCCTATTAGTCGATCGAACTTAAATTCATGACATAAATTTATTTGCAGTTGTCTTTTGGAAGCGGAAACCTAATGAGCCTTAGTTTATTTTAATTTACGTTTAATATCTTTCGTCTGAGCATTCCTTATTAGATAGCCTGACGTGCCATTTTCTTCGATACTTTGAGAGTGAAATAAAAGGCATGCTTCGTTATACTTATTTCAAAGCTCTTATTTTTGTTAAAAGTAATTTTCTAAATGTTTATGTATGGCAAAAACAATGAGTCTTATGTTACTTATAAATTTGGTGGGCTTGTAAATTCTTTTTTTTTTCTTCCCTACCTATTCGTTCATAGCCTCATGGGCCGAGCTTACGGGGTCAACCTGAAAAAATTTGCTGACACTAGCCCTAGCCCTAGCAAGAGCAGTGTTCTGCAGAACCTACCACCCACTGAAAAGAAGCGGCCAGAAACTCACTGGAATTAATGCTTATTACTCTATGTTATACCATGTTTGATGTTGTGTTACACACGTTGTTCGTTAGCACGTGCTAAATGTGTATGCATTGAGATTTTTTTTTCCGCAACTGAATGACCGTGCTCACGGCCGACACAAACATCATAACTTAAAGTCTTTACCCAGTTTGAATCACGATATCGAATTCTCAGTTCTAATACATAATAACTGTCTTTTCAAATCGAAATGCAATTCCGGCATTTAGCACGGGACGGTGGCAGCCAACCGTGCGGACTCACAATACGACCCGCCATCCATTAATAACGTGTAAATTACTGTAAATAATTACCAATTGTTCACGAGAAAAACAGTGATGAACGCAATTTTAAAATGTAAATGCTCACTCGTCTACAACTTCGCTTTTTGTATTGTGCATCTACAAGAGTACCGTTGTTCTTAGGTTGACTGCGCCTTTGTGTATGTTTGTTCGTCTGAGCGGCATTCTAGTACAGCGGCTCTCAAAGTTTTTTACTTGTTGACGCCTCAACGTCTTCACACATTCGTAACAGCAGGTTGACAACAAACAACTGTCTAATTATGACCACTGAACGCCACCAAAATATCTTAAAATCCCTAAATGCCCAAAGACTTTAACTCCCGAGATTTTCCTGAATAGATATCGATATGTCGAATAAACGTCAGAATACGAGGTTCTTTATCGATGATCTTCGTTATTGTCGGGTCTCGGTGGCGCGTGTGCATCGCGCGGAACCACATGCATGGCTGACTGCAAGAGAAATGGTACGGATTCAACGGGGAGCTATGTTTTGTTTCACTTCACTATGTACATACTTCACTGGTCCTTTTGTTTCATATATAATTTACTTGCTATATTCCAGCAAGTGTTCTTTTTTTTCTCCTACCTATGCTTATAGCCTTGAGAGGCTATTTCAGCTTCACCCTAACGTGTAGGTGAGCTCATAGGGCTCAAACCGGAGTGTTGCTAACACTGGCCCTAGCAAGAGCAGGGCTTCGCAGAATCTACCACCGGATCGGAAACGCGACCCACTGAGAAGATCCGGCGAGAAACTCAGTGGGCTGTGTCTATGGGTTAATTCGCTCTTCGAGCTCTTCGTCGCAAGCGACGGGTTCGGTGAGGACGGTGACCGGTGCTTGTGAGTTGTGGTACCTAAAAGCACCGTTAGTGGATCGGGAGGATCCGTAATGACGTGTTTTGAGCGACGTCGACTCAACAAGTGTTCATAGCCGAAATTATTTCCTCTCTGTTCTCCAATCCAACTCCTGAAGCCTTCGTGCAACATTTCTTCTGTAGAATTAATTAAGTCCCAGGATCTTTCTTCTTAATCGTTTACGCTCTTGGCAGAACGATCGTCGTCATCAGCTCGGGTGGCGGTGTACTCCACGAGACGTCGCCATTCCTCACGTACCGCGGCGTTTCTTGTGCACTCGTTGGCGGTATCATTTAGAGCGGCCTTTATTTGGTCGAACCATCGGAATTTTAATTTGCCGCGCGGTTTTGTACGCTCAATCATACCCTGCACCACAAGGCGCTTCACTGAGCCGTAAATCCGTCGCGACACGCGTCCGAAGAAAGAGAAAACGCGACCTTGAACGATGGAGGATAGACGCTGCCTGATGCCGAGATCCTGTAGAATTGACTGATTCGTTATGAACTGGATTCGTACAGTCCAAGGATCTTGTCGGCTATTAATAATGTCGGCCACTGGGAAATCTTCGCAAATCTAGCTTTTTTTTAGTGCTTATATGGGTGGAGGAGCTCACAGCCCACCTGGTGTTAAGTGGTTACTAGAGCCCATAGAAATCTACAACGTAAATGCGCCACCCACCTTGAGACATAAGTTCGAAGGTCTCAAGTATAGTTACAACGGCTGCCCCACCCTTCAAACCGAAACGCATTACTGCTTCACGACAGAAATAGGCAGTACCTACCCGCGCGGACTCCCAAGAGGTCCTACCACCAGTAATTACGCAAATTATAATTTTGCGGCTTTGACTTTTATTACACGATGTTATTTCTTCACCATGGAAGTCATTCGTAAACAATTGTTGAGTACGCTCGAGCTTGAGGTAGGATATGTTACCACTGCTTTACCACCCGTGTATGTAATAATAACGTACTGATGGATCACATGTCTCAAGGTAGGTGGAGGTATTAACATAGTGATGTCTCAAAGCTCTTGAACACCAGGAGTTTATCTACACAATTAAAACTTCGTGCCTAATTGATTTCTCTTTAATAATATAATTGATTATTAGACGTAAGGCAAAGTATGCAAATTAAGCTTTGGTAATTTATAATCTTAAAAAGATGGCGAATACAATACACAGAATGGTTGGCGCTTATCTAATCACCTTTACAAAAACTAAATCCTCATCTCAAATAAACTAATAGACCTCAATATTGTAAGGAGCCTCTGTTGCGATAAATCGATAAACAATCTGTAATAATAAATCTTTAAACATTTAACGCAACATTCAACATTAATTCTTCACAAATTATAAGTTATCTTTTGTCATTCGTAGAAGTTGAATTAATTTGTCAACATTTTAATTTTTAAAGAAACCAGAAAATATTATAACACAACATTTCGTGTAATATCTGTAGTAATAAACCTGCTTCGCTGTCAAAGATGTACTTATTTTTTACTAAACTACTCGATTGTATAACAGAACGTTAATAATGAGTTTAATTAGGAAGTAATTCGATTGGCTTAGTTCGGCGTGACTCCGAAGCTACGGGGCTTCCGTTTGTTAATTTGGCGACACCGTCTGTGACGCTCCATCGAACTGCGGAGAAAAACTTATTTTTCTAATTTAGATTCAACATTTATTACCATTAATAATGGTAAATCATGACACGAATATCAAATATTTTTGGAATTAGCTGCATCCGTTTCTGTAAAGGCTGTTTCCGACTGAAGTATGCACAGCATGTCTGTTGAATTCTGGCATGCATAATATATGGCTACTCTTTTTAACCGATCACAAATAAGGAGGAGGTTTTTTTGTGGGTGGACGAGCTCGCAGCCTACCTGGTTAAGTGGTTACTGGAGCCCATAGACATCTACAAAGTAAATACCGCGATCCACCTTGAGATATGAATTCTAAGGTCCCAGTGTAGTTTCAAAGGATGCCCCACCCTTCAAACCGAAACGCATTACTGCTTCACGGCAGAAAGTAGGCAGGGTGGTGGTAGCTACCCGTGCGGGCTCACAAGAGGTCCTACCACCAGTAATTACGCAAATTATAATTTTGCGGGTTTGATTTTGATTTTGCGGGTTCTCAATTGGTTTTACTTTATTTTATGTAGGCATACGAGCATACGGCCCAACTGGTGGTGAGTGGTTACCGACGGTCATGGACGTCAGCAATGCCAGGGACAGAGCCAAGCCGCTGTCTGCCAAATATTTCACATAGCTCAAATATTTGTTTCAACTAAAATGTTGTTTTCTCGTATACAGCTTTTATATTATTTAGTGAAGCTTATGCCTTGCAATGTGACAAGATTAGATAGAAGTTAGACTTAAATCTAAGCCGTTTAATTTGAAACAAAGCCGACGTCCTCATAAGAGGCGAGGTTCGAATCTTAGCTGTATGGTATCGTGGATGCTCTACCTTTATCACTGCAGGAATAGACAGGGCGGTGAAACCTACCCGTGCAAGACGACAATTCTTTAATTACACGATGTTATCCCTTCATGGTCGAAGTAGGTCGTGTAATTAGATACCGACGGATTTACTTAAAATTTGTTAATTGTTATTTCCATTGGGATGTTTGTTTTTTCAATCGCGCTCTATGCGTTCGTGTTTTATGTATGGTTGACTACCTGTCGTTACCCGCAGCGGAACAAAAGGTAGTCTATAATTCTATATCACTATTCTGATCTGACGCTATGATTTAAAAAACAATTCAATCCTTGCTTCGTTTTGGCGTTTAAAAGTTAAAATAAAAATAAACAAACAAAGTTTCACTTTTTATAATATTAAGTATGAATTTAAGTCTATACAGCTTAGACGAAAGCATTGTGTGAACAACATTATTGTGACATTTATCGAATAGTGATGTACCAACAAAACAAATCATTGTTGACCTTACGCAATTGATTAGATATTAATATTTCACAGTGATGGTGTCCCGATATATTCGATTCAAAACTGTGCGTTGTTACGTAATCATTGTATAACGTATACATTATGTAACGCGATTCTATGAGTCCATTGAATATTAATTAACTAATGAAATAAGCCTGAAAACAGCGCACGTAGTGTGTGATTACTGATCATTATATTCTCTATTATTATAATTCACTAGCTGACCCGGCAGACTTCGTAGTGCCTCAATCGATAAATAAAAGACCTAAACTTTTGTGTAAAATAAACTTAAAACAAACAAAAGGAATCCGTCCGACGGGGGACATCAAAGGAAAAACATAAACCGAGCATATTCATATTTATCTACCTTTTAAACCTTCTCTGGACTTCCAAAAATAATTCAAGATCAAAATTAGCCAAATCGTTCCAGCCGTTCTTGAGTTTTAGCGAGACTAACGAACAGCAATAATTTTTCATATATATAGATAGATATACAGTGTATAATACCATATTTGCGTAATTACTGATCACTGAGCATCTCCTGCTGTGCCACAGATTCACTCATTTTCATTTCCGCGGTCAAGTCATGCTCTCCGGCTTAAAGGAGACCTAATTGAGATTTCATCCTCAATGTGCATGTAGTATTCTAGTTGTGATGTCCATGGACTCCTTACGGTGTACATAATAAGTAGCTTCACGGCGCTATATATAAACATTGCATTGAATGCAGAAGTCTTGATAGATCTATGTGAATATTTTATACTTTTCGTATTTTAAAGCTGATAACAACGTAGAATACGTTTCTCGCATTTCAATTTTTTTTATCCTACCTAAGTTGGTTGCCTTAGAGCAGCGGTCGGGGAACTGGGGTAAATTACCCCAAATGGGGTAAAAGGAAATTTTGGGGGGTAAAAATGAAGCTTTTGTAAGTAAAAAGTATAATATTGAAGTGAAACTTCTTTAGAATCGTTAATTTTTTTAGTTATTGTTTTCTTTTCAAAATTATCAAGGGGGCTATAATATAAAAGATACTAAAAAGAAGCGATTTCGTTTTTTTTTATTCTTCGCCATGGGGTAATATCAACTTACACAAAAATATTTTGGGGTAATATTTTTTTTTTTTTTATTGCTTTGATGGATGGACGAGCTCACAGCCCACCTGGTGTTAAGTGGTTACTGGAGCCCATAGACATCTACAACGTAAATGCGCCACCCACCTCAAGATATAAGTTCTAAGGTCTCAGTATAGTTACCACGGCTACCCCACCCTTCGAATCGAAACGCATTACTGCTTCACGGCGGAAATAGACAGGGTACCACCAGTGAGATTATTAAAAAAGTTCCCCGACCGCTGCCTTAGAGGGCTATGCCAGCGTAACCGGGCAAGTAGATGAGCTCACGGGGCTCTAACCTGAGGACGTTGATAGCACTAGCCCTAGCAAGAGTAGTCCTTCGCAGAATCTACCACCGGATCGGAAACGCGACCCACTGAGAAGAAACACAACAAGATGAAAAAACTGACAGGCGCCACGTATCAGACAAACTTATTTAACTAAATACAATAAGGATTGCGGTGTATGCGAGAGCATCCCAACACTTATGTACCCTGTCAAAGATATAATCTTCTTTCTTTTGTGCCATAGTAGGATAATAATGCTGTGAAACAACTCTAATTTTACGCATGTTAAAGACTAGACCATTATTGGATTTCATCGTGGGAACTACTTGAATAGAAAAATGATTGCTCGTAACCTAACTATGTTTATCTTTCTTACTTAATTCACAGTTCTACTTAAAAGGTATTTCTTGAGATACAACCTAAAAAGCTGAGTGATTTTGAATACATATTATTATTTTTAAAGGTGCTCTTTTAAATCGATTGTATTTAATCTAGCAGGAAGTAAAATAAAAATAATTTCTTTTGGTGTTGTTGCAATTGTAAATTTTTTAATTAGCTAATTTTCGTTATGTTTTTACGCAAGATAAATTAATAGTTTACTATCATGTCGGTCGCCTTCAGCTTCTATAATAATAAAACTAAACCACATTCATCTTTTGTATTTTCTGGGTTATTTATTTTATTTTATATTAAACGCGCGAAAACACATAAGCGAAGATAGCTACTAACTATAATAGGAGTGTTTATTATCTTGTGTTTTCTTCTGTATTGGTATTTGTGAGTTGTAGACGTAATTAATATTACTTTTACGGTTAAATCTTGCGTTTTTTATTGTCGTCCGTGTGTGTCGTCCGTGACCAGGGAAACTGTACAATCGTCCGAAATACCATAACAAGATGATAATAAAGAAAACACTAGATTAAAACACAAAAGTAGTTTTTATTAATCTTATTCTTCAGACGAAAACAATTGTTTAAGAGACGAAAATTATTTAATCAACAGACATAGCAAATTGTCTGAATGTTAAAGAATATTTTACCATTGCATCGGTTCCGAAAGAGCGGCACTCGTAGGTTTTACAATAACAACAGATTAAATAAAACATTCTTTAGAAGAAGCACTTTTAATATTGATACGTAATTAATATTTAACTTTTCTTTACGAATAAGTCTAATCACTAAAGCTAGCTAGCGTTTCTTGTGACTTGTCGGAGATGCTTCAATAATCTAATGTAAACATTTTCAAAACAGTTTTCATTTGTAACTCACCCGCTCTTTGCGACATGTAATCCATAGCAATCGTTGATGCCGGCGAGTACTCCCACAACTCCTGAGACGACTGCCACGCATCCCGCCCACAGTCCGGCTCCTACCCTGGACAGGGCGGCGCCCTTCACTACGGCGAAGGCTCCAGCACCAACTAGCAAAGCACCTAGCACGACCTGTCCCAATCCCAGAAACACAACTAGCTTCCTGCCACTATGCACACCACTGCCCGCTTCCACGCTCTTCGAAGACACACTTTCTTTAACTGTTTTTTTGGGTTTCTTTATTTCGTCTTGAGGCGATTTGCATATTAAAAGTTCCGTTGAGTCGAGGCTGGAGACGGTCGCCGTGGGCCTCGCGCTGTAGTCGTCCGTGGTCTCGTTGTCGGGCATCGCGTCATTGAGACAACCGGCTCGGGGCGCGGTCCAACACACACTGGCGAAGTGGGGACCGACCACTGCTCTTCTGAGGCTCGCCACTCGTGCTGCTACTGACGTACGGTCTCAAACGAGCTTGGATACACTCCCTCCACTCCGGTTCGGTTAAACAACTGTTTGGCGATGACCATTTCTCTATTGCTTTTGTAGAATTACTGGTGGTAGGACCACTTGTGAGTCCGCGCGGGTGGGTACCACCACCCTGCCTGTTTCTGCCGTGAAGCAGTAATGCGTTTCGGTTTGAAGGGTGGGGCAGCCGTTGTAACTATACCGAGATCTTAGAACTTATATCTCAAGGTGGGTGGCGCATCTACGTTGTAGATGTCTATGGGCTCCAGTAACCACTTAACACCAGGTGGGCTGTGAGCTCGTCCACCCACGTCAAAGCAATTAAAAAAAAAAAAAAAGACGAGCATAAGACCCGTCCCGTCAGCAATGCCAGGTCACAGCTAAATCGTTGCCTACTACTTAGGACTATCCGCAAACCTCGATTGAAGAAAGTAATGTCATAGAGCACGGGAAACACCGTGGAGGGTTGGACACATTCCGGAGCCGTATGTCCATGGCAGAAAAGATCTCTGGAAATGAACTGTGGATGGACGTAGTTGTCCCATATAGTATGGATGTACTCTGCTCTGATAGCAGAAGGTGCGATATGATACAGAGTTGAAGGATCATCTCGAACAGTTCTTGAGAGCACTATTTATTGATGATCTGTTAAAGTAACGTCTAATAATAATATTCAAAAAGTCGAGACTGGCTACTAAAGAGGTCAGTTTTTTTGTAGTTAGAAATGTACATGAAATTTAGTTAAGGGTGCTTCTGGTCTTTAACAAAGCATAGCCATTATGTACTGGTGATAGAGGGAGCTGCGAACTACCATTGGTAGATAGCACTAATTTACCTGTTTTTGTACTGACACAGTCGCACGTGGTGGCTTAAACAATGGGATAACTATAAAATAAAGAGTCATAAGTGTTGATGTCCATGAGCTCCGGTAGCTGCGTTTTTTTTGGGTTTTTTTATTGCTTAGATGGATGGACGAGCTCACAGCCCACCAAGTGGTTAAGTAGTTACTGGAACCCATAGACATCTACAACGTACCACCCACCTTGAGATATAAGTTCTAAGGTCTCAGTTTAGTTACAACAGCTGCCCCACCCTTCAAACCGAAACGCATTACTGCTACACGGCAGGGTGGTGGTACCTACCCGTACGGACTCACAAGAGGTCCTACCACCAGTAAAATGAGATAGAGGAAATGAGTAAAATGCGTAATATGAAGGAGGCCGTGCTCGGCTATGTGTATTGTATTGAATGTACAAATTCCAATACATCTTTAGATCGTACACAGCGCACATCTGAGCACGCGCAGGTGAAAGCGCGGCCGACTCTCCGTTGCGGAAACCAGCCTGTCTCCGACACAACGGACATACCTTTCCAGTCTAAATATATTGTAGTAAACACATTTGAAATTTCATCTTCTTAGCTTAACTTTGACTTAATTAACTTTGCATTTTTTTCGGAGGTGCATAGTTGATCGAAAGATGGATTCCCATTTTAAATCAATCTTTTCCATTATTTTAGATTTGTCGTTAACTACCATTATAATACTATTATAATGACATGATTTTCAGTATATTTTAATAAAGCCCACTGCTTATTTTGGGGCAAATAAAAACGATAATTTACCTACATTTAACTGTCGTCGTTGCGGATTGAACTCAAACTGCAGTATAGGAAGCACTTATTTATTCGACACGCATCTTAAAATCGTATACATTAACAATCAATTAGCTTTTTATCTTTGAACCTTTTAAAAACGTAGAACACCATTTTGTATCCATTACATTTTATCCTTCAATCCGACAGCCTGTCTTTTTTCTTAGGCTCCCGTTTATGACTCCCGTTGCTAGTGCTGTGTGTGAAAAAACCATTCACCACACCCTGTACCCTATAGTATGTCATCAAAAAAAACCTGCTTTGCCAAAATGTATTTTAGAAAACATTTTAAACATTTTAGTACCCTAGTTTTCTAAAATTTGATTAGCAGACGAGCACATTCACTTTTTTTAAATCATAAACATGTTATTTATTAGACACCGTATCGATTTAGGCAGCAGTAGACGTTTTAAATCTCAAGAGACCCAATATTTCCAGTATAATAATTTTAATATTATTATAATAATAATACACTACCATTTACTATATTCCAAAAGAACTCAATCATTTTAAAAATGATTAAGTATAATAAATAATATGTTTAATATTTGGTTGCCTAAGCTAGAAACTTCCTTGAATCTAATTCTCAAAGATTCATTGGAGTGCATTTAATTTCAGGTTATGGTTTACTTCTGAGTAGTTCTGAGAGGACGACAAACTTATTTAAGAATGAAAGGTTGTTCATACGTTTTATTTGAGGTCCGTTAATAATAATAAATACCACATCAGTGTACCTTATATAATCAATGTAATGTTTTATTAGTGGATATGTTGGTAAACTGAATTTCTGATTCAATTCAAAAATTAATTATTTAGATTAATCCTTCGATGTTCATTGCACATCACAATATTTCGTATATTTATAACGACTATAGCTGAATGCACTAAAAGTAACGATTTTATTTGCGTTCTTGTTAAAGTTTACTTGTGGATCGTAAGACCATCGTGCTGTAAACTTTCTTGTTTTAATGGAAATTTACAACAAAGTTGCAGCCTAAGAGAACAAACAGCAGTAGGTTGGACCGTTATCTACGGTGCGCGTCTAAATGTGTCATCTAAGCTCCAATTAATCAAAACGTTAACATACAAAATCACAAGACATGGTAGGGCATATCTTACGTTGTTATTTTTGCAACCTACCACCGTACCTACTCTTTTGGCCTGAGATGATCATTAACAAAGAGCTGTGGAGGATCACCAAGCAGACACCAATGGAGAAGGAGATCCTTACGCGGAAATGGCATTGGATTGGTCACATATTGAGAAAGCCATACCCACCCACCGATCAGTGCTCTCTTTGATACCCACTTATCAAAGAGAGCACTGATCTGGAAAGTGTCTGGAAAAAGGAAGAGGCCGCCCCAGAACAACTTGGCGTCGCTCGGTGGAGCAGGACCTAGGGGTCTTGGGCATGACGTGGGAGGAGCTAGAATAGACTGCCCAAGACCGATGTAAATGGAAAAATTTGATTCGAGCCCACACCCCAGCAGAGGGTAATAGGAAATAATGATGATGATGACCGTACTGCTGCTAAGCAATTTAGTGCTTCGTTGTGAAGGTTATGATTATAATTGAGATTTCCACTTTACAACATACGGACGGTGAGTCCTAGAAATCAAGGCGAAGACAAAAGGTAATTTCTGTAGGCAGCGGCTTGGCTCTGCCCCTGGCATTGCTGAAGTCCATGGGCTACCACTCACCTTCAGGTGGACCGTACGCTAGTCTGCCAACTAGGGCAATAAATAAATAAAAGGTGGCTAAGACAAACAGCCAAGTTTTTTTTTTATAAAAACTGCTCATAAAATATGTAAATATTTTCGAACGAAGATGGGAGTAGACAAAAAGACAGCTGATCGACATGTGCTAATTTCCGTTCGCTTAGGAAGTCTGGCCTATAGCTTTATTGAACACCAAATGTTTTGATGTCTAAACAATATCGATTACCAAACTTGAAATTGTTGATATTTGATACGACTCCGGGATTATATCGACATGGATGGATGAATTAAAACTGTTCATAGTAGCGGCAGGGAATGTGTAACAGTTGCAATTGAAACTTACTGGTCTACTATATTATATTATCAAATATTTTTTAAATAATACTGATGAGTAAGCAGTATTTTTTTCTACTTGTTTTAAAAAGTTGTTTATCAATTTTCCTGCTCCTGTTAACGTTTTAATAGCAATACTGCAAACGATGATTTCACAGTAATTCCTTAACTAGGTACCTAAAAATAGAAATTGGTAACTTTTATCCCTTATTATGCACAACTAACTCTGTATTATGGTCTCGTTAAATTTATACAAACAGTTTTTTTTTCAAAGAACACGTATTTACATTGCATCATTGTAGCTCACGAAAAAAATTCTTCAAACAAATTTGAGGAGGCGCTTTTTATCCTTTTAGGTGTGGAATTGTAACCCTCATTAGGAAATCTCTAATGATTTATCTTTTATTTATTTGTGATTCCGTTACTATGTTCCGAGTTTAAAATGAATAACATTAAAACGCGAGAACGGTACCAAAAACAAAGACGCTAGCACCACGTTTTTTGGACGCTGCTATTTACAACTCATAATATCTAGGGGTTAAAGCTTGTTTGGTTTATGCTACTTTTCACTTAATACGCGACATTTATCTTTGTAATTAAAGGTGTGTTTTATTTGGTATCAGTACCAACAATATAACAATACTTTCTTTCGATGTTTTTAATTGAACTTCAATTAAGTTTAATCCATTTAAATACCTGAAGAAGTTATTTTATTATGTATTTTTTCCAAACTTTAAACTTGTAATGGCTCTCCTATAAAGTTGCAAAAATGTCGCTTTAACCTGTAAAAGTCTGTCACCCCTCAACATGTTTCGTATTAAACAAATGATTGTACAAGTCACGTACCTTGCTGTCTAATGTACGGTATTACGTTACGATTACGTCGCGATTGTGTAGTAATATATAACCGGTGTTTTGTTCGCCATAGAAGGGGTGAAATTTAAACATATCAAGTTCCTTTTACTAATCATGCTCTGTAATAAACGGTTCGTATCAACGTGCACCTCTATAATTATCTATATCTATACTAATATTATAAAGAGGAAAGATTTGTTTGTTTGTTTTGAATAGGCTCCGAAACTACTGGACCGGTTTGATTTCTTTCACTGTTTGGAAGCTACACTATTCCCGAGTGACATAGGCTATAATCTTTTTTGAAAAAAATTAGGGATCCTTCCTAAAACTCAAATAATGTAACCCAAGGTGTAAAAAAATTGCCCTAAATATTCTTTACACCGCGTGCCCTGCGAAAACTATTGATGATGAATAAAATAATGTACTACTACTTTGTAGAACACATTATTAATTACAAAAAATGTCGCGACAACATATCTCTAACTATTGTAGTTATGCCGCATATGTGTTCTTTTATTATAAAAAATAAAACACATCTCTGCCAGCGCAGTGGTAATATTTCAATGTCCTTCGTGAAGAAGTCAGGTCTGCGGTAGCCAATAAAAATTAAATCTTCAAAAGCATTTTGTACTGCCTCTTGAGTATTGAATAATATAGGTATTTTCCCAACCAAGAAGTTGTCCAAGCTTTGAGCAAGTCTCAGCAGTCAAGTCAGCGCAAAGTCTGGTGAGTACGATGGACTTAGCTAGACTCTCCACCCTATCTCTTGTAAGTCAGAGACCGTCTGTTGCCCCGTATTAGCTGTGTCGCGTTATTTGAGACCAATTAGTTTAGAGGTCGCTACAAAAAAAAACTAAACAAATTATCTTAAACTTTTATTCAGTCTAACAGTCATTCTCTTATTTTATAATAATAAAATTCTAATAATTTTCTATTAAACAAAAACTCAGCTAAAATATACATTATTTATAATAATATTAATTATTTACAAAATCGAAAGCTCAATGTTGTTATAAAAATATTCTTAAAAACTATAATATTCTGTAGCACGATCATTATTTTAATTAATTACCTAATTAAATAACAACAATTTTACTTATCAACTTTTGAAATTGACGAGTTCGTCAAAAGTGGTCTTGTCAAAAACATGTCAAATTTTCAATGTCTCCAACATTATTTCAATTGTTTACAACGTCTCCATTACTTCAGTCACAATATCTAAACCATCACTTAAATTCAATATAGTTATTTTCTTGTCTTCGTTCAAATCTACTTCTGTTACATCACCTCATGCGACATTGACAGTATCATCTATGTCTGACAGCCTATCAGTAGTAGTGATAAGTTCTATATTTGTTATCTCAACTTCTATCAGGCTAGAATTTATCACATCATTGTTTTCGATAACAGATGCTAAACCAATGTTTGGTTGACTTATATTTGGCATGTTACTGGCAGTTAAATTACCGAATGTCATATTGTTTAAATTTGTCCCTGTTCGACTAACAGAATAATGTTCTTTAATGAGGTCGGCTGCTATTTCCGCGATCATCACAACCGGTGCATTTGTGTTCCCTCTAATTATTTTTGGCATTACACTCGCGTCCACAACTCGTAAGCTATTAATACCTAACACCTTCAGGTCACCATCTACTACAGTGCCCATAGCGGCAGTACCCACGGAATGCCAAGCGGATGTCACCATCGCCCTTGACATACATTTAATCCACGCACTCTCTGTTAAATTACTGCAAGCTTCAACCCAAGGTTTTATCACACGTGCATTTTTGCTTCTGAAATAATTCGTATCAGCAATAGACCAAGCCATTTTGATTAACCGAGGGAAATGATCCAGATCTTGTTCTTCTGAAAAAGTACCGGCATATATTAGAGGATCGTCGAATGGATTTATGGAATTCAATTCCACTTTACCCCTGGATTTGGGTTTCAGCAGGACAGCAGCAATTGTAACCAGTTCATATTCCTGATTTAGATTGTGTAATTCCGTGCATAAATCTTCGTTCAGGCCCAAAGTCAGACACCCGCTGCGAAACGGCGAGAACTGTGGTATACAAGTCGGGTACAGAGCAAACTCAGGTACGGTGGGCTCAGAGCTAGAGAGTGGCAAATACGCGGCCATGTTGTCGGCCTTGGCAAGAAAACCAGTTCTGTCGTAAAGATATTTTATTGCTTCCATTGAATTCTCTGCCTCATCCGACACGCATGTCCCGTTATCGGCGACGAGAAACGCCAATACCATAGCGTGGTCGTGAAGATTGCTCCCAACCGGCAAATCTGCAACCACATCGATTCCTAACGATCTCAAGTGCTCTGAGGGACCAACGCCAGAGAGCATCAGTAACTTCGGGGTATTAAATGTTCCGGCTGATAAAATGACTTCACGATCAGCGTAAAATAAAAACTTTTCGTCGTCTTTTACCGCCTCAATACCGATTGCAGTTCCGTTCTCGATAATAATCTTCGTTACAAAGGCATCCTTCAATATGTGTAGGCTTGTACTATTCGCGTTGTTGAGGAGAGCCCTCAGAGAGCTGTCGCGTTCGCCATTTCTGATGGTGTGCGAAAAACATCCTGCACCGATCGAGTTTGGGTAAGTCATGTCAGGAACTGTCTTGAAACCTAGCTCCTCGAATGCCTGTAGAAATTTCTTAATGGAGAACATAACTTCATTCGTTCCAGAAACTTCTATAGCACCTCCTCGACCATGGTACACCATCAATTCTGGATTGTTAACAATGTTCGTGTCCGTCATGTGCTCGGTTTTCATGAAATACTTGAGCACGTTGGTCCAGTTCCAAGTTTCTCCGGCGATTGCGGCCCATTCGTGGTAGTCTGAAGGAAAACCCCTGGCATAGACCATGTGATTCAGGGAACCGGTTCCACCCAGCATCTTCCCTCGAGGTTGTTGCTCTATTCCTCTTTTTAAGGCTTGGCTTGTAATATTGTTTTCCACGCTGGTAAAATTCCAATCGACCGAACTTGCTTTTAGAGTTTCTCTGAACGCTGGTATCTGAACAAAATGAAATTCGCTTGTAAAACATGCATTTTTTGTCCTACGAAATGCCTTAATCTACAACCAACCTGATCGTAAAGCATCACTATTTTTAATGAGCACAGTTAAGTCATTATATCTCACTAGCACAATTGTGCTTTTGTGCAATTGTGTTTTATACCGCATGGTCCATGGGGAATGCTCTGAGGAATTATTCGAGATGATTCCCTCATCTCCTTTTTATCATCGCACCTTCCGCCATCGGAGCAGAGTTCATCCATATTATCTGGAACCGCTGCGTTCATCGACAGTGCGTTTCCAAAGATCTTTTTTGCCACGTACCATCCGGCTTTGGAATGAACTCCCCTCCACGGTGTTTTCCGAGCGCTATGACATGTCCTTCTTCAAACGAGGCTTGCGGAGAGTACTTTATGGTAGGCAGCGGCTTGGCTCTGCCCCTGGCATTGCTGACGTCCATGAGCGACGGTGACCACTTACCATCAGGTGGGCCGTATGCTCGTCTGCCTACAAAGCCAATAAAAAAAAAAATTGTCAATTTTTTTTATTGCTTAGATGGCTAGACGATATCACCCACCACCCATCTGGCGTTAAACTGAGCCTATAACATCAAGAACGTTAATGGCGCCACCATTGAGGCGCGAGACATGAGTTCAAGTCTTAGTTTTACAGTACAACGGCTGCACCACCCATAAAATCGGAAAGCATTTCTGCTTTACGGCAGAAATGAGTGGTTTTACCCCCATGCAGACCCATAAGATGCCCTGACACCAGTAATTACGCAAATTATAATTTTTGTCGGTTTGAATTTTAAAACACGATGTTATTCCTTCACCGCGAATGTCATTCGTGAACATTAAGTACGTATTTCGATTCAGTCTTATTGCTTGATGCGAATTCACCAGGCTTAATATCCTTTAGGGCACGACAACTTTAAAATCTTAAATGGGTTAGAGCACTGCGGAACGCCGTAGGGATATTAACTCTGCTCAGGGTAACAGAAGAGAAAATGGGACAGGAGTGTTTGAGTTTAGTTCTCGTCTGTTTTATACTAACAATAGCCTCTATCGGTGGATCTCCGCCCGCCTCCAGTAGGAGTACGCTGAAGTTGGCCACCTCGGAGAGTCTGGCAGCGAGCGCAGAGCCAGCGGTACCGGCACCCACGATGATGAAGTCGTATCTAGAGCCATCTGGGAATGTACCTTATTGTTACTTTCTCTCATTACGCAACACACATTACGTTAGTTTCTACGGGCTTAATATCTTTATCTATCTTCTTCTAAAATGAATTGCTGTTCGTTAGTCTCGCTAAACCTCGCGGCTGGACCGATTTAGCTAATTTTGGTCTTGAATTATTCGTGGATGTCCAGAGAAGGTTTAAAAGGTAAAAAATATGAAAATGATCGGAATTGTATAAAAACAAACAATTTTGTTTTTCCTTTGATGTGTCCCTGGTCGGACGGATTCATTTTGTTTTTTTTAAGTTTATTTTATACAAAAGTTTAGGTATTTTATTTAACGATTGAGGCACTACGAAGTCTGCCGGGTCAGCTAGTAGTTTATAAATAACATAGTTTGTGTAAGGAGTGTATTAAGATAATAGAGGTACAATTTAAAAAAAAACTATTTTAGAATTCGTCTTATTTGAATACAGAGGGCCTAAATTTATCCGTTCTACGGAGATCTACCACAAGTATATATCTGCTATAAGCAAATATATGGATAACAATTAATTAAACACAAGCTTTGCAATCAGAAGGACTGGTGAAATATCTAACGACGGTGTATACGGACGGCCGGTGTGTTATGTAAGCAGATTAGTAAATTGCGATTGCAGATCCCGTACAAAGCATAAGGTTAAAGAAGTACAGTTATTATTTTAAAAACATTTTAACTTTACTCGTAAAATTAAATTTTATTTAAACAAAGTTGCAAAAGCAACTACTTCTTACTGGTGGTAGGACCTCTTGTGATTCCGCACAAGTAGGTACCACCACCCCGCCTATTTCTGCCGTGAAGCAGTAATGCGTTTCAGTTTGAAGGGCGGGGCAGCCGTTGTAACTATACTGAGACCTTAGAACTGATATCTCGAGGTGGGTGGCGCATTTACGTTGTAGATGTCTATGGGCTCCAGTAACCACTTAACACCGGGTGGGCTGTGAGCTCGACCACCCATCAAAGCAATAAAAAATAAAAAATTACTTTGCAGCACAGAATCTTTTGGCCAAGTTTCCCCGACCAGGCACTGCGTCGCCGCGAAGAACTGAACGGCGGATGAGAACAGGCCGCCGGCCGCGCCGCTCCCGAGACACGAAGTCAACCCGCAAACCATTTCTGTAAACAAAAATATTAAGTATTTACGGTACAGAGTATCGAAGATATCGACTTGGCCTTGTCTCTAAATCACTTGATTGTAATCGAAATGATAGTGGCTGTGCTCAAAATAGACACATTTTAATCTTCCTTAAAAATAAAAAAGTGTGTGCAAGTACCACACGGTAGAAGTGAAACTAATAAAAAATAAAAATAACCGCAAGGGTGAACCACTCCACAATGCAATGGAGCAGCATAACTCTGGCTGGGGGGACCACCTGCATGATCACGGTATCCCTATTTCAGGAATTGTTGAATTTACGTGCAGCGACATCTGTTGTTAACAAACTATATATAAATAAGATATATGGACTTATTTTTTCGTTTCATCGAGTTTGAAATCACAACGATTCTAAAGAGGTTTCACTTCAATAAAGAGGTTTCTAGTTTCTATTGAAGAGATTCCACCCCCAGCCCAAGAATAATATTTAAGTAGCCATGATAGGCAGTTACGTGCCCCGCCAGAGCACGTGGTTCCCAGTGCCCACCTCCAAAGAAAGATAAAATTGTTTTCTCTTGCTTATACGATGTTATTCCTTCATCTTGGAAATTGATCATGAGCAACATTAGGTGCATTTCCTTACAAAAATTGTCTACGCGCTTAAAAGCTCAGCAATAGTCCTAGCTTCAGGACTTCAACATACCAGTATAAAACAAGTTTATTTTATAGATCTATATAAAAAAGGGTTGTCCAAGTTAATACCGTCATTTATTCTAAAAATCGCACCCGTGATCGAAGTTTGGTTCATTCCCATTTATTACCTAGAGCCATTCTTGTTATCTACAGCTCACTTCTAGACTGTCCTTTGTGGTAGACAGTCACCACTTACCTTCAGGTGGGCTATAAGCTCGTTTGCCTACGATATAAACTAAAAAGCTCGTCTGCAATCGACAACAAAGATAAGAAAAACGCACTGTACGGTCTGATATCAGCCAGGTAAAATATATATGAACCTAATTAATTTCTTATCTAAGATGAGTTCAGTCAACTCTCGCACCTTGAACGATAATTACTTGTCGCTAAGTAATTATCGTTCAAGTCGGTCAATGATACATATGCTATCTACGTGAAAACTTTGATTTAAATAATGACAAGCAATTGAACTCTTCGCCAACGTGCACGGAGTCTGATTATGATTCCCATTGTCCACCTTGAGGGGAATTGAGCGAAGAACCCTCCAAAACAAAACACAAAATTACTTCGTAGTATTAATGGGAATTGCAATGCTGGCTAATTCGGCTGTTTTACAAGTAGGGTATCTATACTAATCTATACTTCTATCTATACTAATATTATAAAGAGAAACGATTTGTTTGTTTGTTTGTATTGAATAGGCTCCGAAACTACTGAACCGGTTTGAAAAATTCTTTCACTGTTTGGAAGCTACATTATTCCCGAGTGACATAGGCTATAATCTTTTTTGAAAAAATTAGGAATCCTTACTAAACCTCTAATAATGTAACCCAAGGTGTAAAAAAAATACCAAAAATATTCTTTACATTGGGAGCACCGCGAAAACTATTGATGATAGAATAAAATAATGTACTACGACTTTGTAGAACACATTATTATTTACAAAAAGTGTCGCGACAGCATACGTCTAACTATTATAGTTATGCCGCAATAAGTGTTCTTATATTTAAAAAAATTAAACAACGTGAAATATCGTTGAAATTTTTGTTAACGACCCGAGCGGAGCCGGAGCGGGCCGCTAGTATAATATATTCCAATGTTGACATATTTTATTTATCACTGGTAGCACATAGAAATACAATTTTAAAATATTTTGGTAAGGTAGGTTAGATCCGACGCGTAGTGTCAGTATACAGTAAGTAGTATTTTGTTAGCTTTTTACGCTGTAAGCTTTAATTTATTAGACATTTATATGTAATCAGGGGTAATGATAATCGTGGAAACTTGTTCGATTTTTGTTTACCGCTTAGTGTTGTATTACGGACTTGGATAACAATTTTACATTAAGAGGGCTACGACACTCGTTCATCCAAAAAAATAACTATATAAAATAACACGTAAAAAAATAACATGTATAATCCCTCATTCATAGGTAACATTCATACAAAACAACTAACTAACACTAAGAAATGAAGATTAAAGTAAAAAATTAAGTATAAATGAAAAAATATTTTCAAATAAAACCGAATGCAGATTATACGAGGGTATTCGCAAGTTTTGTTTACCGCTTAGTGTTGTATTACGGACTTGGATAACAATTTTGCATTAAGTGGGCTACGCCACTCGTTCATCCAAAAAAATAACTATATAAAATAACATGTAAAAAAATAACATGTATAATCCCTCATTCATAGGTAACATTCATACAAAACAACTAACTAACACTAAGAAATGAAGATTAAAGTAAAAAATTAAGTATAAATGAAAAAATATTTTCAAATAAAACCGAATGCAGATTATACGAGGGTATTCGAGTAAAACTGCTGAAATCGCTTAGCTTAGGTGGGGGTCGCTGACGTCTGAGCTCGTCCCAACTGTGCCAATAATACAATTAATTCTATTTACCATTGTTTCTATTCAAATCGGTAACAACAATATTTACAAAATAATTCTTCTTGTTCAGACGCTAAATAAAGTAGATTATAGTAGTCTTTAAGAATTTTATGATATTACTAGCTGACCCGCAGACTTGTACTGCCTGAATCGATAAATAAAAGACCTAAGCTTTTGTATAAAATAAACTTCAAACAAACAAAAGGAATCTGTCCGACGGGGTGGGGGGGGGGGGGAGGGGCTGGACATCAAAGGAAAAACAAAATTGTTATTTTTATTTAACTCCGAGCATTTTCATATTTATCTTTACCTTTTAAACCTTCTCTGGACTTCCACAAATAATTTAAGACCAAAATTAGCCAAATCGGTCCAGCCGTTCTCGAGTTTTAGCGAGACTAACGAACAGCAATTCATTTTTATATATATAAGATTTAAAAAAGAAAAAAATCGTTACACTTTATTGTATTAAGCTTTGTTGTATTTTGTTATTCTTTTATACAGAATAATCTTTTATACTGTCTGAATACATAATCGGACAACTAAAACTTATTTGAATAGAGGGTAATTAATAAACGATAAAAAAAATTATCAATAAAACAAATTACTTACCATGAATTCCTTTTATACGTTTACAAATAGCACCTTTGAATAATTGTAACAATTACTTTAAGTTTTATTTTTCTTTAACCGAATAATTGTGATTAAATCAAAGTGTGCGGCCGGCGTTTGTGACTGGGAATGCAGGTCTGGTATTGTGGACGTCAAATTATGAACTACCCACATAAGTAATGATCAATAGCCTTTGCAGTAGGCACTTGGAAGGAGAAAAAAAAAAAAAAAAGGTATAAAATGTATATAATGATAGTTATGTGTTAGTTTTTTTTTTTTTTTAGTTTACTAACATAGATTATAAGTAATTACTACTAACAAAATGTTATGGTTTAAAAAAAAAAAAACTGAAATAAAGTGTTAATAATAATTAATAATAATAAGTTAGTTGTAATAATTAAGGCTTCTACATCTATCTAACTGTTTAGTTCAAGTGCTAGTGTTTAGTAATTGCTGATTAAAATAATTAGTATTAAAAGTACAGTCAAACTAAGTTTCTATTGACTACGTATATTTCGACCAAAAGCGTCCCATTCTTGGACAAGCCTTGTCACAGACGATAACAATTTAAAAAGTATATTTCGGTAAATTATATTTGATCAACTATCCGATTTTGAACTGATCGTCAGCTCTAGCTCCGTTTAATATTTGAATGTTTATATATATATCTATTTTTGCCGTGAAGCACTTTTTTTTTTTTTTTTGGTCACGAGGAATTTGCCGGACTTCCGCCCTCCACTGGGGATAAAGGGCGGAGCATGTCAGAGTCGAACTGACTAAAACCTCCTGTCGCTCAACAACCAATGTCCAAACCTCGCATGAGACAGAACTCATGACGCCTCCAACCACGATATGGGCATCGACAGGTGGCACTCTCCGGGGCCTGTGGAACCACATGGCCTCGGATTTACTGAGCGCCACGTCGAGGCCCAATCTCCTGATTTTGCCGACGACATGCGCCACCCCAGCGGTAGCAAGACGGGCAGACTCAGCAAAACTCCCCCCCCCGGGCCACGACCAACGTGTCGTCTGCGTAACAGATTACGCTTAGGCCCGGGAGGAGGGCACCCCTCAGTACCCAGTCATACCCGATATTCCACAAAAGGGGGCTGAGCACCGACCCCTGTGGAACACCGCGCAAGACCGGGAACCGGTGCACGATCCCACCGTGTCCGGTACACGTGACGCCGTGAAGCACTAATGCGTTTCGGATTGAAGGGTGCGGCAGCCGTTGTAACTATACTGAGACCTTAGAACTTATATCTCAAGGTGGGTGGCGCATTTACGTTGTAGATGTCTATGGGCTCCACTAACCACTTAACACCAGGTTGGCTGTGAGGTCGTCCACAAATCTAAACAAAAAAAAAAAAAAAATATGTATATATATATATATGTTTCCCACTTTGTCGAGGCAAAAATCGAAATTCCTTCGCTTCGTGCTCGTGACTGAATCCAAGACTAATTAGATTCCCTTCGGCTCACGTGAACCACATCGTTGAGTCTTTGTTTGGCCGGCCGTGTGGATCTTGACAACACAGGAGTTATAGCAATGGGAGCGCATGGCAGAAAAATACCCAAAGAAGTGCAGATTAACGATGAAGGTTTGGCCTTAGTTGTAGTAGTAACATTTAAAGACTTGCGTGTTTGTGCGTGTAAAATGAAGGAGCATTAGCAACGAAATCTGAAACGGATTTTTAAAAAAGTCCTTTTTTTTTTTTATTGCCCTTGTAGGCAGACGAGCATACGGCCCACCTGATGGTGAGTGGTTACCGTCGCCCATGGACTTCAGCAATGCCAGGGGCAGAGCCAAGCCGCTGCCTACCATTTAGTCTGCCAGTCTAGTCATATTTAATAAAAATTTATTAGCTACTTTTTAACACGTTCGCTGCGGCAAGTAAAATCTTAAACCTTTGTCTGGTGCGGCGGCGGACCAAATTGTGCCCCCAATGATTTTTCCGCCAGTGCGTGGTAGGTCTTTTTCGACACGTCAGCACAAGGTTAGATTAAATTGCTATAACTTTGCGAAAACATAATGTAGGTGAACAGTTTTTGGACTTTTGGAAAAACCTTGAACCCAACTTCTTTAGATTTGATTCGCCCCGGGATCTGCCGAACAGAAAATGAGAAATAAACCAGGGAAAGTGGCGGGTCGATATCGACCAGAACCGCACTAGAAAGTATTTTTAGTAGTGATGGGAAAGACAAAAATAAGGGGATATCGAAAATAAAACAGAATTAAAGTAAAGAAATAAAAATTGTTTATTTAATTATTTATTAATGGCTGTCTTTAAAACATTTCGCACAAAGATTTTGCTTGCACATTCTGCAGTATGTTTTAATTTTTTTTACTTTNTACACTTATGGTAGGTAGCGGTTTGGCTCTGCTCCTGGTATTGCTGAAGTCGATGGGCGATGGTAACCACTTACCATCAGGTGGGCCGTATGCTCGTCTGCCTACTTTTTTTTACGAGTGTACATGCGCGAAAGTTCACCTGCGGCTATATTCAGACTCGCCAAGTTACGTCGGTCGTATTGTAATGAGCGATTTAGTGGGCAACTTCATTTCTGTTAATTTTGTGTCACGGTGCGCGCGCATCGTAAAATTTCACTCTCATCAATTTTTCATAACGCGTCTAAAGATGTATAACTTCAAAAACTTACATGCAGACGCGGGATGTTATTGGCGTCAGTTACAGAGACTGGCGACGACTGAAGATTCTGCGTCGGGCCACTTCACCTAATCTGTACGCTTTATCAGGTTTTATCGCGTTTTGCATAACATCTGAGTGTCTTTGTTGTGTCGTAATAATAGTAACATATTTAAAGGTAAGGCTTCTGACAACTTTTTTATCCCTGTCTTGTTTAATGTTATTTTTTTTCAATTCTTCTAGTAACTTCGAGGGGTTATACTAGATTCACCGTATTAGTAGATGAGCTCACGGGGCTCAAGCCTGACGACGTTGCTAACATTAAACATAGCAAGAGCCGTGCTTCGCAGAATCTACCACCGGTTCGGAAACGCGACCCACTGAGAAGATCCGACGAGAAATTCAGTGGGCTGTGTGTGTGGGTTAATTTACTCGCCGAGCCCTACGTCGCAAGCGACGGGTTCGACGAGAACGATGACCGGAGCTTGAGGTACCTAAAAGCATCGTTAGTGGATCGGGATTCAATGTTCAATGTTATAACTTCTCAGTGAACACAGAAAAGAATATGAATATATTAGCTACAGCGAAGACAGTCCATTGCAATTGTTTTAAACTGCATTACATGAAATCTAATATGTATTTATTATGTATTCGAAAGAAGATTGGAGAAAAGTGGCGTTCGTCTATCTATATATAAATAGATGTCGATGTGTGTGTATAATACAGCATGCTTTATTGTACACAAATATAAAATAAACACAAATGCAAAACTTCAAATATGAAAGTGCAGTCGGCGTTGTGATCGCTAAGAATGATCGCTTCCAGGCAGCCATCAGGTGGATAAGAATTATCTAAGAAAAGGAATCAACTGCGGTTTACTTGTTGATTGAAAATATCTTTATGTAGTTTTTTTTTTTCGGGCCGGGGGCCGAACCTCATATGAGGTCCCCGCGCCTAGGGGGCGCGCGGGGTATGTGGGACTCAACGATCTGCAGGTGTCGAGAGCAGACCGCGGGCCCAAGGAATTTTAGGGCCTACCCACTAAACGACTCCCCTGCACTCTTACACCCGACGTCCAATCTCCGTCCGGGGTCAAAACCCGGTCAGAGTAGGGGGGTTCCCGCTGTCAACACTACAACCAGACACGCGGCGTCAGCGCCACCCCGAGGACGCCCGACCGACGGGTCGTCGAGGTGTGGACTTCACTTAAGGTGAATTTTGCCGCGCTTTCGCTGTTTGAATGTCAATAAAACAGCGGTGACAGAGATGAATAAATATGAAGTTGTAATAGTAGTAGTTTAATTTTTCCAAATGGAAAAGCAAAGGCACCATACAGCCTAATATTTTATATATATTTTTTTAATGAAATGTGATATTATGAAATGAAATGAAATCAGATGATATAATATGGGATATTTTTATGAAAAATGATAATATGGAGTGTAATGAAATGAAGTATTTGAGACATTAATCATATGGGATGAAACACAGCACTGTGTCCATAAACATCGCAAATTTTTTTCGCGGCTTGCGTTGCATTTTTACCTTTTTTGTAGTAAAATTTTAAAATATATCGAATTTCTTCATTAGATTCACTCATCTTGACAGTACGAAAGATATATAAAAATCACACATTTTCCTAATTTGAATTTGGAATTATGTATCTTCTTTAAAATTTTAACTTTTAATGATACCAAAACCAGCCAGATACAAATAGTATAGCCAAAGAGATTTTATTACAAGTTCATACATACTATAATGCGAAAAGACTGTTCCCCAACCTATTATATATAGAAATTAATTTTGTAACAACTTCATACACTTTACTAAGATTATATTTCATCCCATATCATATCATCTCATTTCATTTAATTTCATCCCAGTTGATTAATGTCTCAAATTAATCATCTTCATTTCATTTCACTCCATATTATCATTTTTCATAAAAATAAGAATATAAATTGAAATAAGACATGACCTAAAGGTCTTAGTTACCAGGTCATAAAATACCTTAAAAAAAACTGTACTTTTATGCTATTAGAATACAATGAGAGTGATTTCAGCAGTATACACATTGGAACTACTATTGGTGACACACTAGCACGACAGCGGGCCAGGTCTATCCTCGTCATCGTCTACACAGACCGTTTTTTTTTTTCTTTCTTCCTACCTAAGCTGATAGCCTTGAGAGGCTATATCAGCGGAACCTTAACTAGTAGGTGAGCTCACGGGGCTCAAACCTGACGACGTTGCTAGCGCGAACCCTAGCAAGAGCCGTGCTTCGCAGAATCTAACACCGGATCGGAAACGCGACCCACTGAGAAGATCCGGCGAGAAACTCAGTGGGCTGTGTCTGAGGGTATAGACCGTGACATTTCGCCTCCAACCCTGTCATTTTGCATAATGATAATGTTGAAAAGAATGATGTGAATAAGCCTTTACGATCTACGTTACATTCGACACGCGTCCAACGATAAGGGATTTCGACGTCCTTTATTAGTTCCATGGTCGTTTTCCAAATGCGTTTTTAATCTCCCTCGATAGATAACACGAATACTTCGAAATTGTCATTCGATTATGTAACATTACCATCGCCTGCACTGTATACCGGTACGGTACCAGGATACTTTTCAATTTGACCACGCACTTCTAAATCTTACTATCGAAATAAATAACAAAAAATCTGGGAAAACCTCCTTATATTAAACTTAAGTTTTTAAGCTATTGCATAGATTTTATCGCGGGCTTTGAGCGCGTCGACCGAATCATGAAATTCCGTAACGAAAAAAACCTTACACCCCTCACTCCGCCTACCATGTAGCTCGCGTTTAACACATTTACACGTTGCGCTTGAGTAGTGTTTGTGAATAAGCGCGTGGCGTGACGTCACACTGCATGCGCATCATGAAATTATTGATTTCTTTTTGTTTTAGATATTTGATTTTTTTAAATTTTGTACCAGTGGTTGGATTCTTTGCCTATGCCGACTTCTTGAACTAATTTATACTTTTTTATTTGCATAGATGGGTGGACGAGCTCACGACCCACCTGATGTTAAGTGGTTACTGGAGCCCAGATACATTTACAACTTTTTTTCTTTGTTTTATTGCATAGATGGGTGAACGAGCTCACGGCCCACCTGATGTTAAGTGGTTACTGGAGCCCAGATACATTTACAATTTCTTTTTTTTGTTTGTTTTATTGCATAGATGGGTGAACGAGCTCAGGGCCCACCTGATGTTAAGTGGTTACTGGAGCCCAGATATATTTACAACTTATTAAAGTTTAATATAGCGTGGTCTTGTTTTATTATTGTTTCAATATTAAATTATCATTGTCTAATTATAATTGCATAAGTTGATAAAGAATGCTATGCAATAGCTTTACCGCGGCAGTTCCCGAGTGCCACGCGTTTTTTTAACAGAATGTTTGTGCAAAGCAATATAAAATAGGGGGGCTAAAAATAGTGTTATATTAAACGAATTAGCTAAACGAATTCTTTTTTATTTATATTTTTCTTCTACATTTATGAAAGTACAATAATTAATATGCTACGTTATTACTGCAAATTTCTACGAGTTGAAAGCATTTAAATATTCTATTTGACTAACACTTATTTAGAATTATTAAATATGTGTCAATTCAAACATTCAAACATTCAAAAGAAATAAAGAGTAAATTAAACAAAATTCACCCCAATCGGTTATTTGAAAATAAAGCTACTATCTAATTATAGATTGGCTTATAGTTGAAGTTGAGTTAAATACCTCAACTTCAACTATATACATTCTTGTTCTTTTAACCATATCTATTTTCATAATTTTATAATAAAAAAACAAGGGTAAGGTTAAATAAATTTATTTGCTCAGATATTAAAAAAATAATTATCATTGTGAGAATATTTGTCAACGTAGCGAACTACACTAAGTTCTAACGATATATTATTTTATATTTTAATATAATATTAGGTACATAACATGTTGATGTCTGTAAATCTCATGAGCTCTCAACTAGCTCACAAACGTGATCTCAAAGATCCGATTTCTGAAAAAAAAAGTAAATAGATCAATTAACAATTAGTTTAATAACATACATTATGGAGATCGTGACATCCGAGTCAAGGACTCTTGAGGATCTTATGGGTTCAGTTTGGAATAGTAAGATCGTGTATGCTAAAGAAATTACTTCTGATACTAATCCGATACTTGTCTCAATTTTGGACTCCGATGAGCAGGCAGTGCTGTGTGCGCCGTGAACTCTCCTACTTAAACTTAAACTCCTCGCTAAAAGTAAAACTAGATGGAGTAGAGACAGTTAGCATCTTTTGAAGCACAGTTCAATCTTCCCGAGTACAATGTACGTGCAAGTGACGTGAAATGTCCCGTGTTTAAAGGTTTGAAAAGGTTTATACTCTATTCCACCAGCTCACCGTCCTCGTCGAGCGAATTAACCCAGAGACACAGCCCACTGAGTTTCTCACCGGATCTTCTCGGTGGTAAATTCTGCGAAGAACTGCTCTTGCTAGGGTCAGTGTTAGCAACACTCCGGTTTGAGCCCCGCGAGCTCACCTACATGTTAGGACGAAGCTGAAATAGCCTCTCAAGACTATCAGCATAGGTAGGAGAAAAAAAAAACTATTCCAATTACGAAGTCCCTTTTGACACTTCTTAGAACGTAACTCTTCACGTTTCGCATACTTTGAAATAATAATAATTATTTTTTGGTTCATGGTCGTAAACATTATTTAAAAAATACACAATCAATCTAATCATTATAAAATTAATTAACACACAAAATAACATAATAATAACATCTGTCTCATGGAAATTCGTAATTGGAATAGAGTATAGTTGCATTCATTCAACTATACTGGTCTACAAATATAGTGGTCTTGTGAGCCCGCACAGGTACCACCGCCCTGCCCATTTCTTTCGTGAAGCAGTAATGCGTTTCGGTCTGAAGGGTGAGGGGGGCGGGGGTTCTACTATAGAACTGAAACTCAGGTCAGGTCTACAGCTAAGCGACGGCATTCACATTATTCCTGTCTATGGGCTCCGGTAAACACTTAACAACACCAGGACAGTGAGCTTTTTAAGACGTCTAAGCATTAAAAAATAGCTTCGAAATGCGATATCTACCCTACACCGATATATACACCCCAAAGATATTGAAACTTCACTTCAAAATACAAAACCTTAAGTATCGTATAACTTAAAACGCGCGTTGCACGACTTTTTTGTTGAGACTATCGCGGGATCGAAACCGGACGCGAACTTTGCTATATTTCCATTCCCGGAACGTCGCGCTCAGCGCCATGAGGCGACCAGCGCGGCGTCAGCCGTACGTACGTACCCTCGCGCAGAGCCCGAAGTGTCCCAGCAGAATGGGTCCCTCGGAGAAGGTGGTGCGAAGGTTAATTGAAGTTATCCGAGTGCCGGGTAACGATATTTCATAGTACCTTAAAAATGTTACATCAGGAACAACTTTAACCATAGCAATGAAACGTTTTTTTGAGTTGGAGATCACAGATTAACCAGAAGCAGAGCGCGTTGCGAGACCTCACGGGTTAGTACCACAATCCTGCCTGTCTTTGCTGCAAAGTTCTCATGTGTTCCGGTCTAAAAAGACATATCGCTATTATAAAGACTTCAGATTCATGTTGCGACCACATAATGTCAAGCAAGCCGTGAACTCATCCATTTACTTAAATAAATAAATGCCTTACAAGACTAACATTCGTCCTTTGGGTCCTGAAATTTCTGTTTAGTATGTATGCCATACCCATAACCCAGGTGAAGATGACAGCTTGCGGCCGTTTAATATAGAAGATTTATCATCACAAGAACCTACCTTACTCTCCAATTGTAAGCGTTATCCACTGGAACATAGAACTCTGGTTCGTTCAGCAATATGTACTTCTGAAGGTCCCTGAACCCCTCGTCCGACGACCCGTTCACGGGGTACAAATTGACTTTACTGCTTGAAGCAACACTCTGAGCAGCACGCGACAGACTTCGCCCCACCAGCACCACTTTCAAGTCCCTATCGTTTTGATCTTTCATAAACAATTTGACATTTAAATTTTGTTCTGGGTAGTTTTTCAAATTTTTCGTGACCACGCAAGCTATCAACTTTTCTTCACATGTGAAATCGCAATGGAACAACCTTATAAAGCGATGTTCAGACTGGGCTGCATCTGAAGGATTGACCTTCAGACACGACCCTCCTGTGAAACTGTCATCTAGGTACAACTCTAAGCATTCTAGCTCGCCAGGGACACAAGCTAGCGCGTACTGAGTCTTATCTACGGGCTTATTTATTTTTAAAGTGACAGTTGAATGGCTCGAAGAATTCACCGCGTTTTCTTTGACATCATAAAGTCTTGAAGCCTTCGCATTCGACTTCGAGGAGATCTGCAGTTTCCTCTTTATATCTTTAGAGCCGTTATCGGTATCGTCAAATTTCTCATCAGAAATAACTTTGTGATCATCATCTGTGAATTCGTCTATTGGTACATCATCCCGCGCGTCGTCTGGTAGGTCCATACTCCTCACAGCCTCATCATCGTTTAAAAGTTTCCTCATTTTTTTCAGAGCGTCAGGGTCTTTCAGGAGATCATTTTTCGACATTCGTAAGATGTGCGGTAAAGCAGAGATGAAGTAGCCGTGGGCCCCGTGAGTTGAGTTCGGTTGGTACTGCATATGTCGCAGGTTGTACCACGGAACTGGACCAAGAACCTATATTTTTCAGTAAATATAATTTTGTATTACAACTAAACGTCTATAAAAGAGCATTGAGACTTCAATCTTTTGTCTTGATGTTGCCAGCCTTCTTAATGTTGCAAACATCTAACCATAGTCACAAAATATAATAAAATACTGAAAGAGGAGTTTATTGGGAGACAAACAATAATGAAATTATTGATATTGGTACTGGTAATATGTATTATAAATATTACTGGTGGTAGGACGTTTTGTGAGTCCGCACGGGTAGGTAGCACCGCCCTGCCTAATTCTGCCGTGAAGCAGTAATGCGTTTAGGTTTGAAGGGTGGGGCAATCGTTGCACTGTAAAAACTGAGACCTCAAAACTCACATCAATAAGGTGGGTGACGGCATTTACGTTGTACATGTCTATGGGCTTCGGTAACCACTTAAAACCAGGTGGACTGTGAGCTCGTCCACCAAAATATGCAAAAAAAACAAACCTTATACAGATCAACATCTCTCTCACCTCTCCATACAATCTTCGTTTTAATCCTTGCCCTCTGCAAAAGGAAGTTCGAAATGGTAATTCGCAAGGGAGCCTCGTGTTCAGATACGGCCAGATGGTGCCCCACAGCGCCCTGTCCCTGAGCAAGAACTGGCGGTACGTGTCCACGCCCTCCGTCATAGCCACTCTATTGATGTTGCAGTCTTCCAGACTCATGGCCTCGTGTGACCAGGCCGGAGCGAATATAGCCATGGAACAGCCATATTTATGTGCTATTTTGACGGCCTGTAGATTAACAACTAGTCGTTTAGTACAAAAGGATAATATCGTTTTTACCATCGCCCCAGCAGCATCGGAACAGAGTCTATTTGTACTTTTAGCAACTGTTTCATTAGACACACAGTTCGTTAGAGTGAATTCCCTTTTGGAGTGTTTCCTGGGTGCTATGATATTGCTATCGTCAAACGGAGTGACAAAAGAGTTCATAACGGCACAGAATAGCTTCACTAAGTCCCTTTTCTTAAGCATTGTTTATGATTATAAGCAATAAGTGATTCGACCTTTCAAGACCATAATAATATGAAAAAGTGAAAATGTTATTGTGACAGAGCGATGATAATCGTGTCATCTAGGTAGGTAGGAGCTTGCGGAGACCAGTGCCATTTATGCACATTTATTTCCGGAACAACAGCATGACTATACTATTATCATTCAAGACAATCCAACAGTTTATTTATTCAAATAAATGTGAATGACAAAACAGCATGACTTAGAAACAGTGCTTCATATAGCAACTGCTGCAAAAAGATCTTTTGTCTGTGCTCTGCAGACCTGTTTCTGCTAAGTGTGTCATTAATTTATTCATTTCTTATTTTTAATGTACATATTGCTATATACAAAAAAGAGCAATCCCTGAGTTGCCCTAAGAAAAAATTATTTAACAAAGTTTTATGTCTGGTATTTTTGTCTCTTTTCCTTGGGGTCTCCGCTTCCCCTATCCTGCACCTTCTACCTGGCTACCTAACACACTTAGATAATTTACTTGAAATGTACAGTATGAGGAACAGAAATGACAGGCAAACTTATAGCTCCATTATTGAGAAATTTATTACCGATTGTGTATTCAACTGTCCCCCGCCATAGAAGTTCCTGCCCCACACATCGATCCCGATGTAGAGGTCTGTGAGTCGATCTCCCGCCTCCACGGCGCTAGAGGACACGTTCGCTTCTGACCACGAGTAATTCGTGAATATGCCGTCGCAGGCGTCGAAGAATGGCCTGAGAGATCCAGTTTAGCAGCGTCACATTTACGTATGTGGTAAAAAATAACCAGATTTTTTATTACTGAGCAAAATTAAGTAGAAAATTCTAGTTTAGTAAGTAAGAGTGTTAGCTACTAAGAAACCATCCATTTTGAGACATGAGGCTGAAGCCTCAAATGTGTTATAGCTCATGCTACATTGGAACACATCAGTGCTTCGCGATAAAAATAGCCAAATTGGAACATTTCGCTTTAACATCAGTAATCACGCAAATTTATGAAATTTTAGCAGGTAGATTTTTTTATTGCTTAGTTGGATGGACGATATCACGACCCACTTGGTGTTAAGTGGTTATCGAAGCTCATACACATCAACAAGGTAAACTTCTCCACCCACCTTGAGAGATGAGTTCTAAGTCTCAGTTATACAGTACAACGGCTGCCCCATCGTTCGAATCGAAACGCATTACAGCTTCGCGGCACAAATAGGCTGGGCAGCGGTGCCTACCCATGCCTAATTACGCAAATTATAATTTTGCGGGTTTGGTTTTAATTACACCATGTTATTCCTTCACCGTGAAAGTCAATCGTGAACATTTAGTGAGTACGTATTTCATTAGAAAAATTGGTACCCGCCTGAGATCCGAACACCGGTGCATCGCTCAACACCGAAACGAATGCACCGGACGTCTTATCATGTAGGCCACGACGACTTCACGATATTTTAATAAACGATATTCTTTAATTGTGGAAGTCGCTCCTAAACGTAGGTATGTCTAGTGTGTATTTGCTTAGAAACATTGATCGATTTGAATCCCGGAGTGGGCACATCGCTCGATACAAATATACCGGTCGCTTACTCTTCAATCCACCAGTGTTTCTTTTCGTTAATGTGTTGTAATGTACGCGCAAGCATACTTTTGTTATATTGTGTGTAGTGAATAAATACGTGTTTCTAGAGGTATGCTTTTTCTATCGATCAAAATAGTAAGATGACATTGATGATGTGCTTTTCAAAAAAACAAATACTAAGTAAATAGGGTACTTTTTTTTTTTAAATACTATCAACTAACCTATTCTTATGATTGAGACCATTCTGCCAGATTAATGTCCCTTGTATCGTCACACTGTCGTACCAGATCAGCACCGGATCGTCCAGTTCTTGGTGCAGAATTCGATGGAAATAACGGACAAAGTCCAGTAACATCTCCGGTTTGACTATCTACAAGAAGAAAATGTTATTTTTAAAGACATAGATCATTAGAAGTACCAGACCTCACACATTACGAAACGGATTTATGTAGTTACTGATCATACCATGGGTTAATCATCTAAATAACCTTCTTACTTGATTCTCTATATTGAGAAGCCATCCATCAAACTTAAGGACCTTGGCGACGGAGACCAGAGCACTGGCGAAATATCGGTACACTGCTTCCGAGGCCAGCATTTTATTCCAAAACGCAACCCCATCGTTCCACTCCGTTATCACTGTACCTGCAATCGAAAACGTTAGTGTCAATCGTCCTATGTCTAAGTTGGGTTTTTTTACCTATTCTAGTGACCTCAAAGGGTCATACTAGATTTACCGGGTGAGTTCACGGAGCTCTAACCTGGCGAAGTTGCTAACATTAGCCCTAGCAAGAGCAGTGCTTCGCAGAATCTACCACCGGATCGGAAACGCGACCCACTGAGAAGATCCAACGAGAAACTCAGCGGGCTGCGTCTGAGGGTTAATTTACTCGCCAAACCCTTCGTCGCAAGCAACGGTTTCGACGAGAACGGTGACCGGTGCTTGTGGTACCCAAAAGCACCGATAGTGGATCCCGAGGATCCGAAACGATGTGAGGCTTTGTTAATGTACGAGTAAGAACCACCATTCTGCCTATAACTGTCGCGATGCAGTGCGTGCCAGTTTGAAGGGTACGATAGACCTGTCTGGGCGGCCTCAAATAGCACCGTTCCACTAATAGAATGAATTTAATTTCACGTCGAAACAAACCGATAACTTTGACGCCGTGCGCGTGGCCAACATTGATCCAGCTCAAAGGGGGTATCGTTATGAGATGATGACTAAAATAACAGAAGATATCGACAGCTGCCCAGTTGTAGAAAGTGTAGGCATGGTGACACCCCGTGCCGTCTACGGTACTGAAAGAAAAGTTAATACAAATGAGATTAGAGGGTTTGACTATCAGCGATGCGATCTAGTATGATAGTGGCCCCGTATACATCATTACTTCGCAGAAATGGACTAAACAGAAGTGCCAACTTTTTGCCTACTTAATCTTTTTTTTTCGGGCAGATGGCCAAACCTCCGACGAGTTTTCCGTGCCTAGATGGCACGCGGTGCATATGGGACTTCACGGTCTGCTGTCTGTTGTTGGGTGCAGACCGCGGGCCCAGGATATTTTAGGCTTTACCGCATCAAACGACTCTCCTTGCACCCAACGTCAGAGTAGGATGGTTCGGGCGGTAACCTAAGAAGTTATTCCAATTACGCGCGGACAAGTAGATGAACTCGCAGGGCTCAATTTGACAGAACTTGCTACCCCTAGAAAGAGGAGTGCTTCGCAGTATCTATCACCGCGGCATCGGATCATAATCGAGAAGATTCGGCGAGAAACTTAATGGGTTATATCGATGGTTACACGTCGAAGACTTCGTCGAAAAAAATACGTTTTTGGAACTTTTGCTGAAATTTGACGGAAATTACTGTTTTGCTCAAAGTGCTAAAATTATTAGGATTATGGAATTGGAATTGTTAAAACGGCCGTAAATTTTCTGACAATTACCTGTCATCGTGGTACCCGTTTGCCATATCATGACAAACTAAAGTTTTCGGTGTTTTTTTTTTATCGTGTCGCAATGTTTCGTTTTCCGTATCCGGGTTGAAATGACAGAAGTCTTCCGTTGTTTGGATTTGGAAAGAGGCTATTGTTGAATGAGGTTTACTTTTGTTTACCTCTGTGTTTTTTATCAGTGCTTTACTATGCGGAGTCATCTCTTTACACAAGGTGCTCCAAGCTGGAGGGTCCTCCAAAAATGATATTAATTCTTCATAACTATCGAGCGGTTTGCAGGTTAATTCACTGTCTGTTGAAATTGTTTTACTATTCATTTTTACTTCCTAAACAATTGCACACCACTACTTTAATATACAATAGAAAACAGTTATATATATACTAATTAATTACAATTAAAAATAATATTCGTCCCTCAGTATTAAGTCAAATCACAATTGTAGGTTATGTTTTGTTTACGTCCGCTTCTATCAGCTGACTAACTTTGACAATCAAAACAGCGCGTAATTTCAAACGAATGCAATTTATTAATTTAATAAATTTATTATCAATCGTAAAAACTAGGTTGCAGTAACATGTCAAGGCTGTAATTGCTTCATCAACTCAATTATTAGTACCCCTTTATCCAATAAAATTCAACAATGCGTTTGAAATATATACCACAAAACATTTAATCAATTTTTATTTTTATTCAAAAGTAAGATTTTATTAGCTAACTAGCTGACCCGGCAGACTTCGTAGTGCCTCAATCGATAAATAAAAGACCTAAGCTTTTGTACAAAATAAACTTAAAACAAACAAAAGGAATCCGTCCGACGGGGGACACATCAAAGGAAAAACAAAATTGTTATTTTCATTTAATTCCGAGTATTTTCATATTTATCTGCCTTTTAAACCTTCTCTGGACTTCCACAAATAATTCAAGACTAAAATTAGCCAAATCCGTCCAGCCTTTCTCGAGTTTTAGCGAGACTAACGAACAGTAATCATTTTTATATATATAGATAGATTTCAAAAATATGGGTAATATGTTCAATGAGTGGACAATTAAAGTCGATTTTTTATTCTTTAATTCAACGTTTTTCGATAAATACATATTAGTTTCTCAGCTTCGGAAAAAGTAACAGAACTTATTTTGAACCTAATATAATATATTGGGTATATTATGAGCACACATAAATTAAACGCTAAAAGAATGCACTTTGGAATTACATACTTTTAGTCAATAAATTATTAAACAACGGAATTTTTTATTCTGCGGTACTATTTTGCCCTATTTACTTCGATAAGCAAACGGAAATTCGACGATATCACAATTATTCAATTGACCCCAATTTCTGTGTTCTATTAAAATTAAATAAACAAATTATAAATACTATAAATTATTTAAGTTTTACATTAGCCTAGTGAAATACGGCCATACTTTATTTTGAGTGTAGCTCTTAAATAATTAGCTCGTGATTTTCGGTAAACATTCATTAGATAAAAGTGTTTGCACGCCATGTAGTGTATATACTTTGGTAGTGGTGTATGGTACTAACAAATCTACCCTCAAATTGGAAGTAATAATTATAAAAAGATATTTTACCGTCTACCGGCTAACCCGGATGAATTCGATACTTCAGAATCGCTGCTTAACAAAATTATCTCTAATGCCATTCAAACTTCATAAACTACTAGCTGTATCCATCCGCTTCGCTGAGCATTTATAATTAACATTATTATTTCTCGCCCCTACAAAGATTCTCATCTTGAACGCCCCCGCAACTGGTGTAGGGAGTCCAACACTCATATAAATATTAGCCTATCCATTAATTACATGTATTTTTTACATGGATACCAAGTTATAAGTCAATCGGATGCATGGTTTAGTAATTATAACGGTACATCCGTAAAAACCACGGTAGATTTATATATTAGTATAGATTATTAAACATAAATTCATAGAACAAATTTAAGTAATACCTATTGTATCATCTACAATCAAATTATGTTATTTAAATAAAACGGTTGATTAAAACCGCATTTAGTTGCAGAAGTACTTAACGAAACTTTGGTTGGGTTGTTACCTATTAAGCGTACATTATGAATAAGACCATCGTTATCCGGCTTATTTGTATTTGTTTTACTTGAGTTTACGTGTTAATAGGATAATATAACTTATGGTATTACGCAATTTGGCAGCTCACCGTACATAAAAAGCTAAGTGTTAATGTCATCCCTCGGTTTCAATTTCAGATTAAATTCTAATTAGTACCGTACATATCTGAGATTCTATGAAAATGAACTTATGCTCATAATTCCTACCGACTTGAAGATGTCAATTCATTCATATTTGTCAATGTCATCCATAGGTTTTGGTCAAAGCTAGGGTAAACACTAAACAGTTTCTGCATTACAACTACAACATTTAATTTATATAAAATCTTATTAAATTTGCAGGATACATATAAAATAAGTTAGAGAAATCGTACCACACTTACTTAAAACACATGATAACCTATAAATAAAACAATTATGTGCACAGAGAGATATCTAAAGTAACATTAAAGACATTAAAAGTTTGATTTATATAATCAGATCTAAATAAGTACCATTCTGATGTACGTAAACCTTTACTTTTATTATAAGCGGTAACACTATCCAAATGCCCAAATGTTCATTGAAAAACCGGTGAGTATCCTTTTTAAAGATCAAATATTGTTTTGCTTGCAACGTGTACTGTGCGCCTAACTATTTACTCTGTAAAATATTTAAAATAACATTACTTGTAGTGAGCTTGTAAGTTTTATAAATAAGAAATAAAATTTGACATTATTTAGGTGAAACACATTGGGTATTTTAATCAATTTTATTAAAATCATCTAAATGATTTCCTATTGTCAAACAGACTACTGCAACTACGGCTGAGCACTTGTGTAACAACAGTACTATGTTTAGTGGCAATTATAAATTTCTTTTCATTCTACGGAAAATACAATTACTCTCATATAAATCCACAAGACATACCCAATCAATTGTATAAAGAAATAGCTTCAAACATAGTTTTGAAAAAGTCGAAACCAGACTGTGAGTTTGAGAATATTTTGAAAAGTACAAAAACTACAGACAGCTGGGATGCGCCGAAGAAGAATGAAAACTTCAAAGCCAACAATATTGTTAACGGTAGCTATGTTCCTGAAGAATGCAACCCAATGTTCAGTGTGGCCGTGATAGTTACATACAGGAACAGACAAAAACACCTGGATGTCTTTCTACCATACATGCACAACTTTTTGAGGAAGCAACAATTGCATTATAAGTGAGTAGAAAATATAATTATTATGTTTTATTATGAACTAAGCACACATCTTGGGTAACAAATCAGTTGAATGTATGCCTAAATTGTTTATATTGGTAATTTCTATATTTATACACTTAGCAATCCTTTTATTAAAAGGAAAACAAATACCCTGACTAATACATTACAATAATGAAGATTTTAGATGAGGATTGAAACACTTGATCTAATCCAAATATTTTTGGCCAAATCGCTGTACTATAAATATGTACCTAACACATATATGTACATGAACAATTTCCTTGCAGAAGGAAATATTTCTCTAGATCAGAAAAGTAGTGGTGCCGTTGACATCATGTTGTTTTAGATCTCGAATAACTTACCAGTAGTAGAACCACAAACTCGTCTACCTATGTACACTGTAAAAACACCTAAAAGCTATGATTACGTAAACAAAATGTGTCTATGAGTAATTGCCATTCAGGTTATGTCAGTTGGGTGTTGTTAATTGTCATATTTATGGCAATATACTAGCTTATGCCTTATGGATCTTTCTGATGTCTTTTGGGTGCTGTTGGACACTGCCAATACTAACACTCGCAGGAGCTAAAGCATATGTCACTGTACTGGTCAAACTTGTCAAAGTGTTTGATGTGACACTTAGCTCATAGCCACTGTCATAGTACACTGAGTTTCTCGTAAGATCTTAGTGGGAATAATTGCTTTCAACTTTTAGGCCTCCATCAGCTGCGCTCATGTAGTTTCTAACAAAGTCTTCCCTCCCACCTCGGCCCTCAAACTCGTCTCTCTGTCTGGGTCATCTCTTGGCCACAAGCATGCTAAAACTAAACTAATAACATTTTTTATTTTCAGCTATTTTCCCATAAACTTGGTTTAGTAAAAAAACAATAAAATGTGTCAGAAAACCAAGAAATGATTATCGTTAGTAAATGTTCAATATAAATTTGTAGATTAGATAAGATATCCTGCAATTAAAGGCCGGTTTATGACTTTCTGTAAAAGTTTGATTGAGCGATTAGACTTTCCATTGTATTTAGTGTTAGAATTATGATTTGATTTGTACTGTATCATTATCTTGTAAGACAAAACCGCACTAGATCTTAGTTTGAATTTAAAATGTGTATTCAGATGGTGAAAGGAGGGACTTCAACTGTCCTATTTTATATCTCATACATTATATACCTTGTACAAAGATTTACCTTGTACTATTTAACTTTGAAATTAACTCAAAAATTTCGAAACCATATTGGCTCAGCTCTATGTCCCATAGATCCCCCCTCTATGTCCCATAGTACCCCATATGGAGGTAGAGCAATACTTTGAAGTTGTAAGAAGTGACTATCAGTGGACAGTGACCTCGCCATGCTACTGGCATTTCTTCTCAGCGTCTGTCGCCATTTACTAATGACTGAGATATTGAAACAGAAATCATTTTAGATTATAAAATTTATAAAATAATTTCACACCATCATCTGTCACTATCGGACCTGAATGTGGTGGTAAATATTCGGGTTGTAGCAATATGAATAAATGAGGCAAGTTCATTATTCTCAGAATTTGCAATAAACTCCATTGTTTCTTATCAAATTACCTTAATTATGTATAAACCCGATAAATATTTTTCCAGAATATACTTAATTGAACAAGAAGATAAAAAACCATGGAACAAAGGCTTGCTTTACAATATCGGTGCCAAAAGGGCCATAGCCGAAAAATTCCCCTGCCTCATATTGCACGATGTGGATCTTCTACCATTAGATGAAAGCAATCTCTATGCCTGCCTGAACAACCCGCGACACATGAGCGCCAGCATAGACAAGTTCAGATACGTCCTGACTTACGATTATCTAGTCGGTGGAGTGTTGGCGATAACGGCGGACCAGTTCGTGAAGGTTAATGGGTTTTCTAACAGATTCGAAGGATGGGGCGGAGAAGATGATGACTTTTACGAAAGACTGTCTGCGCACGGATTCAACGTTGTGAGGTGAGTCGGAATTTGTGGCCGATTTGTCTCGTCACCTACAACCTAGCAGAAAAAAATTCAAACCGTCAAGCAGGTGCTGAGTTGGAATCAATCCAACTCAGCACCTGCCGTGACACGTCAGCCGCCAAGCAGTCATTTCTTTTGATTCAAGGGTCGGACAGCCCATACACAATACCATTGAGACAGACCTCACGTACCACGGAAATGAGCGGTGGTCACGTAGTGATGTCTATGAGCTCCCGTGACCACTTCACACTGCGTGGACCATGAGTTTTATCACCCACCTACTTACTAAATTAATACTTTTACCTTGGATTGGATTTCTGCAGAGGAGACTATGATCAATATAATAAATGTCTTTGCTAAATCTTGAAGTCACAATTTGAACAATGCATAACGCGAAACAATGCAAACTTTATGATGATGAATAGAATGAATGTTTCAGGTTCCCACCTCGCATGTCGCGATATACCATGTTGGTTCACCCTCAGGAGCCAAAGAACTCGAGAAGACATCAAATTATGGCCGAAAATCTCCATACGAAAAGTCACGACGGCTACGACTCCGTGCACTACCAGACTGTAGACGAAAGACAACAGAAACTGTTCACCCAACTGCGAGTCAAGTTATGATAATAGTTTTACATAATCGTAAATAGATAAATAAGTTAATGCGCGCACGAAGTGGCGGGAATACATTCAACTTTAAAATAAATATGTAACGGGGTTCGTGGTGATGCGTAACGCGAAATCCTTAAAAGGGGCGCAAATCAATAATTACTTTTTTTTCCTACCTATGCTGATAGCCTTGAGACGCTATTTCAGCTTCGCCTTGTGCAAAATGCACAAATGTGGTAAAATGACACAAAGCTGCTGGACGTAACTTCTCGGGATCCTCCAAAAAGTCCACTGAAAAAATCTCTGTAAATGATCACCATTTTACTGAGATTATATGTCATCCCATATCATATCATCTCATTTCATTTTATTACATTCCAGTTGATTAATGTCTCAAATTAATCATCTTCATTTCTTTTCACTCCTTAATATCATTTTTTTATAAAAATANATGACACAAAGCTGCTGGACGTAACTTCTCGGGATCCTCCAAAAAGTCCACTGAAAAAATCTCTGTAAATGATCACCATTTTACTGAGATTATATGTCATCCCATATCATATCATCTCATTTCATTTTATTACATTCCAGTTGATTAATGTCTCAAATTAATCATCTTCATTTCTTTTCACTCCTTAATATCATTTTTTTATAAAAATAAGAATATAAATTAAAACATGACAGTGAGACATCAAGACATGACCTAAAGGTCCTAGTTACCAGGTCATAAAATCACTTTAAAAAAAAGCAGTTTGGTTGTAGTGCGGGGTCAATGCCCCCTTGACACGTGCGATGCGCGCGAACTGCCCCGCTTGCAATACGACCGACGTAACTTGGCGAGTCCGAACTTCGCGCAGAAGGCTGCGCACAAACGTTTTTAGGAACCAAATGGTGGTATGAGCAACGTGCGCGGGGCGGAGGTCTAGGCTAGGGATTGACTCTATGTAAACTCAATCGTCCCTTTATTCAATCAAATATCGCAATCGATTTTTATCGATTTGGAATTTATTGATTTTTGTTTATATGATATACTGAATCAAATAGATTTACAAACATATTAAATGTTTAAACGAGATTTCGACTTTATATAAAAAAAAAACGAATAACATTTTATTTTCTTGGTTGAAAGACATGATTTAGTTAAATATTAGTTAGTTATATACGACTACTACAATAGGGACTGTTTGTGAATATTTTAAACCTCTTAAAAAATGGAACATAAATATATATTTTTATTTCAATTTCAACCATTTTGAAAATTAATCGATTAAACAATATCCTCAGACACGCATATTGTACATCCCTTTTTCTTGACATCGTTTATATTCGTGCATATTCGGTAATTCTCGGCATGCGGTAATGCATCTCAGTTACACGTTAGCATTGGTGTCGTGTTCGTGTCGCTATCTCTGTCTTGAGTACGGGCGGTTACAAAAGGTTTCATTGATCGTTGTTATTTGTTATTATTTTACTGTTAAGTTTTGTTTAGTGTTAAGTTTTTTGTTTAGTTTTAAGTTTGTTTTAGTATAAAGTGTCCCTCGGTATTTATATTATTTCGCAACAAAGATGCCACCAAAGCATAATAGTGTTTTAAATCGTCAGGCGAGAAAAAATATTTTTGATTTAACTCAGTATTTTAAAAAAGAAAAAGAAGAAGGCGTAAAAGACGTTGACAAAGTTTTTTTAAAAGTTGCTAGCGCAACTGGTGTGTCGCAACGCACAGTACAGCGGATCGCAACTGAAGGCAATATTTCGGGCTTACTTTCGGTATTCCGCACGCCTGGCAAGAAAAGGTCTAAATCAAAGCCTATTACTGATATTGACAATTTTGACCAAGGTGTAATTAAAAGATGCATACACAAGTTCCACCATACCGAAAAAGAAATGCCAACAATAAATAAATTATTAGCGAAACTCAAACAAGACGTGAATTTTCAAGGAGCTAAAACGAGCTTACAGGCTATTGTTAAAAACTTGGGTTTCAAGTGGCGAAAGACCGAAACCAATAGAAAGATCCTTATAGAGAAGACCGACATTCGCCTAAAGAGGATATTGTACTTTAAAGCAATAAAAAAATACAGGCATGAAGGGCGACCAATCGTATACACTGACGAGTCTTATGCCCACTCATCTCATACAAAAAGTAAGGCATGGTCAGATGGTTCCGCTAAAGGACTAAAGTGTCCTATATCAAAAGGTCAGAGGATAGTTATGTTGCACGCTGGATCAGAAGCAGGATTTGTTCCGAATACCCTGCTGATGTTCAAATCTGGGAACAAAACTGGAGACTATCATGATGACATGAATTTTTCAAACTATGAGAAATGGTTACGGACTAAATTGATTCCAAATTTGAGCCCTAACTCGGTGGTTGTTATCGATAACGCTCCATACCACAACAACATTTTGAATCCTGCCCCTACATCCAATGACAAGAAAGCAAAAATGGAATCGTGGTTAGCAGAAAAGGGTATACCATATGAAAAAGACATGCGTAAACCGCGACTTTATGATTTAATAAAAAAAAACAAAGACGGGCATAAACAATACGTGATAGACGAAATGTTTAAAAAATACAACCATGATTCGATTACCGCCTTATCATCCAGATTTAAACCCCATCGAGATGGCGTGGGCTGCTATTAAAGGGCACGTAGCGGCTAAAAACGTCGGCTGGAACATAACCCGGACAATGGAGCTCATCCAAGAAAAAGTAAATTTAATGGGTCAGGAACAAGGGAGTGCTCTATGCAGAAAAGTGCAAAAGGTCGAAGATGAATATACGCAGAGCGATCATATTATTGACGAAATGACGGAACAATTCATCATTAATACAGGTTCAGACTCAGAAAATGAATCTGAAAGTGAGAGCGACGACAATTACGATGACGAACCTATATGCCTAGTACCTCACAAAGGACGCAAGAGGCAGATGACTTTATGTTAGGCATTTCCACCTTCAGCGATAGTGATAGTGAATAGCAAAACGTTTGACTGTAAATACTATTCCGTGTGATTGTGATGAAAATCTACTACTATCGAAAGGTGAGTGAATCCTTAATTTATTACGTTATTTTTATAGATTTGTGTCTCATAGCGTTATGATATTCATTTTATTTGTACTTGGTCCCTGTATAAGGAAATTTTAACTCGTATTTTAATTTTAAAAAATGAATGCCATTATCACTTTTTTTACGAGTGTACATGCGCGAAAGTTCACCTGCGGCTATATTCAGGCTCGCCAAGTTACGTCGGTCGTATTGTACATTGCGCAGTTCCGCCGTATGAACGAGCATTTTAATGCTTAGTTTATGAAACAGTACCGTTTCCCAGACACTGGGCGATTAACAAGGTACCATTATTGAAACGTGATAAACCCATTAAGGTATGATAATAAAGCCACTCACATAACTAGTGTTTCCCATTTGAGATTGCTATCGACTAGTGTTGCAGTTAATCGAAATTGTCTCGCATTCATTAATCAAAATATAAATTATGAATTTATTTTCAATTTTTACAAATATGTTATTGTACCTATATCATTCATTTTCAGTTGATATTAAGATGATAAAAGCACCTTATTGATGCTAAAAAAAAATTATACTGATGTACATACTTAATCAAATTTACTTACATTACTTGTGGTACGACTACATTGCTTTATTATTTTTAACATAAAACCATATTAAATTTGTGAACATGAAATGAGATATATTTATTCTTGTGAAATTTGAGGCTACAATCATTTGCGTAATTAATACTTTCCAATGCCAACAGCTTTAAATATAGTCACCTCTAGTAGTATTTTATAGAGGAATAGAGGAGTTGCAAAAATTAACCCAAAAATACGTGGCGAAGTCATCGTGACCTGCAGGATAACACGCCCGGTGCGTTTGTGCCGAGCGATGCGACGGAGTCGGTGTTCGAATCCCGCATATATAATTATGCATACCATGCACCCCACGCTTTTTTTACAATAAAATCTTTTTTTCTTACATTATTTTTAATTCAAATTTATTAAAATTTATTTTCTATATTGGTAATTTATTTTAAACTATTATTTAATTTTAATTTTTTCATTATTTTTTTTTATTTTTTTTTTTATTTTTTTTTAGTATTGAATTGTCATCGGTCCTTAATAAGTATACCAAATTTCTAGTTAATTCGACGTTTTGAAGGGGGTCAAAATCATGTTCAAAGATTCCATAACATACTATAATACATACGTCGGAAGCTAATAAAAGCATATTAAAATGTTCACGAGTGACCACCACAAGGAAGAAATAACATCATGTAAAAAATCAAACCTGCAAAATTATAATTTGCATAGTTACTTGTGGTAAGACGTCTTGTAAGCCTGCACGGGTAGGTACCACCGCCCTGCCTATTTCTGCCGTGAAGTAGTCAGTTTGAAGGGCGGGGCAGCCGTTGTAACTATATAAGACCTTAGAACTTATATCTCATGGTGGGTGGCAGCATTTACGTTGTAGATGTCTATGGGCTCCAGTAACCACTTAACATCAGGTGGGCTGTGAGCTCGTCCACCAAACTAAGCAATAAAAATAAAAATAAAAAAATACTAGAGACCGAAACTTTTTGTTTGTATTTCTGTTGTATACGTTCATTATTCAAATCCTTTATAGTAAATTGTTCGATTAAATATTATTAAAAATCTTATTAATTATACAATATTTCAAAATACATTATAAATTATTATTTATTATAACACGGATCAATGTATTTGCTTGCCGCTGACGGCGGTATCCGCGTCGAATCAGCCGACCTTGTTTTGTCGTTTATAATGTAAATTATAAATTAAAGACAATAGAAAAGTGAAAAGAGATTACATATTACAATTTAAACTGATTCTGTTAGATTTTACTCTAAGTCCAAATATTACAGAAGATAAATCTTGTACCGTTATAAGATAAGATATATGATGCTTCAATGCACCTATTTTTTTATAAATACAAGAAAAATGCCTTATGACATTTTTTTTTTAATAAAACGTAATTTTTTAATGTAATATGATTTTTTTATTCGTTCGTTATCTCCGAAATTACCGTTTAGTATACAGAAAGTGAAAATCGTTATACACAAAATATTTTTTATTTCTATCAATCAAAATATGCACCCTCGGTCTTCAAAGGCATTTTGGAGTGCCTCTCAACCATCGGAACTATTTCGCTGCTAAAAAGTTGTTTAAACTTGCAAAAAAGTAAGTCTGTTGGTGCAAGGTCTGGTGAGTACAGTGGTTGTGTATTATCTGTGTGCAAAACTTCCAACTGTAAGTTTTTGTAGCTTAGAGACTGTCCGTAGCGCCGCAGGAGGTCGAGCGTTGTCGTGTAGGAGGCGCGGGAATGAGCAATGCTATTTCTCAAGAAGCTGTCTGTGGTGAATTAATCCGGCACTAGACGACCAAACAATGACCATGACTTTTTTAGGGGTAAATTTTCGCTTAGAGCCTTGTTTAGGTGTAGCACTAGGGCTAACCAACATGATGATCGCTTACGATTATTAGATTAAAAGAATAACAATTTTTTAACAAAATTGACAACTTGGAAGAGGAAAAATATAGGGATATTTATTGAAAACTAGCTGACCCGGCAGATTTCGTAGTGCCTCAATCGATAAATAAAAGACCTAAACTTTTGTGTAAAATAAACTTAAAACAAACAAAAGGAATCCGTACGACGGGGGACATATCAAAGGAAAAAAAATTATATTTTTATTTAATTCCGAGCATTTTCATATTTATCTACCTTTTAAACCTTCTTTGGACTTCCACAAATAGTTCAAGACCAAAATCGGTCCAGCCGTTCTCGAGTTTTAGCGAGACTAACGAACAGCAATTCATTTTAAATATATATATGATTTAATAGAAGTTTTGGTTTATGTTCCAAGCATTGAAAATACATTGAAATTTTAATTAAAATGTACCTACGTACATACAACGGGCACCCTTCCTTAAATTAGTAAGAATTTGTAGTAACTCTTATTTATTATTAATATATGTACATTAAAAAAAAATATGTTTATGTTATAATAAAATTTATTTTATTAAAATTAACAATTAAATCAGACTGACTGTCGCATTGGCTTTGACGTTTGAAAGATGTTTACAATCTTTAAGTCACAAACATTCGACAATCAGTGGATATTATCCGAAAAGATATCCAATAGTAGTACACAGCAATAGTCTTGTCCACACATAATTGGATCTTAAAAGTCTTCAAACTCACTCATCTCGCCCCAGTTTTTCCCAACGGAAATTGACACCGGGAGTTTGATTGTTAAAAAGCAGTGTCGCCCACAATCTTCCATCACTTCTTTAATTATACCTAAATGGTAAATAAATAGCTCCAAGTGTAGTTTTCGTCCAAAATAATGTGGAAAGATCACGTTGTACAAATTGTTAATAGGTAAAAATGTAACCGGTGCTTCTCAACTTTTTTATAGAATAGACTTTTATTAGTATACCTAGTATAGGTATATAATGGTAAACATTTGACATGATTTGATTTACATTAATCCCGAAAGAAATGATTCTTCGTCAGAGAATACGGCAGGATAAAAATATACACTTGAAGACAAATTAATGTTCTCAAATATTTTTGCTCGTGTAAATATAGTGACGGATCATATTATGACAAAAAAACAGAATTGCTGTTTTACGATTAAAATATCAAATATTAATTAGATTGACGTAATATATCAAGTTTCATTTACGAATCGTTCCACATAATTATTTTAACACTGTTGAATTAAAATAAGCATATTTCAAAATCTTAAAAAAATAAAAAACGAAATAATTATATAATAATATATCAATCGCGATGGCAACCCTCCGCTGCCCATACGTATGAAAGCATCCTCAAGCTGTCGATCTGTGTGCTGGTTGGAACAGCGCCCCTAGCGGCAAACGTACGCAAACATTCCAACGGCATACAAATTTGAGTTAACTTTTACGCTATCGAGAACGTTAAAAAACTCGCACTAAGCACACAGATATCGCCTTTGTATTGTTTCACAATCGTTACCGGCTGCTCTTTTGATATCTTCATCGGCCACCTCCCAAACCAGCTCGTCGTGTATTTGAAGTAACAGTCGGGCTGATACAGGAGGGACCGCTGCTCGAAGCCGAGCCTCCGTCAGTACCATTGCCGTTTTGCATATGTCTGCGGCTGATCCTTGGAGCAATACAATTGAAACATGTTATTAACTAGTGAGGTCATATTTGATCGGTGGTTCGTTTCGGTTTGACGGCCTTGCATCGCAGTATTGAGATCTTGGTCGCTTGCTCAGGACAGCCGTCGGCAACCCACGTCTCTCTGACCCCTCGGCTCTATGACCCCTTGGCTCTATGACCCCTCGACTCTATGACCCCTCGACTCTATGACCCTCGACTCTATGACCCCTCGACTCTATGACCCCTCGACTCTATGACCCCTCGGCTACGGCTCTTCCGTGAAATGCTTAGTCCAGGCACTCATTATCTTGACTTAAAATGGACGAGTAAACATTTTTGAAACACAAGGCTATAAAAATATATTATGTTAAAAATAATGTCGGGTTTCAGAAACAACACGTTCAACTTCCAACTGACCGAGCAATGCTTAGCTGGCCTAGAATAAAGAAGAGGTTGTGGTATTTTTTTATTGCTTAGATGGGCGGACGAGCTCACGGCCCAACTGGTGTTAAGTGGTTACCGGAGCCTATAGACATCTACAACATAAATGCCGCCACCTACATTGAGATATGAGTTCTAAGGTCTCAGTATAGTTACAACGGCTGCCCCACCCTTCAAACCGAAACGCGTTACTGCTTTATGGCAGAAATAAGCGGGGTGGTGGGACCTACCCTTGCGGACTCACAAGAGGTCCTACTACCAGTAAAAAAGACAAATCTGAAATTATTGAAAATGAATCTATTTATAAGAGACCTAAAAGACTAAAACGTACATTAAAAACAAAACGGTGACCGGAACTTTTCACGCCACATCCCAAAATGTACCAAATTGAACTCCAAGTAAAGTATGGTGTTTAGTGTTAGAACCCAACCTTGTACTACAAAATTGACCGCCTGCCTCTCAGCCTGCGACCTCAAAGTAAAGTCTGGACTGTTAATGTTTCTGAAGTGCCTGACGCGGCCGCAGAGCGTGGCCAGCTTGCCGCCGCCCTGCGCGCAGCGGGACACTACCGAGCGCCCGAATGATTTCAAAGCGGGAAATGTTCCTGACAAAGGGATTAGGTTTTTTTTATTGCTTAAATGGGTGGATGAGCTCACAGCCCACCTGGTTTTAAATGGTTACTGGAGCCCATCTACAACGTAAATGCGCCACCCACCTTGAGATATTAGTTCTAAGGTCTCAGTATAGTTACAACGGCTGCCTCGCTCTTCAAACCGAAACGCATTACTGCTTCACGGCAGAAATAGGCAGGCTGGTGGTACCTACCCGTGCGGACCCACAAGAGGTCCTGCCACCAGTAGGATATTTATGAACTATGTTAAGATATTTGTCCTGAGTTTCCTTGTCTCGTGTTTTCCGCGCCCTTAACATAGGTGAAACACCCGATTCGAAGCGGCTGAATGTGAATGGTTGTTCGTTTCAACTTATTTCAGACATTAATTTAAAAATAAATATCCAATATGACATAAACATCTGCTTACAAATTAATTCCGGCTTGAAGATGAAGAGAATAGTCTAGAATATAAGAGAGAATACAAGGAAGCAGAGGGGGGGCATCACGTGGTGAACTATGGGCTAGGATTTGGTTATTGAAGGTATCAACAAGCAGAATATTAAACTGCTTTATGTCCAATTTCACAAATAAATCTTTGAGATATTTCGCAATCTGCGATGCCTGCGAATCCTGTATAAGGAATGACAAATAAATAAGAACCGTGAACTCAAGTCCACCCAAAAATCTAAATGGCAACTCAGTGACGTACTGTTGAAGCTGGCCGTGACGGCGAGCGTCTCCTCGTAGCTGATGCTGAGGATGTCCATCAGCTTCCGGGAGCCGGCTCCGTATAAGCTCGCGTACACTATGCGCTTGGTGCGCTCTCTGTCCTCTGAATTCACGTCGCTTTCCGGTTTATTTAACCTTCAAATCATATGAAAGCCCTCACTTTTTGACCTTACGCAGAGGTCAACCAGCGAGCTTGTAGTTGGAAGACTCATATGTTCGAAATTGTTGTTAACCAACTTCGTGGGCTCTAAGTGCTACTTTTTGGCATGACAATGGAAGTACTAAAAATAGAACTATCGCACTTAATGTAAGACATGTTTAATGAGCTGATGTGTGTACTCAATGATAATGTTTAACGCGGAAAGAATATATGAAGAATGAAGAAAAAAATATGCTATGCTATCAGAACTGTTATCTGTATTTTTGACCCAACACTGTTTAATTGTATAAATGCGAATTTTTAATTAGTTCTAGCTGAAAGTCGTAATTTAATCGCAAAATAAAAATGTTACTTAAATCTTCCTTAAATTTTATTAAACTTCGTCAAACATCGGAGTTTTATTTTCTCATTACTCGGACGGACGCTCGGCTGATAGCTACATAATCTTGTTTAAAACGAACTTTTTATTTTATTGATCAGATGCATGGACGAGCTCACGGCCCATCTGGTGTTGAGTGGCTACCGGAGCCCATAGACATCTACAACGTAAATGCCGCCACCACCCTTGAGACATGAGTTCTAAGATCTCATTCATAATAGAAATAGGCAGATTGCATGCAGCAGAGATGCGAATGTTGCGATGGATGTGTGGAGTAACGAGAATGGATAAAATACGGAATTAACATGATATAGGAAGTCTGAAAGTGGCACCCGTGACAGAGAAGCTGAGAAGTGCGCGTTTGGGATGATTAATAATATGGACATGTGATGAGACGAAATGAAAATGAGGTTGGTAAGAGTGTGTTAACTGTGAATGTGGAGGATATAGAGGTAGAGGTAGACCTAAAAAGAAATGGATGGATTGCGTGAAAGACGATATGGGTAAGAGGGGAGTGAGCGAAGAAATGGTATATGATAGAAGAGTATGGAAGGAGAAAGCAATCGCCGACCCCAGGTGATTGGGAGAAGGGCAGGATGAATGATGATGATGAATGATAGAAATAGGCAGAGTAGTGGTATCTACCCGTGCGGACTCACAAGACGTTCTACAACCAGTAAATGATACCAATGACTAAAGTATGACTTATGAAGATAATATGGTCAGCTAACCGCCTATCTGCCGGTTCAATTTGGAGGCCCACGCGACTCACCAGCTGGCGGCGAGCACCTTGAACAGGTCTTGACTGTTGAGAGCGCGCGTGAGGGCGGCGTCGGCGGCGGCGTGCGCGAACACGCGACACTCGACGTGCCGGAAGTCGGCGCCCAACAACGACCGGCCCGCGCGTGATACGTACACTGAACGGAAGCTCAGGGACGGCCCGCCGTCGGAACAAAAACTTTATTTAAATTATCTATTATAAATATTAACTAGACGATGACCGAGCTTTGCTCGTTTTTTTTTTGTTAGCGCCATCTTGTTGTGTCTTTAAAGCGGTTAGTTGCCCTCAATTAAGAAAAATAGTATTATTATTCGCCAATAGATGTCGGGAAGAGTTGATTATTGAAAACACGAATAAAACAACATTTTCTGAAAATAAATCTTAGCTAGATCGATTTATCGCCCCCGAAATTCCCTGTATAGGTACTAAATTTTATGAAAATCGTTGGAGCCTTTTATATATATTTACAGATATAAGAATATAGAGAAGAAATGAAGAATGTTAATACATTTTTAAAATTATAGTCAAAATTCTGTTAGTCTCTCCTGTAAAGTTGCAAAAGTGTCGCTAAATAGCCTTTCACCTCTCGATATATTATATAATTCATTAAATACCTAGTAGAATAGACTACCTTTTTTCGCATCATCCGGAAAAATTGAAAGACTAAACGGTGTTTTAGGTATCGCTTGTAAATTTGGGTTATTGGAAGCTATGCGCCCCGTGGCCGCCGCTGTCTGCACCCTGGATGGAACCGTCTATCAAACAGGAGCCTTCAACTTAAAAAAGTAATTTAGAGATCTTCATATCAGTTTAAGGATTTTTTTATTGCTTAGATGGGTGGACGAGCTCACAGCCCACCCGGTGTTAAGTCGTTACTGGAGCCTATAGTCATCTACAACGTAAAATGCGCCACCCACCTTGAGATATGAGTTCTAAAGTCACAGTATAGTTACAACGGCTGCCCCACCCTTCAAACCGAAACGCATTACTGCTTCACGGCAGAAATAGGCAGAGTGGTGGTACCTACCCTCCTACCACCAGTAATTACGCAAATTATAATTTTGCAGGTTTGATTTTTATTACACGATGTTATTCCTTCACTACTGGAAGTCAATCGTGAACATTTGTTAAATACGTATTTCATTAGAAAAATTGGTACCAGCCTGCGGGATTCGAACACCGGTGCATCGCTACATACGAATACACCGGACGTCTTATGCTTTAGGCCACGACGACTTTGACTTCTTGAAGACCCATAAGACCTGCATGGTGGCCATCAGGTGGTATCGCGTTAGTCGCGTGCGTATATTTAATCAGCAAATACTCAGAGCTCACCAAGTGGCGCGCACGAGCCCGTGGGCCGCATGCTGCGCCACCCCGGATAGGAACGTCGCGTGCGCCTTGTGTAAGCGCCGGTACTCCAAAATCAGCTTCGGGAGTGAATGGACCGAAACTAGACTCCGTAACTAGAAGACACAGTCTAGCTTTATACAGATAATGTCATTATTTCATATTTGTATGAGCTATCGGCACACATCAACAGAACAGTTTAGCAGCCTCCGAGCGAAAGAAAACAGTTTTACACGACTACGAACATCGGCAAATGTTCATCCTTCACCCGCTTGGATGTCGTGTGACTATCCTTTGATCTTTACTGTGATTTGTACTGACACTTGCTCGGACACTGGTGTACGATATCTAAAATCGGCACCAAAAAGCCCCAATTGCTTTCACTAAAATTTATACAAAATAGATATGTGTATGTATCTATGTTCCCTAGACACTGAAGAAATGGCTCACTCGATTTCAATTAAAATTCCAAGAAGCTACTGCAGGGTGGTCCAATATTAATAGCGATTAGGTTAAAGATTGACGACCAGCAAAGAATTCTGAGTTTGCTTTTCCTTATTGAAAATTAACTACAAAAGCAGACGAGCACTTGACACATTAACAAAACCTGTCAGGAACAAATATTATTGAATGAATAGATAGATGAAAATGTGTACCATGGCTTCAGATGTAGATTTAGCACCCTTAGAAACTGTCTCCCTGATCTTAACATGGCATTTCGTGTCTAGACCCAATTCGTCGTACAATATAGCCCGGACTTGCGCAGTGGAATTAATCTGAAACGACTTCCCGGCTGCGCTGTGACACTCTGCCTCTACTTCTTTGAGTTTATTCAAAATGACATCCTCCATGGATTTGAGCTTAACCATGTCTACTTTGATGCCATTGTGTTCCATTCCTACATGTGGTATTAATAAAAATAGGTACTTAATTAAAATTCTATTTGCTTTAATTTGAGGTAAATGAGCAGGTGGTTGACGTCGTTTGGATTGTCGGTAATCCCATTCTCACGGATCGTTTGGAACCTCTGGGTCTACGGAGGGACTTTGGTTCCCTCTGTATTTTGTACCATGTTCCATGGGGAGTGCTCTGAGGAATTGTTTGAGATGATACCGGCATCTCATTTTTACCATCGCACTCCCGTCACCGGAATAGAGTTCTTCCATACTACCTGGAGCCACTGCGGTCATCCACAGTGCGTTTCCAGAGGTTTTTTTTGCCACGTACCATCCGGCTATGGAATGAGCTCCCCTCCACGGTGTTTCCCGAGCGCTATGACATGTCCTTCTTCAAACGAGGCTTGTGGTGAGTATTAAGCGGTAGGCAGCAGCTTGGCTCTGCCCCTGGCATTGCTGAACTCCATGGGCGACGGTAGCCACTCACCATCAGGTGGGCCGTATGCTCGTCTGCCTACAAGGGCAATAAAAAAAAACACCCAATTCGAAACCCAATTTGGTGTTAATCAGCATCCGCGGCTTCTAACCACTATAACTGAAACAGCTGCTCTTCGTCGGATGTCAAAATCTCCGTTATATTGGAATAAACCATATGAACCTTCACCTAACCTGATGCGGGACCAGTTCGTCGCGTGGTACCAGCCTGATATAGTGCGTGGATATTTCGTTTGTACAACAAGCTGACTTGACCTACTACTGACATTTCAGAGTTGGCTGTACCCCGGACATTGTCCATGTCTATGCCATTGACTGCTCACCATTAGGCGAACCGTGTGCTCGTCTGCCTAAAGTGACAATAAAAAACTTGCTACGGTGCTTGCTTGACGGTGCTACGTTGCTCGTATCCGATTTGTTCCTCTATGAGCAGACGAGCTCACGGTCCGGGCCATGCAACAGTATGGCCATAGTATTTGAGAAGAGTATCCGGAGGCTGGGATGACTGCTGTGCAGCATAGTTGAGACCTTCACCTCATGTCTCGGGTGACGACGCTCGGGTTTTGATGTCTGTGGGCTCCGGTATCCACTTAGCACCAGATGAGACCTAAGCTCATTTACCCCTTTATTCACATATCGCATAATTATTTCAGATTCTTCTCCGCATTGAAACTGCATTCCGATCCGTTAGTAGTCATGATGCTTTAAAAGCTCCCTCCTGCAGGCCCACTCGAAGAAAAACCTTTTGTTATTTGAATGTGATTGTAGAAAATCTATGTAGTAGTATTTTTCGTTAAAAAAAATTAACAATAAATTGTTAAAGTTTAATAAGGACAAAATAAACTGTTAGTTACTTACCAGCAATAATGGGCAGAAGCTTCATTTCTATATTAACAAAAAGATTCCATAGGTCAGCTTTTGTTAAAGCTTCTAACAGCAGCTCGGCTGACTCCTCTAAGATAGTAATGTACCAAGCAGCTTTTTGCAAGTTGCATTCCGTAGCTACAGTGTAGGTAGGTTTGAAAGAAAGAAGCTTTTGCACATCGGAAAAGTTTTCTGGTGGGTTATCCGGGTCTAGGAGACGTGACCCTATCTGTAATATTTTTGTGTTTCTGAGTACAATTGCAGGATCTATTCATATCATTCTGTTGTTTCCGCTCAGCTAAGGGAGGTAGGTATTTTTGCAAATCGTCCGCGCTGTTCTTATTGAAAATTATCACACGAAAATTTGATGTAGGTACCATTTTTAGTTTCAATTGTATAAAATCAGGGAATTCTATTGGAAACACAGCTATAAAATCACAAGTGCGGATGTTGCGTTAAGGCAAACACATTACACTCCGCGTGACTTATCCGTGCGAATTATATTGAGACATGAGACGGGCAATCTCACCGCCGTTTCCCAAAATAAGTGTCATCTCACCCTGACACCAACCAGCTCTGTATTTAATTTCTAACCAGAAACAATGAACTTTATTTACGGTGCCTCTCCATGACCCCTAACATTGCTGACACCCAGGGAAGGTGCTAGCCACATCACGCACAGGCGGGCCGCTTCCTAGTGTATGGGTATGCGCCACACAACAGTCTAGACTGCTCGCGGTTCGACAATGGGTCGACGTGAATGCGACCTTCCTGTGTGCTTAGTGCGAGTTTTTAACGTTCTCGATAACGTAAAACTCAAAGTATGCAGTTAGAACAGCGCCCCTAGCGGCAAACTTAGGCAAACGTTCCACCTCCATACAAATTTGAGTTAACTTTTACGCTATCGAGAACGTTAAAAAACTCGCACTAAGCACTGAAGCTTTAGTTACGCAAAAATCCAATAGGACAGTAGCTACTAATTACATTATGAAGATAAAACACTATTTTCTTTACCTTCACATCTATAATATTGCAGTTTGTACATTCTGTACATTCGATCCCGTCATTAGCAAGATAAATAATTATGTCCTTGCCATCATAGCAGATTAGTTTGTTATTTTTAAAAAAATCTTTTAAAATCCTATAGAAAAAAGTCTCAAGTTAAAAGTTTGGAGTCTCAAATATGTGTAATGTGGTTATGACACAGCACAGGTGAACCGACGACCTGCTGAAGATCTCGTGGATGCGGCCTGCACTGGACCAGTCGTAGTGAGGACCCTAAGGGGAGGTGATGCCCCTTGGTAGGCTGATGACGATGACGTCAGCAGGGCTACACGTACAGAATCGTGCCCGTTAATATTCTTGGACACGAGCGAAGTTGTTGTTTAAAAGAATTAAGATGTACCTTTTACTCTAGTGTCGAACTATTTTATTTTAAAATTGATTCACATACTATTATATGTATGTATTCACATACATTCGCATGAAAAGAAATTGCTTATTTTGATATTTTTACGGTAGGTGTCCCGAAGAGGTCTTCGTTCACCTAGTATTATATGATTACTGGAGCCCATAGACAACAACAACGTAAATGCCGTCATCCACCTGGAGACATGGGTTGTAGGTCTCAGTGTAACAGTACAACGGCTGCCCCAACCGTCAAACCGAAACGCATTACTGCTTCACGGAAGAAATAGGCAGAGTGGTGGTACCTACCCGCGCGGACTCACAAGACGTCCCAGCATCATTAAATATGCAAATTATATTTGTTGCGTATTTCATTTTAATTACAGGATTATTATTATTATTCTTCTTCCTTTAACGTGGAATTCAGTCGTGAACATTAATTAAGTACGTAATTCATTAGAAACATTGGTACCCGCCGCGGCGCCGGCGAGATTCGACCACCGGCTCAGTAAGGACCGCGCGTCTCATCCTGTAGGCGATGGGGAATCAAGTTTGAACGTATTACTATTGAGTGCCTAAATCTTAAACTCACTTCACGCCGACCTTTCTTTTGAAAACGTAAAATTTATCAGCCAAGTGAACTATAATACCAGCGGGCTGGCAAGTATCGTCCGTATTATGTAGGCTTAGCTGACAAAATCCGTTGCTGAAACAAACCATTCCAATCTGGAGTTAATTTTCATTGAATTAAGGTAAATCTAAAAGTGATAGCACGATTGTTTATAGCTAATTGTTCTTTATAAAGTTGACCATAGGGGTCTACGAGTTCCCTTCGAAGGTGTGATTGCGTTGAACTACTTTCCTAAAACGTACCTGTAATACAACATGACCGTAGCTGTTTGATTATTAACTTCAGATAATTGAGTAATATCATTGGTGTTTTCATTGACATCAATCAGATTATAAGTAATTTCTTTGACCGGTATCTGGGATTTAATCGGAGCCACAAATTTCGATTTCATTTTTTTATTGTTTAGTTCAGAATCCATTGATTCTTCTTGATGATTTATATTTTCAATCAATTCTGTATTTAGCGGCTTACTAAATTTCATAATACCGTCTTTATTTGCTAGTTTTGCTTGAATCACTTTCTTCTTTGAATGTTTTTTTGAATCGATGTGTTCCATTGCACTTTCAAAATGATCAGGTTTTTCAGCAATCTCTACCGATTTTCTTGTGTTAATTAAATCAGTTATTCCTACATCTGAAACACTAACATTTTCAAGCCAATTCTTGACTGCCTTCGTATATTTTTGTTTTCGGAGATTAGCTTTCTCTGGTAAATATAAGGATTTTCTTTCTTTCTTTTTAAGCTTCATCTTAGATTTCGTTTTCTTTAGTGCAACTTCATCTTTATTATTTTTTAAATCACAGACAGCTCTATCAGTGTAGTCAAATGATCTTTCTTCCACTTGTTGATCCAGTGCCATTACCATATCACTTGTGGTGAGTACATCAATATCGAACATAGCATCCCAACTATTACAGTCCCTCGAGTTATTGTCTACTTTAGTAGAAACGCAACTATCCTTGACAGGTGTCCGTTTGGGATTTTCATAGACAGGACCATCAGTATAAGCTGCCTCGTTGACAATATTATTGTTACTGTCAGCAATTGAATCAATACTTATTATTAAAGATTGTTCGAGTTCATTATGGTGAGTGCTATCCAAAATATTCCGTGTTGAAATTTCTTGTGGAAAACTAAATTTATGATTATCTGAATCGTTTTGAACACCTATAGTTGTGTCATTGTTTTGTAATTCTTTAGTTATTATTTGGTTGTTTGTATCAAAACTGCAAAGAAATAGAATATGACTAGCTGTAGCATGTTTGATGTTTTTTTTTTTACATCAACTTCGCTAAGGCGCGAGACAATATGCACAGAAAACAGAATATAAGGTACAGTAATGCAATGCTAAAAAATCGGATCTAAGGTACGATGATATATGATGTATAATTTGTTAATTGTTAGTATTTTAAACTACCTCATTACGTTTTCTGTATGAAGTGTGTTATCCTTAACACTCACTAATCTTTTGAATCGATATTTCAAAAAAGTAAAAGACGTGTGTTCTTTAAAAAACTAGTATAAAGGTATAAAGATCTTCCACCGAGCGGGTGATATTGCTCGGTAGACCAACGGTTCAAATGTTGTTGTTTTTCCCTACCTATGCTGATAGCCTTGAGAGGCTATTTCAGCTTCGCCCTAACGTGTGTAGGTGAGCTCATGGGGCTCAAACCGGAGTGTTGTTAACACTGACCCTAGCAAGAGCAGTGCTTCGCAGTATCTACCACCGGATCGGAAACGCAACCCACTGAGAAGATCCGACGAGAAACTCAGTGGGCTATGTCTATGGGTTAATTCGCCCGTCGAGCCATTCGTCGCAAGCGACAGGTTCGACGAGGACGGTTACCGGATGTTGTTGTTCGGAACTTATAGGTATATATCCAAGTTTATCTTGAAAATGTCGTAGGCGACATTCAGGCATCTGTGAAATATCTTGCGTTGTATGATGGCTACCCACCACAGTATCTTCATAGACTATGTACTTAATGGTAAAAACATAAGTGCTGACTTACTTTAATACTTTTTTGTTTTGAATGGGCTTACTTCGGCCAGTTACGTTGAGGACACCACGCTGACGCTCTGAGTAAAAAATAACAATGTTACCGAACGTATAAAATCCAATAACAGCAGAAGGGCGGGCTTAAGTTTAACGTTATATATATATATATAACGATAGAGATATTTTTTTTTAAAACTTTGAAGCCACTTATAATATATCACAGCGATCTTTAAACGCGATCGACATATCAACCTTGCATAAGTAATGGCCTCTTTTGAGAGAATTCAGTTTAGTATTTTTTTATAAATTTTTTTATTGCTTAGATGGTTGGACGAGCTCACAGCCCACCTGGTGTTAAGTGGTTACTGGAGCCCATAGACATCCACAACGTAAATGCGCCACCCACCTTGAGATATAAGTTCTAAGGTATAGTTACAACGGCTGCCCCACCCTTCAAACCGAAACGCATTACTGCTTCACGGCAGAAATAGGCAGGGCGGTGGTACCCACCCGCGCGGACTGACAAGAGGTCCTACCACCAGTATGAAAATAGCTTAATTTTAATCAATAGATACATATTTAGATTCTATAAAACCGATGTATTTTTTTTGATTTGAACGATCGCGAACGATACATTAAAAGAGCTGCTTGCAAAAAAAAGAAAAGAAGATATATCAACAACTATTTCAACAATAAATAATAAAAAATATACCTGTTGTGTATAAACATATTAGCGTTTTAAGAACTTTTTTACCAAACGATGTCAAATGCTTTTCATAAATAAAAGGATTAAATCTATTAATTTTATTAAATTGAGACTGCATATTTACTGCTTTTCGATTTCCCGCCAAATGTTTTTTTTTAATTCAATTCCTTTTTTTTAATTATGACAAAAAAATTTTTTTTGGAGTTAATGTCCTGGTATAGCCTCGTTACCTTTAGGCCAAATTATGACAATTCTGGTGATGCTCTTATTGCCAATATTTATAAAAAATTTAAATGTTAAGTTTATAAAAATCTTCAATTACAAAATAGATACCTATTCTGATAAATGGAAAATTAAATGATGAAAAAATGAATAAAATTTGCTTTATTTGAAACTGTAATTAATCGGGATGAAATAAATTAACACGAAAAGAGATGAGATGAAATAACAACTCAGTAAAATAGTGGTTATAAGACTATTTTATCTGATCAATGAGAATTCAGTGGACCTTTTGGAAGAACCCGTGAGAGAACGTCCAGCAAGTTACCATTATTATCGTTTATGCTTACAGAAACATTTTTAAATAATACAAATCACACAACCTCGCACCTTACGTATCGCTAAAAAGCCAATTAGATTCGAATCAAAAAATATTGACGGATCTTATATATTCTGTTGATAGCGGTAAATACGCATTTCATACTTTTCTAATACAATATATATATAAGTTAGACAACCAAATGATTTTTTAAATCTTGATAGGTTCGCTATGAGCGATGCTATGTGAATTGTTTTATTTGTTTATTTAGTGTTCCTCTAAGTTTAAATGAATTACAATAGCGGCTTAAAAATCATTTAGCATTTACGAAAATACATGCAATATATGTGCTGTAAGAGGTAATTTCCGGTTCTTCCATGAATTTATGTACTTAAGTTATATTATTATGTACTTAATATAATTATGGAGCTGAATGATGCTACCATTGTGAACTTCTTTGGATTGGATTTTTCTGCTGGGTCTAATCCTTTTAAGTTGATTAACTATGGTCTAGTCTAAGTCTTTTGATTTGGTTATTTAATATTTGATTACGGTGGTGGAACGGAACGGTGGTTTAATAGCTGTTTAGGTTTCTGTAAAAATGCATAAAAATGCGGGAAAATAAAAAAAGACGAAGCATCTACTAAAAAGTCCACTAACATAGTCTCAGTAAATAAACTACCATTTTACTACGACTATAATCCATCCCATCTGAATTCGATTTATGTAATTTCATCCCAATCGATTACAGTATTAAATAAATCGATTTCACATCATTTCACCCATATTCTTTTTTTTTTTCATAACATTTTTAGATAACAGAATATATGTCATGTAATAAAAGATTACAGTGTATACTATATATAATACCTTTGCCTTTCCATCAGGAAAGGGGACTTCTACTATAAAGTATCGTTTCACAAACCATGCAAGTCACAATAAAAAATAAAGAAACTTGTTTTGTCAAATTCAGTCAAATGTCAAAATCAGAAAGACATTAATCAAATTCAGAAAAGTGCAGAACAGAACAAACGAAAAAAGAATTACGTTTTTATTATTAAAATGTGATTTTTATAAACGGTTGAAATTCAAAACAATGGCTGTTAACATTGAGAGCTGCGAAAGCTTACCTCCCGATGAGGAGCCGAAGCTAAAATACGATAGAATGGAAAATGATTTATTGAATATTTTACTGAAAGACGCTGTCAGTTGTATTTGTGTTCATACCAAATTCATCTGTATCGGAACACGTTGGGGTGTGATACACCTGCTAGATCACGAAGGTAACATAGTTGCTATATCCCAGGACGGGAAGCCTGAATTCCAGGCTCATACTATCGCTGTCAACCAAATATCTGTAGACCAAAATGGGGATTACATAGCGAGTTGTTCAGACGATGGTAAAGTTGTCGTATATGGATTGTACAGTAATGATAACACGCACAACCTAAATTTAGGCAGGGCAGTGAAATCAGTTGCATTGGATCCTTGCTACTTCAAGTCAGGTTCAGGAAGAAGATTTCTTACAGGTAAAAACGTTGTACTTAGTATGAATAGAATATTTAGGAAATCCTTTAAACCTCATAACCAAGTCTTATGTAAAAAACTAGTACATAAATAGTCAATAAAATATATAAATGTCGAATTTAAAATGAATATATTCTGTAGTAATAATTAAATAATTGAGAACGAATTACACACATCTGGCCCCAGATAAGGATGTCCTGAATTATGAATGTGAATTGTACATGAATTATGAATGTGGCTGCCCCACCCTTCAAACCGAAATGCATTACTGCTTCACGGCAGAAATAGGCAGGGAGGTGGTACCTACCCATGCGGACTCACAAGAGGTCTCACCACCAGTAAAAAAGACAAATCTGAAATTATTGAAAATGAATCTATTTATAAGACACCTAAAAGACTAAAACGTACATTAAAAACAAAAGAAGGCAAAGCTAAGCAATCCAAGCGCAGTAATTTTCCTTTAGACGAGAAATATTCTGTAAATATATGGTAGGTATACAATATCACTGTTTAAAATGAAACTATAGTTAGATAAAAAAACACAACTACATTTATGCCAGGTCATTACACATTAACCATATAACTTGTGTATAAATCCACCTACTCTGCCTAGTAAATTTTTACTGACTTGAATACATTGACTTTTCGCATTAAAAGTGTACAATTTCCAAAAATATTCGAAATTGAGTTAATATGCTTAAATATTTGGTATCACCAGTATTTTTCTCATAAATACTGTCAAAAGAGTGTAGTTTAGTTTTACTTTTTTTTAGTTTACCTATGTTTTTACTACTATTAATAAAATCAATACATAATTTTATCTTACTTTAAAAGACAGATAATGTAACTGGTAATAAATAAAAAATTAATGTTGCAAAGATGATTAATATTAAAAATATTACATGTTAAACCTTTAAAACACTCTCCTATAAGACATGATTTCCAGTAAGCACAAAATTACCAAACTAATTATGAGTTTGTTTGCTCATCCAAAATTATAAAGGTATACAGGAGATGAGAAAAAATAACATGTGATGTCTTCCAGGTGATCACAGATTGACACTATATGAAAAATCATTCCTCAATCGAATACGAACTACAGTATTACATGAATGCAAGGGAAATGTACAAGCCATGTCCTGGCAAGACAGGTTTGTAGCATGGGCAAGTGAAGTTGGGGTCCGTGTCTATGACCTGGTTGCTAAATGCTCTCTAGGTCTCATCCAATGGGAAAAGAACCCAAATAGATCTATTGAAGACTACCGCTGCAACCTTCTCTGGTCTGCTCCTAAGACTCTAATGATCGGCTGGGTCGATACCATCAGGATATGTGTCATCAGAAAGCGAAGTCAAATTGAATTACAGACTCGTGATGTCACAGAATACCTCGTGGATCCAATATATACCTACCAAATAGATTATTTTATAGGAGGTCTGGGCCCTTTGGACGATCTATTAGTTTTATTAGCTGTTCCAAAAGAATGCGATCCCAAAACCGGAAAGTCGCAAATGCCCGTTTTAATAGTGGCGAATTATAAAGGCTGCGAATTCTGCGAGATATCTTGGGAGACTTTAGACATAAGGGGCTACCAAGAATATAACTGTAATGATTACCATTTAGATATGCTTATAGAAGAAAACAGATTTTTTATTGTTTCCCCCAAAGACATTATCATAGCGAGCCCTTACGACATTGACGATAGAGTCACTTGGTTGACCCAACATAGAAGGTTCGAAAAAGCTATTGCTGTGTTGGAAGAGGTCGGTGGTAAAACTTCTAAGCACTCCGTGATGACGGTGGGCGTACAGTATTTAGATCACTTGCTCTCTGAACATCTTTATCAAGAGGCTGCCATTCTCTGTGCCAGAATATTTAAAAACGATAAAGTTTTATTAGAAAATCAAATATTAAAGTTTGCCGGCGTCAAACAACTTAGAACTATAAGTCCCTACGTGCCGAAGACGCCTGAACAAGCTTTGAGTCCTTACATATACGAACTAATACTTTTCGAATACCTCGAAGTGGATTCACGAGGATTTTTAAAAATAATTAAAGAATGGAATCCAACTCTATACAAAACGAGCGTCGTTATAAACAAAGTAATCGAACATTTGTTAAACACCGAAGTTGACACGAACGTGTATCTGGAAACCTTAGCTTTACTTTACTGCCACCAAAAGCAATACGATAAAGCGCTGACAACATTCTTAACATTGCAACACAAGGATGTATTCAAATTGATAACAGACCACGAAATCTATAACATCATACAGGACAAGATACTCGATCTAATGACGCTAGACTGCGACCAGGCTATATCGATACTCTTGAATAACACCAAAATCCCTGTTGAGGTCGTCGAACAACAACTGGCAAATCACGAAGAATATTTGTATAAGTACTTAGACGCGTACAGCAAGATGGAACCGAACGGTCGATACCATGGAAAACTGGTTCGTCTATACGCCAAATACAATAAAGAAAAATTGTTGCCTTTCTTAAGATGCAGCGATAATTATCCCATACAGGAAGCTTTAGACGTGTGCCAGGCCAACAATTTTTTCCCAGAAATGGTTTTTCTACTCGCGAGAATCGGCAACACCAAGGAGGCATTGCAGATAATTATCGAACAGTTAAACGACATAAACCAAGCCATAACTTTCTGTCAAGAACAAAACGATATGGAACTTTGGATAGATCTGATACAGCAGACGGTCGACAAGCCCGAATATGTCACTTTACTTTTGAAAAGGATAGGGAACTACGTGGACCCGAGGATGTTGATACAGAACATCAAACCGGGTTGCGAAATAAAAGACCTCAAAGAGTGCTTAGCCAAAATGATGTGCGACTATCATCTGCAGCTATCAGTGCAGGAAGCCTGCAAAGTCATTACGCTGAGGAACTACTTTGATTTGCATGAAAAGCAAGTGATGGCTCAACAACGAGGCATATCGGTGACTGACGACTTCCTCTGCTGCGTTTGTCACGGGCGGATCATAATAAGGGACATGTCGAATGCCTCTGACCTTCTAGTTTACAATTGCAGACATTCCTTCCACGCCGGCTGCCTCCCGGAAGGGGACCAGTGTGCTGTTTGTAATGCGGTCAGAATGTGACCCATATTTATTGAGCTCAATCATTTTGAAATCAAAATTTGACTAAGCAAGGATAGAAGTGGTCTAAATACGAATATGAATAATATTTTTTTTGTTTTTATTATAATGATTTGATCTGACGCAATATATCGCCATCTTAATTATATAAAGCCCTAAGTCAATATGGTCTGCTGGCGATGGAAGATTTTATATTTAAAACCGCCTCAAATCACTAATATAATTTTAGTCGTAGCGATATCCATACACACCGAAGGACAACCTCAATAAATAAAATAAGTACATCTGTTCCTATTACACACAATTGTGTAATAACAGAGACCGCTCTAAAATGTTAAATTCTTAATATTGTTTATAATTGGTTCGATGTTTCGGACACCCAGACTACGCTACTGTAAGGTATTGTCCTAATATTGGATCGCTTCTAATCTTTGTTAGAAACATTTGTACATACATATACTCATGGTCCATTGTAATAAAATAATATGGTTTTTTTTTAATTGTTGGCTGACGATAATACGGTCCAACTGATGATGAGCGGTACCGTTGCTCATGGACGCCAGCAATGCTATCGGACAGTCAGACCGCTGCCTAAATGTAAATTTCCGTCTCGCAGCAGTGAGGAGAAGAGAATTAGTTGCTCTTTGTTATTCTAATACATAATACTATAGTCTATTGTAATTTTATTTTAATCCTTCAACGAAACCTGTAAATTTTTGTTTTGTATAATTTGTGTGTTAATGTCTAAAGTTTTCTGCCAATTTAAAAAATAATTAATTATAAAACTTTAACTAAAGTAAATGATAAGCATATTGATTAAGAATTAATTTGATTAGTGTACTTTGTAAATGTTTATGTTTTATTCGGTATTCGCGAGTTGTAGATATTTAGTTTTCTTCCTCCTTCAGCACGGAGTCCGTCAAGTGTTCTAAACCTCAGAGATAAGGAGGCGATTTTTTTTTTTTTTTTGTTGCCTTTCTAGGCAGACGACCATACGGCCCACCTGATGGTGAGTGGTTACCGTCGCCCATGGACTAAAGCAATGCCAAGGGCAGAGCCAAGCCGCTGCCTAATAATAACCGCGGAAATGAGTTGTTTTAATTGTATATTATTAATCTTAAAATTTTCATTAAATTGTTTTGTGTAAGTTTAATTTGGTTATTGAATAGATAAATTCCTGAGTTACCCTACAGATTATTGATGTGCTAGAATTTTGTACTGTATATTTATTGATGATGATGAATGATGAAATGAACACGTGATGTATGTATTAATTAAAACGTGTGGTGCTTTCCAAAATAAATGGCTTGTGTTTTCCTTGTATATTATAATGGGTACTTAGTTCTAATTAAATGAATAACCTATTTGTTCGATGTTGTTTAATTAGTTTAATTAGTCCAAGATAACAGGATAACGAGACCGCAGATCAGCGCTGGAGCTGGACGCGTGTTCTACTGGTGGGCTATTGCTTGTAGGAAGCTTGGTTTGCTGACCTTATGAGAAGATCAACCGAGCCGGTGCCTCTGGTATAAAATAGAGCCCAATGGGGCTTCGTGGTTCTTCTCCACTTCTTTAAATACACGAGTTGCGACCGTGACCTCTCCGAGCTATTATATCTCGCAATAACAATAATACAGTAATGATAATTCTTGTATCCGGTAGTAGCACAGTAGTACTGCATTAGGTACCTATTAAATTATATATAGAATTCAATTAGAAAGTAGGTACTAAGTTTTGTAATGAAATACGTACCTAACAAATGTTCACGATTGACTTCCACGGTGAAGGAATAACATCGTGTAATAAAAATCAAACCCGCAAAATTATAATTTGCGTATAATATATCGGTGGTAGGACCTCGCGTGAGTCCGCGCGGTTAGGTAGGTACCACCACCCGCCTATTTCTGCCGTGAAGCAGTATTGCGTTTCGATTTGAAGGGCGGGGTAGCCGTTGTACTGTAAAACAGACTTAAAACTCATGTCTCAAGGTGGGTGGCGGCATTTACGTTGTGTCTATAGGTTCGGGTAACCACTTAACACCAGACGGGTGGTGGATGATCTCGTCCACCCATCTAAGAAATAAACATAAAAGTCTAAATATGCGGTTTCTATAGAGTTAACACGCTGCATTTACAATGTTGACTATCATTATGTCAAATCTGATAAACATCTGTTCTACTATTAATATTTTTCATATATTTTTACGTGATTAATTGACAAACAGAGTTTTTCATATTTAATATCATAGTATGTTGAGAGCCACAGGTGGAAACTACTATTTTGCCTATGGAGGGAGTATGCATTTCGCTGTAAGAGTAGGGTAGCAGTTATTCTAAAACTGAATCTGTGACATAATGCTACCCCCTGATCGCACTTTTCGGACTGTAAGAGCACGGTCTTCGCTCGTGTGGCCCACACTCTCATAATAATGGGTCCAGCGAATTCTTGTACATCCTATTTCTTTGGACTAAATTATTAGTTTTACTTCAACTCGATTAGCATGACGACGCAATAAACATAAATAATTTAGACTTCCTGTCGGGTGGCTACTTTCTCACCAGGGTTTAACTGTTTTTCAAATTCCAAATACAACTGCAAAATGTATGCATTTTTTGTCATAATATGCTTTACCCTTAAAAATGCAGATCGCATCGTCGATATTGAGTGATTAATGTGGTTTAACCAGTGAGTATCTAGTTTAACCGGTTATTTTTAACAAAATATGAAATTGAAAATAATAATGATAATAAGTTTTTTATTTATTGCTTAGACGGGTGGACGAGCTCACAGCCCACCTGGTGTTAAGTGGTTACTGGAGCCCGTAGACATCTACAACGTAAATGCGCCACCCACGTTGAGATATAAGTTCTAAGGTTTCAAGTATAGTAACAACGGCTGCCCCATCCTTCAAACCGAAACGCATTACTGCTTCACGGCTGAAATAGGCAGGGTGATGTTACCAACCCGTGTGGACTCACAAGAGGTCCTACCACCAGTAATTACGCAAATTATAATTTTTCGGGTTTGATTTTTATTGCACGATGTTATTCCTTCACCGTGGAAGTCAATCGTGAACATTTGTTGAGTACGTATTTCATTAGAAAAATTGGTACCAGTTGAGATTCGAACACCGGTGCATCGCTCAACACGAACGCACCGGACGTCTTATCCTTTAGGCCACGATGACATAGAGCTGGTCTCCATCAGTAAGTATCTTCAGTTGGCATCAGTGCGTTATTTTGAGAAGGCGGCACGACACGAAAACGCTCCTGTCGTGGCCGCCGGTAACTACATACCCGATCCTGCTTTTAGATACCTCAAGCACCGCTCACCGTTGTCTTCGAACCCGTTGCTAGCGACGAAGGGCTCGGCTAGTAAATTTACACAGAGACACAGCCCACTGAGTTTCTCGCCGGATCTTCTCAGTGGGTCGGGTTTCCGTTCCATGGTGGATTCCGCGAAGCACTGCTCTTGCTAGAGCTAGTATTGGCAATGTCCACAGGTTAGAGTCCCGTGAGCTTATCTACTCCCTCGGTTAAGCGGGCATAGCTTTTAAAGCCTGCCTGCTTAAGTAGGAGATAAAAAAAAAAGTTTGTGAACAAAACTATACATTTTAATGGAAAAAGGATTCTTTTCTCCTAATACTTTGTCCTATCTTCATTCTAATTCCTTGCAACATTTTGCGTTATACCGAATAAAAAATATTGTTTATTCCCATGTGGTAGAAAAATGGACGCGCACATGATTCTGTGAGGTTTTGAAAATGTTTTCCTCTATTATTCGAGTGTATTGAGTGTTAAAACTTATAAATTACGTGCAAAAGTGTAGTGTGAAAATGACAGAAATGCCTCCTTNTTTGTCCTATCTTCATTCTAATTCCTTGCAACATTTTGCGTTATACCGAATAAAAAATATTGTTTATTCCCATGTGGTAGAAAAATGGACGCGCACATGATTCTGTGAGGTTTTGAAAATGTTTTCCTCTATTATTCGAGTGTATTGAGTGTTAAAACTTATAAATTACGTGCAAAAGTGTAGTGTGAAAATGACAGAAATGCCTCCTTATCACGCTGTTAAAGATGAAGAGAAAACCAGTGGTCAGAGTGACAGTGATTCCTCTAGCGATACTGATGATTGGGATTTATCTCAATGTTTTGATAAGCCGCGGCACCTTGAGCCTATAAAAGGCGCAGAACGGGTAGAGCACTCTTGGAGAGTTAAAGAAAAGGTAAAGTAAAGAAGTCTTAAATGGTTTTTATTTATTTCAAAAGTGATGTTTGCGAAGTCAAAACAAACGCACATGGTGTTTCCGCCGTATGCAGGGTCTGGGTCGATGCCCTTTACAAAAAATGTTTGTATATATTACGACGTAGTTTGCTTCATTTAAGTCGCGTTTGAAAATGTTTCTCTAAAGTTTGTACATATTGTATTTTCTTGAAATAAGATTATGACTAAAGTCCAAATAGTTTAATTACACAGATGTGTAACCTTATTTTTTTTAATTAAAATAAATAACAACTCCATTTTCAACGCCAATCTACTAGACAAATAAGATAAACCACAAATCTTAATCTATATATTTGTAATACAAATTATTACAAAATTGTGGTCAGTTTTGTCATTTTTTTCATCAATTCATTTAGGATATTCAATCACTCAATTCATCAATTCATTTAGGATTATCCTTAGGTTACTATTTGTTTTATTGATATCAGAATAGATAAGATGTCAATTATATAGTACATATGGAATTTCTGGAAAAGGAAAAAGCTTCAAAATAAAGACTACATTTAAACTAAATATTTACAGTACAAGACACATTGCGTGGCCCTAGTTCTATGCCTGAATGTTGGTGTGGACCCTCCTGATGTTGTTAAAACACAACCCTGTGCGAGGCTCGAGTGTTGGATTGGTATGAATATTTACTAAATTTTATAATCTTAATGTTTCAAAGCTTAGTTATTCTGTTTATTAAAATGCTCTAGCTCAGTGTATGATACCAAGTAAATACTTTAATAACTCTGACTAATTGAATAAGAAATGTCCTTGCTCCCCTCTGAGTCATTTAACGACATTTGGTTATGCCAACACAGCTGTTAGAAATAAATATGTCTTGTAACATTGAGACAAATTTAACATAAANTATAATCTTAATGTTTCAAAGCTTAGTTATTCTGTTTATTAAAATGCTCTAGCTCAGTGTATGATACCAAGTAAATACTTTAATAACTCTGACTAATTGAATAAGAAATGTCCTTGCTCCCCTCTGAGTCATTTAACGACATTTGGTTATGCCAACACAGCTGTTAGAAATAAATATGTCTTGTAACATTGAGACAAATTTAACATAAGATATACACACACATATACATACACATAACACTATTGATAAACTTGAATATAATATTTCTTAGATAATGGAGAGAAGTTTAATATTTGCCAATTTTACTCTTACAATGTTTAAAACTTGTTGTAAATGTTTATAGTTTAATTGCTTTTGTGTTTGTAAAATTTTACAGATCCTTTATCTTTATCACCGAGCAAGGCATTAGAAAGCATTGGTCATGCATTACAATCTCAGTATGAGAGATGGCAACCACGAGCCAGATACAAGCAATCTCTTGACCCCACTAGTGAAGAGGTAAGATAAACTACCAATTGCATGTAACAATAATTGGTAGCTGAAAACTTGTAACAGCTATAAAACTGAGAATCATAAACTATGTAGAAATATTTAAATAGAAAAGAGACGTACAATAAATAATAATTGAATTCTTATGTTCTGTATGCCAACAATATTTCTACAAACTTAATATTCAGTTTTAAAATTAACAATTGTTATTTGCTCAAATGCATAGCAAATAACTACACATAACACTCATCAGAGATTGCTATGCAACTACAAATAGTAGGACTATTAGAACAATAGTAGTAATAATCTTATTTGTAAAATAATCGCAAAAAAATTATAATGAAATGGATTGTCTCCATCAAAAACAAACCCTTGCCTTGGGATAGTGCCAAAATGTGATTGCAGCTATGAGCAAGTTTAACACATTCCCTAAATTCAGTATTATGCTGTTTACTTACATTTGGATTCTGAGTTAATAAGTTTATGCGAACTGCATTAACATTGGCATTATCATGAAACTTTATCTGATTAATGACTACTTTTCTGATTACAATTATGCATCTAATCCTGTGTCATGTTATGTATATAATACATAGTATACAACAGTATGCATAGGATATAATTATATTGTCTTGACAATGAAGTAAAGTAATAACTCTTGTACTGTAATCTAAAAATTATCTGAAGGAGAACAGGGTAGTTGAGAATAAGCTGATAATTGGAGCTTCCATAATTTATACCAAAGACTAGTTTAGTTAGACTTTGACCACATCATGATTAAGTAAAGCTAAGGATAAAATTTCTGTTTAATTAAATGACTAAAAAGGCCAGCAGGAAATTGTTACAAGCCAACACAATTTTGGAAGCATGTGGGATGTCGAATTCTGTTTAATCAGAAAAGGAAATTTAATGCATCATTTGAGTAAAATTGAGAGCTATGCATGAGGAAAATGGTCATTGAAAGGTCTTTTGGCTCACATCACCTGGAGTGTGAGTTAATGCTAACAAAATGAGGTTTTAGGAAAAGATTATGTAATTAACTAAGAGCAATATTATATGAAGACCATTTCAAAATATTATAATAATGCAACTAGGATTTAACAATACTACCAATAAGACAATTTAACAATACTGTTGATAAATCATTGAATGCCTATTTGATTAAATAAACATTGGACAAAGAAATTTGATAAGTGGCATAGTATCTTGTTTTAAAAAGTCTACTAAATCACTGAAATTACTGAAGAAGAACATTAATAAAATACATATTCTAATAATAAAACATTTGACTGTTTGATGACTTGAATAAAAATGACAAATATTATAATTAAGAAGTAAACAAAAGGAAATCACCAAATAATAACAGTAATACTTATATAGATAATAGAGGTTGAAAGTTCAAAAAGTTTGAAGCTGTTGTGGCTTAAAGGATAAGACGCTCGGTGTACTCAAATCGAGCGATGCAACTGTGCCGGTGTTCAAATCTCCCAAATTGTATATATAAAAAAAAAAAGAAATACAAGCGTAACTCATGTTCTTGAATGAGTTCCACGATGTAGGAATAGCATCGTGTAATAAAAACGAAATCCGCAAAAAATATGCAAATTAGAATTGCGGAATTACTATTATAAATATTGATTAACATACATCAAGTCTAGAGCCGTAATAACACCATTTTCTTATGGTCGCATATCTGATTCCTGCTACATAAGAAGTACGGTGATGGGAGTCGCTCGCTGGAGGGAACATATCGGTACTTCGAATATTTAAAAAAATATTATCAGACGATTATCAAATTTATACATTCTGACCAAAACAATACCACGTACTATAACCGGCTAAAACAGTTTATTAAAAATAATCCAAGTTGTTGGAGCCATAAAAACAGTAAAGTCATCTTTGATTGACGCAAATCTAAGAAAGTGCAATAAGTTTGAAGTTCAGATTCTTATTTGTATCCACCTGCTTCTCGCTTCGGTTTCCTCAATGCTGAGGGTCGTGATCATCTCATCGCAACAAGTTTATTATGCATCACTACGCCATTTGTATCCAAAGTAAACTGTATTTCGTGGAAAACGGGGAAGAACTTTAGCTAGTGTTTCATGTTTAATGTAACGAACTCATTAGTTTTACGTAAATTAGCTCGGTCAACCGAATTTATCGCGAGGTCGCGTGTTTCGTGTCAGCTAAGGTCGCTATGACCGCTCCCGCAATGAACCAAATGATGTTTTGGTACATGTTCTTATTAAGTTTAAGGCCAGCTCAAAACGCTCAGCTTGCTCTCCTACGTAATTACGAAAGTAGTTAAGTAGAAACATACTGTAGGTAAAAAAGAAAATGGTCAATATTAATCGATCTCTTACTGGTGGTAGGATCACTTGTGAATCCGCGCGGGTAGGTACCACCGTCTTGCCTATTTCTGCCGTGAAGCAGTAATGCGTTCGGTTTGAAGGGTGGGGCAGCCGTTGTAACTATATCTACTGAGATTTTAGAACTTATATCTCATGGTGGGCGGCGCATTTACTTTGTAAATGTCTATGAGTTCCAGTAACCACTTAACATCAGGTGGGCTGTGAGATCGTCCACCCATCTAAGCAATAAAAAAAAACAGAATTAAAAAAAACTAAAGCGCTAATGTACTCGAAATTTTCAGTTATAACAACATAATTTAAAAATATATTAAACTGGTGTTTTAAGATTGAAAACATCAAAAATGAAATGCGATTTTAATTAGACCGGTTCGTAAATAATTTTAAACACTTTTGTCTCGGAAATCGTAAAATAAACGCGTGTTTGGTCTTTTTCAGGGTTTATTTTAATTTTTTTATTCCTTAGATACCCATCTAAGGACGAGCTCACAGCCCACCTGGTGTTAAGTGGTTACTGGAGCCCATAGACATCTACAACGTAAATGCGCCACCCACCTTGAGATATAAGTTCTAAGGTCTCAAGTATAGTTACAACGGCTGCCCCACCCTTCAAACCGAAACGCATTACTGCTTCACGGCAGAAATAGGCAAGGCGGTGGTACCTACCCGCGCGGACTCACAAGAGGTGTGACGAGAGGTCACACGTGTACGTTTTGCAACACAGCAGGTGCTCTATTTACGTTTACGTCTTCTCTGTCATTACCGTAGTTTGTTGGACTTAATATCAGTACAAATGCTAAAAAAATCCATTGATCCTAATTGCGTTCTCCGAGTTTTTGTGAATCAACGTATGATTCACACCGTGACCGGCGTTTTATTTCGGTCTTTCCGATGTCACCTTCTGTTTATACAGACTTTATTTATGCGCGTTTCGTAGGTATTATATGAATTGACACGTTGCTATGATCATACGCCTCCAATAAAAATAAGATTTTGGACCGATCGCGTGCTTTTTCATATATTTTTGATGCCGCAAAACTATGAATTTATTCGTCACAAAAAAAAGCTATTTTAACAACTTTTATCTTTTAATCCCAATGTTTCTATTAACTGTTTTCTTGGTCACCGACGACTATCGATCAGTTGGTTTAGTGCGAGTTTTTTAAGTTCTCGATCGCGTAAAAGTTAACTCAAATTTATATGGAATCGGAACGTCTTCCCTTCGTTTGCTGCGAGAAGTTAAAAAACTCGCCCTAAGGACACTGTACATATTATCGCAGTGATGATTTGGACCATCGGGGACACAGTAATCGCTCGACTTGAATGCAGTACAGGTCGCTAGGGTTGTCAAGTTCGGTTAGGAGGGTATTACGCAGAAAAATCCTCGATTTATCAATCTCAAAAACCCAGTATGGCTGAACAAAAATGTCGTCATAAAAATTATAATTGTAAATAGATTAATGCGTATTTTAAGTTAATTTAACCCAAAAAAACTTGCTTGTCAATCCAGTAACTGGGTTTCCAAGATTAAGAGTGCAAGCGCCTTCTAAGAGAAGTTTCGGACGTGCTGTCATCGCTCAATAATAATTATGATAGCAGACGCCGCGCCTTGCGAGCTTGTCGAAACTGTATAAGCATAAGCTTTAAATTAAAATATAACGTCTGATCTCCCGGATCCACTCTCGGCTCTTTTAGGCCCAACGAGCACTGGCTACCGTTCTCGTCATACAAAGAGTTTGAACTAACCCGCAGACATAGTTCAATAAGTTTCTCGGCGGATCTTCTTAGTAGGTCAGTTCAATAAGTTTCTCGGCGGATCTTCTTAGTAGGTCAGTTCAATGAGTTTCTCGGCGGATCTTCTTAGTAGGTCAGTTCAATGAGTTTCTCGGCGGATCTTCTTAGTAGGTCGCGATTCCGATCCAGTGATAGATTCAGCGAAGCACTTCCCTTGTTAGGGTTAGGGTTAGCAAATTCGCCAGGCTGAGTCCCGTGAGCTTACCTACACGTTCGGTGAAGCTAGTATAATTCTTCGAGGCTAGTATATGTAAGAAAAAAAGCCTTTATTCAATATACGATTATCCGGATTAATTTATAAAATTGAATACGAACCTTTTTTTTTCATCTTCATTTACGTCTATCGGTTGTAAGGTGGTCGTAAGTCGTACAAAAAGTAACTCATTGTTTGGTTTTACAGGTAAAGAAGTTATGCTGCTCTCTGCGACGTAACGCGAAAGATGAACGCGTGCTTTTTCATTACAACGGACACGGCGTACCCAAGCCGACGGCGCAGGGAGAGATCTGGGTCTTTAATAGGGTGAGTTTTTATTTGTAATCAATTTAGACAGCGGCTTTAATTTTGTAGGCAGCGGCTTGGCTCTGCCCCTGGCATTGCTGAAATCCATGGGCGACGGTAACCACTCACCATCAGGTGGGCCGTATGCTCGTCTACCTGCAAGGGCAATAAAAAAAAACTTAGTTTTTAATAATGAAAAAATGGCGATCACAATACGATACACACTTGAAAATTTTGAAGTACGCATTTGAAAAAAACATTTTTGGTTTGATTTGATTTGATATACAAAATAAAAGAAACCGCTCAATGTTACTGGTGGTAGAAAGTCTTGTGAGTACGCACGGGTAAGTACAACCACCCCGCCTGTTTCTGCCATGAAGCAGTAATGCGTTTCGGAGACCTTAGAATTCATATCGCAAGGTGAGTGGTGGCATTTGATGACATTGTAGATATCTATTGGCTCCTGTAACCACTTAACACCAGGTGGGCCGTGAGCTCGTCCACCCATATAAGCAATAAATAAAAAGTTCAGAACTAGGCAAACTTTTGCAGATAACAGATGAGACAGTACACGTAAGTAGAAAGATGCCACTCATCTTGAAGTTTCAGATGAAAATCTCAACGTACCTATTTTAATGCTCACGCCATCCAGCGGAACCAGTTAACTTTAACTAATATTAGTTATTAAATAGTGACGTTGCGCCGACATCTTTAGATGTCGCAAATTAATAAAAACCAAACTAAAAAATAAAACTAAGGTATTTGTCCCCAGACTTACACCCAGTACATCCCGCTGTCGATGTACGACCTGCAGACGTGGATGGGCGCGCCCTCGCTCTACGTGTACGACTGCTCCAACGCGGGCATCATTGTCGACAGCTTCAAGTTGTTCGCTGATCAACACGAGAGGGAGTACGAGGTATCTGCTATATGATCTTATACCTTTAAACGAGCAATTCTTGTATATTAATATATATATAATCTGAATTTCGGAAACGGCTCCAACGATTTTCATAAAATTTAGTATACAGGGGATTTCGGGGGCGATAAATCGATCTAGCTACGATTTATTTTCAGAAAATGTTTTATTCGTGTTTTCAATAATCAACTCATCCCGACATCTATTGGCGAATAAGAATACAATTTTTCTTAATTGAGAGCAACTAACCGCCTTAAAGACACAACAAGATGGCGTTATGAAAAAAAACCGAGCAAAGCTCGGTCATCATCTAGTATTTATTAAACCGGGGAATTTGGGTTAAGCAATCTTTATCTTTGTAATTAAAAGTGTGTTTTATTATGTAATAGCATCAACAGTTCGAGGTTTTTAATTGACCTTGAATTAAGTTTAATTAGGATTTTTTTTCCAAATTTTAAACTTTAAGTGACTTTCCTTAAAGTTGCAAAAATGTCGTTTAAATATCCCTATAACCTTTCACCCTTCGATATTAATATTATAGCTAAGTAAAACTAGAGCATTTGCTACAGAAACAATAATATGATAATCTGTTTTATCAGTACTATGTAGGGTTCATGTGAACACTTCATAGGGTGACAACATTGTAGGTGAAAAAGTTGAGATACACAGTTTAAATCCATAATTTATGGACAGGCTCAGAAGAATGAAGAAGGCACTTCGAGCATCCCTCAGGTCTCGTACAAGAACTGCATCCAGCTGGCCGCCTGCGCCGCCGGACAGAGCCTGCCCATGAACCCGGAGCTGCCCGCGGACCTGTTCACGGCCTGCCTCACCACGCCGGTCAAGACCGCCATGAAGTGGTTCGTGCTAAGGACCCGGACCAGATACGCCGACAGGGACCTGCACGACCTCATCGATAAGTCAGTACCGTCTCTTAGTTACATCTCGTGTTGTGGTGGTGCTCGGTGATAACAGTGGCCTGTGGACATTCGCAGTTCCACTGTAGTACTCAAATCATGTAAGAATCGAAAAGATTCATTTTATGGTGTAATTATCACAGTATAATATATAAAAAAAATTACTATACAAAAATGATGAATAATTATGTAGAAAATTTTGTATTGGCCCAGAGCAAACAGAGTCGATCAATGACGTGTTTGCACGACGACCGATCAGCTTGGCTAGTTACGTGCGCACCAATGACCGATGATGAGACTACAATTTTGTTACTTTCATATCGGGATATGCTAATCAGGAGCACCAAATTAAAAAAAATATTACTTAAATTGGTATTAAGTTTTTCTATAAAAGCATGTGTAATTAGTTTTTAAAGTACATTGAATGTGTTGTCCAGGATCCCGGGCCAAGTGACGGACCGCCGCACCATGCTGGGCGAACTGAACTGGATCTTCACGGCCATCACCGACACCATCGCCTGGAGCTCGCTGCCCGCCGACCTCTTCCAGCAGCTGTTCAGGGCCGACTTGCTGACGGCCAGCCTCTGCAGGAACTTCTTACTCGCCGACAGGATTATGAGGTTGGTGCTTTTACAGCTGGTGGGGCCCACCACGATAGCATTGTGATGTCTCGTAACCGATCAGAACTAAGAATTAAAATTAAGAATTAAATTACAGTAGTAGATTTTTTTTTTTTTTTTTTTATTTATTTATTTATGTACACACAGAAAACAAGACACAGTACAGAGTAATAGGAAAATTATGTACAAAGGCACTGCTTATTTCTTTGAGAAATCTCTTCCAGCAGACCTGCGAGAGGATAATGAGAATAATAATAAAAAGTGATAAGTGTGTGTAGAACACATAACCAAAATAACAAATACAACATGAGAATTATAGCACATACACATAGCAAATATTAAAAGTAACACAGTAACACTCGTATATGCGAAGAGTATAGAACCATGATCATTCGGTTGATGATAGATAAAATTGTTTGACCTTGTATTTAAAAACGGAATTTATATATTTTTTTGTTATTTTATATTGTTAGATTATTGAGAATAAAGGACATTTGACATTTTTGGGTATTGTCCTTTGCATGTCATTGACACTTTGTAACAAACAACATTCCTCATTTAACTATTTGTTGCTGCGCCCAAAATGTAATATAGAAAATAATAAATACATATTTTACATCCCTATTAATATAATGTTTTGGAAAATCCACCCTTACTTGCATACTCCTAGATCATACAACTGCACCCCCGTGAGCAGTCCGGCGCTGCCGTCGCTGGCCGCGCACCCGCTGTGGGCGGCGTGGGAGCAGACCCTGGACTCGGCGCTGGCCCAACTGGTCACGTTATCTTCGGCTCCACATCCGCTGGATTACTCCCACTCGCCGTTCTTCAGGGATCAGCTCACCGCCTTCCAAGTCTGGCTAGATCTCGGTAAATGTGAGTGCTTACTAGAAACTGTGGTAACCGGCAGCACTTGGTAGCGCATGGACAGCAGCTCGCGGGGGTGGGCCGGCCTGCGGGGCCTGTAAACAATCCCAAAATAATACCGCAAGGGGCTTATTGAAGGTCATGTTGAATTATGCATATATGTATACACTAAAATTTATGTAATTTAGTTTGTTGCTGTTGTAGACAAACGAATATAATACGGCTCACTTGATGATGAGTGGTTACCGTCGCTCATGCTCAGCAATAGCCAGGCCGTTGTCTATGACTGGTATAGTGAGGGAGAGTGCGCTGCAGGGTGCGGCGGGCGCGGCGTGCCGGAGCAGCTGCCGATGGTGCTGCAGGTGCTGCTGAGCACGCTGCACCGGGTGCGCGCGCTGCAGCTGCTGTGCCGGTTCCTGGCGCTGGGCGCGTGGGCGGTGCGCGCCATGCTGGCCGTCGGGATATTCCCCTACATGCTCAAGCTGCTGCAGGCCTCCGCGCCGGTGCTGCGCGCCTCCATGGTCTACATCTGGGCCAGGATCATCGCGGTCGATCCGGTTTGTATTACTTATACATTTCGTTCATTTTATATTCCCTCGGCCAAAAAAACAAGTGCTGGCAATTTCAGCGAATCGAATAATAGTGTAAATGGACTTTTTGGCGGGAACGCGAGGAGTGAAGTGGTGTGATTTGTTTTATTTTATCTAATTAGTGTTTCTTCAGGTTTAAATGTGTAATAACGGTGGTTTATTAACTATTTAGTGTCTGTGAAAGTGCACGAATGTGTGAAATGAAACAAAATATCTTCCAAATCCAAAAGATTTGAGAAAAGTCCACTGAAAAAGTCTCAGTAAATGACTACCATTTTACTGAGATTATACTTCATCCCATATCATCTCGTCTCATTTCATTTCATGCCATGTTTCATAATAATCAACTTCATTTCATTTCATAAATATTTTTTTTCATATAAAAAAGTTATCATTAAAATTAAGACTTGACCTAAAAGGTCTTAGTTACCAGGACATAAAATCCCTTTAAAAAAAAGAATAGTGTAAATGCGAGTTCAAACGATATCAATGCTTTTGGACATGTTTTGAGTTCAGAAAGAAACAAAATGCTATTGTTAATTGTACTTAATTAATCATTAATTGTTTCAGAGCTGTCAAGCGGACCTAGTCAACGCTAAAGGGCACACGTACTTCCTCTCCGTACTGCAAGACCCTACGGTCGACGTAAGTACCCGCAGCAACGAGCACGCCGCGCGGGGGGAGGGGTCCCAGGACAATGGGCTTGAGAATTGTTCATGAAGTCCACTCTCGGAAATAAAGGAGTACCACATATTTAATCTTTAAACTAAATTTATAGACGAGCTTATAGTTCACGCCAGGTGGGCTGTGAGCTCGTCCACCCATCTAAGCAATAAAAAAAAAAATTGCGTTCGCTGTCTACCAGAGCCCATGGACTACACTCTCCAATTATTTCAATCTTATGGCCTGCGACACTGGGGCCACGCGTGTGCACGTAGCATCCAATTAGGATCATCTTCCACTGAGATAGTTCCGTTTCTGCAGAGCGAGCACCGCACCCTGGCCGCCTACGTGCTGGCCGGCATCGTGGACGGCTACCCGGCGGGGCAGGAGGCCGCGCTGCAGGTGAGCCCTTGGACCGCATCACACGTGCTATGTATCTACGGTCAGCTACTGTAAGACGTACGTAAGAAATTGAACTAAATTAAAAATTCCGATTGGCAGGGCTCAATGATATCGATCTGCCTCGAGCAGCTCGGCGACAGGGAGCCGGTACTGGCTCAGTGGATCTGCATCAGCCTGGGCCGGCTGTGGCGCGGGTTCGAGGCGGCGCGATGGACGGGAGTCAGAGATCTCGCGCACGAGAAACTGTTCCCGCTCCTTGAGCATTCTGAGCCTGAGGTACTGATACGTTACCCCCCTCGAGGGGGCCGTCACGGAGCAGCTGCCCATGCTCCTACACTATTGTGTGCCCGGGTAGACGAGCCCACGGCCCACGTGACGAACAAGGTTGACAAGGCTTATAAACATCACATGAATAGTTTCAGTGCTACTGTGACGGGGTCCTAGTATTGTTTGCTTATATTCATATTCGTCGGCCTGTAATGTAAAGCGTACAAACTCGCGACGTGCTTTTGTATGCTTTACAAGTCGTGCTCGTTTGTCAGTAACATTTTCGACTCTGTAAGCGATTTCTCTTTACCTTCTATTAGTTTATTTTTATTTTTTTATTAAGCTTTATTAAGGGGCTTTATTAAGTTTTAAAAGAACTTTATTGGTGGTAATTACTGGTTTACTGGTGGTAGTAAGTACCACCACCCTGCCTATTTCTGTCGTGAAGCAGTAATGCGTTTCGGTTTGAAGGGTGGAGCAGCCATTGTAACTATACTTGAAACCTTAGAACTCATATCTCAAGTTGGGTGGCGCATTTACGTTGTAGATGTCTATAGGCTCCAGTAACCACTTAACAACCAGCTGGGCTGTGAGTTCGTCCACCCATTTAAGCAATAAAAAAAAAGAATAGTTGATGTGACGATGATGCGGCGGCAGGTCCGCGCGGCGTGCGCCTTCGCGCTGGGCTCGTTCGTGTGGTGGTGCGGCGGCGCCGGGCGCTGCGAGCAGGCCAACGCGCTGGACCTGCAGGTGGGCGTGCAGCTGGCCGCGCGCCTGCCGCTCGACGCCAGCCCGCTCGTGCGCGCAGAGATACTGGCCGGTACGTACCCGCGTGTCCCCCCGCCCCCCGCCGGCCCCGCAGGTGGGCGTGCAGCTGGCCGCGCGCCTGCCGCTCGACGCCAGCCCGCTCGTGCGCGCAGAGATACTGGCCGGTACGTACCCGCGTGTCTGCCTATGTCACTCGGGAATAGTATAACTTACAAACAGTGAAAGAATTTTCCAAATCGATTCAGTAGTTCCGGAGCTTATTCAATACAAACAAACAAATCTTTCCTCTTTATAATATTAGTATAGATTTCTAAATCAAATAGAACTTCTCTATTTGATTTGAAGAGGTTTGAGTCTACAGTTTTATAATAATAATTATTTTTTACAGCATTACAGTGGCTGGTGTTAATATTTGAACAACACTTCATCGCTGTTTACATACAAGAACGGGTCAGAAGAAATGATAGGTAAGAATTAATATGAAGATTGCACAATTTTTTATATTTTTTTATTGCTTATCTGGGTGGACGAACTCACAACCCAGCTGGTTGTTAAATAGTTACTGGAGCCCAAAGACATCAACAACGTAAATGCGCCACCCACCTTGAGATATAAGTAAGGTCTCAGTATAGTAACAACGGCTGCCCCGCCCTTCAAACTGAAACGCATTACTGCTTCACGGCAGAAATAGGCAGGGTGGTGGTACCTACCCGAGCGGACTCACAAGAAGGCCTACCACCAGGTAAAATTAAAACTTATTTCAAAAACGTACCACTTATTAACCCAATTCACCTAAATACCTAATATGCTCAGGGGTGGCCCGTCCGGGCGCGTGGAGGCGGGGCAGGAGGCGCTGGCGGGGGGCGGCGGGGGCGCGGCGGGAGGTCGGTCCCGGCCCCCCCACTACTCGCTGCCGGCCATCGGGTTCGGCTCCGTGCCGGTCCGGCTGTTCTCCACGCTGTGCGCCATGGCCCGGGAGCCGCACCCCAGGGTCGCGCAGATGGCCACCGACATCCTCAATTACATCTCGAACCAGGTCAGCCTCTCGCTCCAGACGATTGCCATAAAATTAATACGGTGCAGTCTTATAATGTAGCAATGAAGCAAATGGCAAAAAACACATGGGGGACGGACCCTGATCTTAATGACATATATCTACATACTGTAGCATAAACAACCAAACACTGAAGTATAGAGTCGATAAGCTAACGTACACCGCCTACATAGAGCTTACATATAATAACTATGCAACAAAGAAATAGTAGGCAGCGGCATGGCTCTACCCCTCGCATTGCTGAAGTCCATGGGTGACGGTAACCATTCACCATCAGGTGAGCCGTACTCTTGTCTGCCTACACTACAAGGGCTATAAAAAAATAATTATTATTATGTGATCATAAATTAAGATTAAAATTAACCTATCTGTTAAGGTGGAACAAAGTAAGAATCTGAAAAAATTATTGTTTTAATCGAATAATTATTTTCGGAATTCTTTTCGGACAAACATAATGATAAATGAGTTTTATAAAAAGTAGAATTGTCAACAGAGCGCCCAAGTGGACAGCGTGGCGGAACCCGCGCGGAACTCCGCCAGCCTGCCGCCCTCGCCCGGGACCCGTCACCACGAGCACGCCCGGACCCTGCCCGGACACGGTGCGTGCACCTACACACACTAGCGGAACTCTATATAACTCACTATTATATTGTTACGGGCTGGGGTTCGGGATAAATAAAAATTTCACCAAAGTACAACTAACAACTGTATTCAACACTTAAAACACTTTAAAACTCTCAATTCGCTTATTCCGCTTCGCTTCAGGTGATCCTTCGCTGTTTTGCTTCGAGTAGTTCCGATTACTAACTGACTGCGTGCCATCTCTACAACGCTTTTATAGCGGATTCCTCATCCCTAGAATTATCGAGAATATTCTACACGTCTCCAGTCGTAGTTTCCGCTATCTGTCAATAGATGGTGTTACTCTTACCGGCGTAACAATATTATAACATTTATTGAATTTGTAGGCCATCGTCGCGGCAAGTCGGGGCTGCCACACACCATATCCGAGGAGTCCGTCGCGAATAGAGACCGCGACTCGGGAGGGGACCGAGAACGGCACAAAGATTCACTCTCATCTAATTCTAGTAAGTTCACCCTCCATGATGTGTCTACATCTTTTTTTTATTTATTGCTTAGATGGGTGGATGAGCTCAAAGCCCACCTGGTGTTAAGTGGTTACTGGAGCCCATAGACATCCACAACGTAAACGCGCCACCCATCTTAAGATATAAGTTCTAAGGTCTCAAGTATAGTTACAACGGCTGCCCCACCCTTCGAACCGAAACGCATTACTGCTTCACGGCAGAAACAGGCAGGGTGGTGGTACCTATCCGTGCGGACTCACAAGAGGTCCTACCACCAGTAAAACATCTTCATCAACTAGTATCTCTGTATGGTATCCTGTCGTTGTCCAGGTCAGACATGTACGAGCAAGAAGGCGATAGTGAGCACCGAGTTCGTGGAGTGGGCGGGCGGCGCGTTCTCCCGGCCCGAGCCCGCGCGCCCGGACTGCGAGAGCCGCGAGCACCACCAGCGCCGCTGGACCCTCGCGCGCAACCGCGAGCTGCGCAGGGAGGCCAGAGGTACCGCACCTCACAGAGATCGACAGGCGAAGTCTCGAATTACTATCTACTATTAAACATTTATCTCATCATCATCTTCCTGCCCTTCTCCCAGTTACTTAAGGTCGGCACACCATGTTTTCTCCTCCCATACTCCTCTATCATATACAATTTCTTCACTCACTCCCTTCTTACTTCACGCAATCCATCCATTTCTTCTTAGGTCTACCTCTTCCGCTATATCCTCCACATTCACAGTTAACACTCTCTTTCATTTCGTTTTATCACAATATATCCATAGCATCTCAAACGCGCACTTCTCAACTTCTCTGTCACATGTACCACTTTCAGACGTCCTCTAACATTTAAACATTTATCTATGGAATTGAGTATGAAACGTATCGAACACTGTGATGATTGCGTGTTGCATGTGGCATGTGGGTGCAGCCGCGTGCCGCGTGTCCCGGCTGGAGACGCAGGCCTTCCACTCGCGCTGCCCGCTGCCGCCCGCCGTGGTGCTCTTCCACCCCTACGACCAGCATCTGGCCGTCGCCTCCAAGGATAACTTTGGGTACGTATATTTCAATGTGTCACAACCGTGCTGTGATTACCTTCCATAAAGGTTGGGTTATGCAAGAGGGGTACCCGTCGGTCGGGCGCCCTGGGGTGGCGCCGCGTGTCTGGTTGTAGTGTTGACCGCGGGAATCCCCCTACTCTGACCGGGTTTTGACCCCGGATGGAGATCGGACATCGGGTCTAAGAGTGTAGGGGAGTCGTTTAGTGGGTAGGGCCCTAAAATGCTTTGGGCCTGCGGTCTGCTCCCAACACCTTGCAGATCGTCGAGTCCCACATACTCCGCGCGCCCTCTAGACGCGTGGACCTCGTAGGAGGTTAGGCCCCCAGCCCGAAAAAAAAATGCAAGATGTGTCCGTGGGGCTGGTAAATAATGTGAGGGACGAGGTGGTGACGTGCCGTACTTGTAACTTTATGAAGTGAAAACTTCTGTGGCGCCGTGGTCATTTGTCGATGAAAAGCGACCACACGAATCTGTTCGGTTACATATTTTATGATCAGATCTGCTTATCTAAATAAATTGAATTTGTCAAAGTACCAGGTTCACATAAACGTAAGGATTTCTCTTTGAATTTGTTATTTCATTCAGTACTGCCAATTGTTACAAAATAAATATCTTAAAATTCATTCAAATTTGAAACACAAACTTTTTATTTCTAATAGATATTATAGACAAAGCTCGTGGTCGACCTAGGGTCAGGGCTCAACGGAGTGTTGGGCCCGCACCCCCTGACGTTCTATCCGCTAAACAGGAAGTTCCTACTTCTATGACGAGTACGGTCGCCAGAAAAGTTTTCGATCTATCTGATGTCGTTTGGTTTCGTGATTGATTGACCGCGTGGTGGTGCTCTCCGCAGTATCTGGGACTGGGGCACGGCGGCCAAGCTGTGCGTGGGCTCGTGGCGCCCGGCGTGGGGCCGCATCTCCTCGCTGGCCTACCTCAACGAGCACCAGCACGCGCTGCTGGCCGTGGCCTCGCACACCGGCAACCTGGCAGTCTACAGGTACCGGTCCCCAAGTGTCAGCTCCTGTAGCCGCTCTCAGCGACCCGTTGTATAAGAGTCCCCGTACATGTGGTGGTGCCACACAGGCCGTCGGGCAGCAGCACGGAGCCGGCGCTGGTGAGCGCGTGGCGCGCGCTGGACGTGTCCCCCCCGCCGCAGTACACCCCGCCGCGCGCGCAGCCCATCTACAGTACGTACCCGCAACCACCTGTTCCCTCAGACACCTGTCTCCCCAATCATCTGTCCCCCCAGTCATCTGTCCCCCCAGCCATTTGTCCCCCCAGCCATCTGTCCCCCCAGACATCTGTCTCCCCAGACATCTGTCTCCCCAGACATCTGTCCCCCCAAACATCTGTCCCCCCAGACATCTGTCCCCCTAGACATGTCACTGTCAAGTTGATATGAAACGAACGCGACTGCACTTTTGCAGAGGGCTCCGACCTTCCTCAGAGACACAGCAATCACTTTGTAACAACAAGAACTACTCATATTATAGTATTAGAACTAATCTTGCTCCTGGGACACAGTACATTCAACATTGTCCCGTATACTACAAAACGCAACTTATTTACCTGTGACGCCATTTGGGGCCAAATGCAGTATTGTAATTTGGGGTAGTGTATTGTGGGGTATTGTAATTTGTAAGTGAGTTGGGGCAGCCGTTGTAACTATACTAAGACTATAACTTATATCTCAAGGTGTGGAGGCGCATTTACGTTGTAGATGTCTATGGGCTCCAGTAACCAGTAAAAAAAAAGCGCTTATTAACTGACTCAGTGACGAGTACCTAATTAAGCCGAAAACCTTAATTATTTAAAACTCCTTAGGTTTTAAAAAGGGTTTTTCTTCAGTGTCATGGAGTGAAGTCAGTTATTCAATAAAAAGAAAGCTCAGTTTGGATAGTTTATTAATACAGTTTAATTTTGGTTATTAATTTTAAAAGAGATTAAGGGCTTTAAATGTTCTTTTCTTATTATATCACAGAGAACACAATTAAGTATTTTATTGTTTATTCATCCTGAAGTACCTACTCCATATCATTATATATATTTAAAGGCACGATACATAATCTATGTCAGTCTCTGGTACCCTGACCAAAGGGACTTTTTGGCGGGAACGAGAGGAGTGAAGTTCTGTGATTTGTTGTGACAAAATAATTTTATCTATTTAGTGTTTCTTCGGGTTTAAATGTGTAATAATGGTGGTTTATTAACTGTTTAATATCTGTGAAAGTGCACAAATGTGGGAAAATGAAACAAAGCCGCTGGACGTAACTTCTCGGGATCCTCCAAAAAGTCCACTGAAAAAATCTTAGTAAATGACCACCATTTTACTGAGATTATATTTCATCCCATATCATCTCAATTCATNTTTTCCAAATAATAGGTCCTGAACCAAAAAACTATTAATTTGTAAGCAATATCGAGATAATTTCGATATAGACATTTCGCTGTCGGACTTCCTTACTAGTCGCGGCGGCGAACGTGAGTACCCGTGGCCTGCAAACGGTGCTGCGCGAATGGTCGCCTCGGCCACCGCTTCGCTGTTCGCACCGCCGATCCCCGTGGCCAGGCCGTATGACCGGGCGTGATTTGTTCGCAGTAACTTTACCGCCGCAGCAATCGTTTCGTTACAAATGCAATGTAATCACAATCTATCCCAGGTATAGCTCAACTGGTCTCTGATCAGTTCTCCTCGAACGAAGACAAACTAGCGACGAACAAAAACAAGCAGCAGGCCGACCCCAACTGTAAGTGGCACTTTAATCAACTCATCTCTATATCAACAGTCAATATTTTAAATATTAATTTGAAGAACAGCGGATGTATTAATGGCACATTTGCTCTATAGAAAGGGTGATCCTACGGTCCAATGAGCGAGTCCGATCGAACCCTTTCGTCAGGCGCAAATTCACGTCTATTTAATAAAAGTAATGGTCTCATTTGTTGATCTATAATTTTTATTTGTTAAAAATATATATTTCTAAATTCTAATGATAATTATTTCTAAAAAAAAAAGTTTTGACGTGACAACGTCTTATAACTCGATGGAGCCGGCTGCACGCGCAACACAAAAACATGACTCATGCGGCGTTACCTCGCTCTGAGGCGTTCCATTTAAGGCTTGAAGTGCAAACGAGAGCGCGCAACGAGTGACAGAGGCACAATCGGCCTCCGCGTTCGGCAGCGTTCGACATCTGTCTCTCTCCTACTTGAGTGAGCGATGCATCCGCGTGGACAGCTGCTATACAATAATACATTTACATGTTGTCGTCAAGTATGAAGTTCAGTAAAAAATGAATGTGGTGTCAATTGTTTATAGCAACGATAATTGCGAGAATTGAAAAATGAAACCATTCCATCAGTATTTTCTTATGACGTTGTCACGTTCAACATCTTTTAAGACTGATTTAATAGATAAATGAACAGTAGGACTCAATTTAAAAGGTGTTCATTTCCTACACTCAATTACAATGTGTTGGGGGGTGCGTGTGCGCAGTGGGCGGCGGCACGGTAGTGCGCTGGGTGGCGGCGCGGCGCTGGGTGGCGGCGGGCGGGCGCGCGCGCGGCGTGCGGCTGTGGGATGCGCGGCGCGAGCTGCGGGTGGGCGACCTGGCCGCGCCCGGGGACGCCGCCCTCACCGCGCTGGGGGCCGCGCGCCCCGACGTGCTGGCCGCCGGCTTCCAGGACGGCGCCGTGCGGCTGTGGGACCAGCGCACCCTGGCGCCCACGCACGACCTGCGCCGCCACGCCGCGCCCGTGCTGGCCGCCGCGCACTCGCTGCGCGCCGACCTGCTCGTCACCGGCTGGTACGTACTCTTGTGTGTACAGGCATCGTATATTGTCGCCGCAACAACACTCGTCCCTTATTGAGTTACTCACGCACGTGTAGGGAGCTGAATGTAGTTTCGATTGATTTATCTATATTGACATCTACCGGCAGGCGCAACCTGCTTGAAACGCGCTCGACTTTGTGCTGAGTATAGGCAAAATTATAATTTGAGTAATTACTGGTGCTAGGACCTCTTGTGAGTCCGCACGGGTAGGTACCACCACTTTACCTATTTCTGTCGTGAAGCAGAAACAATTTTCGGTTTAAAGGGCGGGGCAGTCATTGTAACGTTACTGATACTTTAGAACTTATATATCAAGGTGGGTGGTGCATTTACATTCCAGATGTCTATGAACTCCAGTAACCACTTAACACCAGGTGGACTGTAAGCTCGTCCACCCATCTAAACAATAAAAATAAATAAATAAAAAGGACATTTGCATCAAACACTAACACTGCTCCCACGAATGGATTTGTCCGAAGATCGATAACCCTAACTGATATTTGTTGTTGAACGCAGCGCGAACGGCGAGATATGCATATACGACACCCGCAAGATGGCCGTGCTGGAGGAGATCCGCGCGCCCGGGCCGCTCGCCGCCGTGGACGTGCACCCGCTGTGCGACCTCGTGGCCTGGTCAGTACCGCGCCCGCCCCCCAACCCCCCGCCCGCCCCCGGCCCCGCGCCTAACCCGCCTGTCCTGTTGCAGTGGCTCGCTGAACCAGTGCATCAGCCTGTACGACCTGCGGGGGAACGCGCTCAACACCATCAAGTTCCACGAGGGCTTCATGGGGCCCCGCATCGGGCCCGTGTCCTGTCTGGCCTTCCACCCGCTCAGGTGGGCGCCCACCGCACGCCGCCTTACGTGGCGATCGAGGACTCATTTTCATAGTTACTTTTGTGACGTTCTTAGTAGAAACTGGGCTAAGTACTCTCTCATGAAACTTAATTCAATTTGATAATCACTTATTGTCATGACCTGCGTAAACTTAAACACACAAATATGCCTTGTTAACAATTATTCATTTCTGTGTAGTACAATGTACATGTTTCAATACAATCGAATAGTGACGCTGTGGGGTCAACTGAACACAAGTGGGTCGCCCTCTGCTCCTCTTGTTTATTACTTTGATTTATTTTTTTATTGCCATTATAAGCAGCTGGACTTATGGCCCACCTAGTGGTGAGCGGTTACCGTCTCTCATGAACGTCAGCAAAATCAGGGACTCAGCTAAGGCTGCCCACCGCCGAGCACTCTCCGCAAGCCTAGGTCGTGGTGGTGGGCAGACGACCACAGGGCATTTTTACGGATCGTTTGGAACCTCTGGGTCTGCGGAGGGACTTCGGTTCCGTCTGTATTCTGTACCGTATGTTCCATGGGGAGTGCCCTGAAAATTTGTTTGAGATGATATCAACGTCTCGTTTTTACCATCGCACCGCCCGCCACCGGAGTAGAGTTCATCCATACTACCTGGAGCCACTGCGGTCATCCACAGTGCGTTTCCAGAGGTCTTTTTTGCCACATACCATCCGGCTATGGAATGAGCTCCCCTCCACAGTGTTTCCCGAGCGCTATGACATGTCCTTCTTCAAACGAGGCTTGTGGAGAATATTAAGCGGTAGACAGCGGCTTGGCTCTGCCCCTGGCATTGCTGAAGTCTATGGGCGACGGTAACCACTCACCATCAGGTATGCTCCGTATGGACCGTATGCTCGTCTGCCTACACGGCAATAAAAAAAGGGCGGGTGATACTGAACTGACGGCCGGCGGCTCTGTGCAGGTGCGCGATGGGCGTGGGCTCCAAGGACTCCACGGTGTCGGTGTACGTGGCGGAGTCGCGCCGGTGACCCTCGCTGTACGGCATCACGCTGCCCTTCCGCGCGGCGAGCGCCGGCCCAGGTACTCCACGTGCTCTTGACCCAGCACTCCTCTGAGTTATGGGTAACATCGTAGCTCTAAGTAAACTGGCGCAACGGGCCGGGCTCATCCGCTGTATGGTTGTCAGTGTTAAGAAGAAGCCCGGCCAAAAAAATACGATTTTTTTAAAGGGAATTTATGACCTGGTAACTAAAACCTTTAAGTCGTGTCTTATTTTAATTTTAATTTTAATAAAAAATTATAATATGGAGAGAAATGAAATGAAGATGATTAATTTGAGGCATTAATCAACTGAGACGAAATTAAATGAGATGATATGGGATGAAATATAATCTGAGTAAAATGGTAGTCATTTACTGAGACTTTTTCAGTGGACTTTTTGAAAGATCCCGAGAAGTTACGTCAAGTACATATTTAAACCTGAAGAAACACTAAATAGACAAAATAAAACAAATCACAAAACTTCACACCTTGCGTTCCCGCCAAAAAGTCCTTCAAAAAAAATACGAGTACACTACTTTGCACAGAACACATTTATTATTATTATTATTATTATTCAATGCCCTAGAGAATGAAATGAAGCCAATTGAATCGGAACGGAATGAGGTTAAAGGAAAAGTGGACAATGTCCGATAAAATTTTGGGAATTTACTTAAATCTCTATGAACTTTTTGGAAAGACCTATGTTCCGGTATTTTATATTATTTTCCCACGCTTGTGCATGTATACACATCGACGGTTGAAAGGCAAACGTGACTAAGCGACAATAACTGCTTTATTGATATTATTAATGATAGGCAATAACCATATTCGATGCGCAAAAAATATATATTTCTAGGTCTATTAAAATAATTTCAATCCTACAGCTAGATTCGTTAAAATAGATTTTTTTCAAGTATTTCAACTTTATATTAATCTACTGTAAACTTCACGCATTGTCGCAGTCACGTTTGCCTTTCAAGCGTCGATATGTTAAGGATCAATAACTCACTGTTCATGCGCATTGAAACCTGAAGAAAGACAAGAAAACGTGAAAAAAAATATTTCCTTCTTCACGTTCCTGCCAATAAGTCTTTAATGTATTTATTATAAAAAAAAAACCAACAGCCTACAACATGTCGATCTCCCAAACATCCAGGTAATTAGAAGCTTGAACGAAGGCGAGCAGCCGGCCGCCGACCCGCGCAGCTCTTGTAAATATTCCACTGCACTGTACATTGCTGGCTTCGTATGGCCGTCGCTTACACACTTCGGATATATATACTGTATATCTCTAGCGGCTCCGTACACAGCCGGAGACTTCGGATAGCTTAGTCTAGAGCATGGACGACTGACAGCTAACAGTAAACATGAAATTTAACTGCGAAGACCTTGGAAATCTAAAATATAATGCAGTAAGAGTCAATGTAAAATCTGTGAAATAAGATAAGTTAAGAACTCTAAGCGGTCAATGAACATAGAGTCAGTCACAGATAATTATTTATAGAGCGCTTAAAGCATTACGATGTCTATGATTTGTAAATTACAGATAATCAATGTTTGTCAGATTATAACAGATTGATGCCGATTGGTCTAGTTCTATTTATTTAAAGCAATATTTCGTATAACTTACAAGAAACTTGTATTGCATTAAGTAATAATCGTCGTAATGTCGCTTGTGTCTGCGGTCACCGTCTCTTTGTGCTTAATGGTTCGACCTAAACAAATTGATAATTCGCTCTTCATTATATCCGTCATAAGTCGATCGGTACAGTAAGCTGATCGGAGATCGGGCGTGTAAACTGTCAGGCTGTCAATTGACCGTCTGTTGGCAACTGTCAATATTTATGTGAAGATCGCGTTTTAACAGATACTATACGATCGACCCGGCCTTTCGCGTCACGTGAAGCCTTAGCAAATTGCATACATTTTAGCAGTTGTTTGTAGAAACAGACTGAATGAAAGGAGATACTCGCGACAAAAGACATTTTGTTTGACGCAGTTTGGAAGTTCGACTGTAGATCACAAGTTAAATTGATTTTGCTGGGTCGAACACCGGCAGTGTGCTCGCTCGCTGACGACTGAAATGTAATTACTTATCCAATTGTACTGTGTGCTTAGTGGGAGTTTCTTAACGTTCCGATAGCGTAAAAGTTAACCCAATTTTGTATGCAGTTGGAACAGCGCCCCTAGCGACAAACGTACGCAAAAATCCCATTCTATACAAATATGAGGTAACTTTTACGCTATCGAGAACGTTAAAAAACTCGCGCTAAGCACACTGAACTATAATGCGTTTCAAATAAGAATGTGCATGGACCTGCGCTATATTGTGACGTCATAACTGTAAAATCGAAAAAAATAGGTAGTCAGTAAAAAAAGTAGGAATTTTTAAATATTTATTTATAATCCATTAACCCTACAAGGCTCAATTTTTTTTTTGTGCATCAAAAAAATATATAGTTTGTATTTAGTGATCAGAAGATAGGGAAAACATATAAAAATAAAAATAAAACCATATTTTACGAAAAAATCAACTTTTTATTTCAGTTCCACATATGGTACACTGAGCCTTAACTATACTTTTTGGTATACTAAACTAGTACAATTGAATTGCTTTGGAAGTTTCCTATGTACTTTTTGTTCAATTGTAAATTATTCAAAATGAAATGACTATTACCTATACTTTTGTATATTATTGCAAAATCATACTTATAACTAATATAAAATTGTTTATTGATGAAAGGATCTAAAAAAATTGTTCCATTTATTGAGGCAAAGCTCTACGCGACATTTGTCGCAAGATATGAATGCTTTTCCTTTGCAACCAGGATATTTGCATCATTGTCTTTTTTGACCCCAAACAGGAAAATGCTCAAACTCATCGCGCCTGACATCACGCGAAGGTAGGATTGATGTATTTGGCTTCTGTCTTTTGTTTTCAACTTCATCAGATAAACTTGGTCTACCTCTCTTTTTGTTTATTGATAACCCACATATGCATAAACTTTTCCCTACTTCATATTTGAAGTCCTTCTGTTTCATTGGGGTTGGTATATGCTGCTGCTCTCCGGCTCTTCTGTACAATAACCAGCAATTGACAAGGGTTAGTTACATCAAGAAGATGATAAAATAGCCTCAAGTACCATTTTCTTTGAAAAAATTTTTTTAGACACTAAATTTGTGCATTTCTTCTACGATATGCTGAAATAACGCATCATCAAAAAACCATAAAAAATATTGAAGGGGAATTTCAAAGTCTATAATCGGTGACTGTAAATTTATGTTTCCAGTAAATGAAGAAAGGGGTGATTGAAAATATGTTTTTCTTCCAAATAAATCTTTTTTTTTCTTTGAGTGACAGTTACAGTGCCAAAGGGTTTCTAGATCCATGACCGATGTGTTACTCATAGTCGATGATCGTCTAGGTTCCTGAGATTGTGTAATGATACCTGTAGTTGTCCTTGAAATCATTCCTGATGTACTAGGCTGAGGGTTTGATATTTCTGGCTGACGATTTTCAATATTCGTAACAAGCTCGTTGATGGGAGACGAAAACTGATATATTTGCGGAGAGAAGGAAGTTTCCACGTTGCTGGTGGTTCTGATAAAATTTTTCGGATGGACTGAACCTTTTCGATGTCATCATCACTTTCAGCATCAGAAAAATCTTGACCATCTTCTTCTCCCAGAAGGAATATCCCAGAAACCTTCAATATCTTCATCACGCAATCTTCTTCGCGACATTTTCTGCAATAAAATCTAAAAATTCCTAAGGAATGTATGTATAAGTGAAAACAGACACTAAAGCTCAACGTACCGTATGTGGAACATGCATAAAAATATGATTTACTAATACGTTTACTATTGTAATATAAAAAAAACAACTTACCTCTGCAAAATATACACTTCGTTGCAGCACAGTATTTTTTTCGAGTCAAAACTGTTCAATAACTATTTTTTAAATATTTTTGAATTCAAACAAACGACTAACGTTCCAATTTCATTCAAATTTCACACTTCATATACTATAACTTTAACACGAAAGACATCTTTAGGTAAAGTTTCGTATTACAATATTGCTAAATGTCTGTAGCATCTATCAATATATCAATAGATGACGCTATTTCTTGTTTTGTAGCTATAGGAAAGATTAAAGACACTGTTCCACATATGGAACTAGGTGCCTTGTAGGGTTAAATCTTCGAGTTTGCCGATTCCACTCATCTCAATGCTTGAGTAATCATCATCATCGTCGCCTATTCGTAAATTATAGGTCCGACAGTGTAGCAACCTTGATTTTTAAATAGGTGTTTTTTTTTATATAATCTGAATTCATGTTTAACTACCTCGACCAGTACTCAACATTTCAAGAAAATTATATAGATGTGTATGATTCATTAAATGAAACATAATATTAATAGTCTTCATAAATAGGGCAAAAATTTCAAATATTAAAAAAAAAGAAATTTTTTTTCTTTTGCTGTCCATACTCTTTTTATCGAACTTTGACAGATCAAGGGCATTGACGTGCAAATTCTTATTTGAAACGCACTATATCCCCGGACGCGTAGAGGGGCAGAGTGGGTAGTCGTAACGTGATGTAGTGCCGCGGGGAGGGGGATGTCTTACATTGCGGGCTAAAATGTTCTTATAACCTATTTTATGCTTAGTTTATGAATGAACACGGCGTTTACTTGGCCTTTTTATATAGTTTTTTATGGCCTGTAGGCGGTGAGCACACTGCTAGTGCGGCCTCTGGACACCAATAACTTACATTATTATTACATATATTTGCCCTTTTGAGTGATTTTTTTCATATTTATTGGGAAATTATTAAAATCGTTTTGTCTTAGAGTTTTATAACTTTTATTCACATACATTTTAAAACGTAACACGTATCTGAAATTACTTGCGAAGACACTCACGATCCTTTATCTAATTCATTTGGCTTTAAATATTATCGTTATAATATTTTAAAATAATATGCAAAGTAGTTTAATGAAATGCAAAATTGAAATGTAATGTTCTCTTCTTATACGTGTAAGAAAAACATACGAATTATTTTAAGCAATTTAAAAGTGTAAATGGTTAGCCAAATACATTTTTTTTCTGATTTATGAAATGTAATTATTATTCACAAAAATGTAACGCTTTAAGATATATATTGTAATTGTGTCTCTTGAATAATTTAATTATTTGATAAATTATTATAACGATTAATTCAATTTATTTATTTAGTATATAATAATATGTAAAAGGTTTATTTTGTTAATAGATGTGGCCGTAATGATTTTTCGAGTAATAAATGGTCTTTAACGAAAAATTCATGTTAACGTCTGCGGCAAGAACCGCTCGTCACTTCCGGGGTGACCAGCGCCCGCTGTCAAAACATGGACGTACAATGTGCGTAGAGGGTTCGTCAAAACCCGCCCTCCAACTCATAAAAGACGAACAAACAAGTTTTCAATCAATATATAGCCATAATTTTATTAGAAAAGGTGCACATAACAACAAGAACATTATTGGCCACATCTTTTGCAATGTACGCCGTATATTCGCGGGAACAATGCTGCAGTGCTGTAATAATATAATTTTAAGTAATAGTTTAACATCGTTGTTGTGTTTTTAGTGAATGAGTCGGGTATCATTTTTCGCAGTTGGTAAATTCGAGAATGGGCACTCGGTATCAGCGTGACGTCACGTGTACAGATTAACGGAGGTACTGTCCTATTTGAACAAAAGTACATAGTTATTAATTATAGAGTTAACTTTAGCTTGTGTTGATTTTGTATATAATTTTTTTTGTTAACAAAATGTTAAAGATGTATTTGCAGTGTACCGGAGTAGCACGTCTAATTGTGTTCAAGAGGTGCTACAGTTGTAATTAATATAATGTAAGACAAATATTCGGGCTCTCAGTGGTGTGCAGTGTGCCCTAACAACGCACCGAATAGTGTCAAAAGGATTTATCAAAAGTAGAAATATTCCATACTATTTCATAAAGTTAAATATTTATAGCGAATATCCTCTGCATGCCGCTGTCTGCTTTAGCATGGCGTTATAATATTAAAGCCTTAGCTGTGGAGTCTTGCATATATAATTTACAAGTATGTAATTTCTATTTTTAACTGTACAAAACTTGTTTTATGTGTCAATCAATTATATGCAAATAATTTTCCAGTCAGCTTTTTAAACAGAAAGTTCCTAAACACCTTCATTTTAAAATAGATGCCATTTTTATTATTTTGTATAGATTTTTTATGTACGTAATAATAGTTTGTTGTGGAATAATTGAAACATTTTGTTCAAATTGAGATGTATAGGAAATTAAGTTGTTAATATAACATGCATTTAACTGTAATTAGTTTTTAGTGACGGATTCAGAACAAAATGCAAATGCAAAAAATAAATTTATTTTAAACGATAGATAAATGAGAATTCATCACCTAATGAAATTTGTGGCCATACACATGAGTAAACTAGTATGTAAGGAATAGATCAAAATGTAATGATCATGGGGAATTCGTTGGTTATTTGTTGTCAGATACAATTTGTATCAAACTACAGTTTGTCTATGGATATAATAGATTTATTCGCTTTTACGTAATTTGTAATTGAATGTACATTTAACATGATTGTTGTTGTTACAATAAAACACAATACATAAATTCTATTGTTTTATTTAGTTATATTTTTATAGTTAAGGCACAAGGTCTGGAATAGTGTTATGGGGTTACAGAGTTCATAGACGTCACCTATAGATCCTTGAAACTAAGAGAATATGCTACCTCTTAGTATTATTATATTGTTTTTTGGTTTCACTGAATGTTTCAGTGGACATTTTTATTCATTTATTTATTGCCCTATAGCTTAGGCTATTCAGCTTAGCTTGTCTTAAGGATCATCAAAGAGTATCCAGATTTAGTTTTATTAGAGGCATGAGAATCTCCTGTTATAAATATGAGTTTTAAATATGTAATTGGGTTACACAAAAATAACTGAACAGATTTGGATGAAATTGCACACAGAGACTATATAATGGATTAATACATAGAATACTGTTTATCATGGTAAATAACATGACTGGAGAGTGCTGGATGTCTATTAATAATTATATATACATCCAAATCTGCAAATTGACTAGTACAGCCTAGGTAAAGGCATTTCATTAGTTCTGAATTACATATAATGTGCGTGTAACTGGGTGTAGGTAGTAAGAACTGCATGACTTAATTTTAATAAGAAACAAAATTTTTTGTTGTCATTCTGCTTACAATTATATCTAGTAATCCTTCGTCACTTTTGAGGTTATTTAGTTTGTATACAGATTTTACATCTTTCAGATTTGTAAAATTGCATAGTTCTGTAATAGAACACTGTTCACCTTTTATTTCGGGAAGTATTTCAGGTCTGCAATCTATTTCATTTGTAACTAAGAAGCATACGAGTAAATCATGGCTTTTTTCTATTCCAAACTTGCTTAAACTTTGTGTTATATTTTTGGTAAGCGATAAATTGTACAAAATTTCTCCGAACACAGTTCGCGTAACCATTGTACTCAATTTCGCTGCGACAACTGCTCTGTTCGCCGCCACAGCCACTTGAAATGGATCTAAGATCAAGCTAGGCTTAATAATTGCACAGTTCCACTCGCCGTTTGTAACTAGATTCCTAATTTCCTCGATGTTTTGCACATTTTTGTAAAGGTATATTTTTAATGTTGTTTTTGTTTCAGGATCTAAAACGCAAGTGAAATGTTCAAGTTTCATTTTAAAGTTATCTAATGTTTAAAAAAACGTAGCACAAACACTTCTAATTTCTAATGAAGTGATCGTCAGTTTGTTTATTTATTTATTTTTAAGGGATTTTATGACCTGGGAACTAAGACTTTTAGGTCATGTCTTATTTTAATTTATATTCTTATTTTTATGAAAAATGATAATATGGAAATTAAATGGAATGAGATGAAATGAGATAATATGAGTTGAAATATAATCTCAGTAATATGGTGGCCATTTACTAAGATTTTTTCAGTGGACTTTTTGGACAATCCCGAGAACGTCCAGTGGCTTTATTTCATTTTCCCACATTTGTGTACTTTCTTAAACAGTTAACAAATCGACGTTATTACACATTTAAACCTCAAGAAACACTAAATAGAGACAATAAAACAAATCACACAACTTCTACACGCTTTCACATTCCTTAATATCATTTCTCTTATAAAAGTATGAATATAAATTCAAATAAGGCATGACTTAAAAGTCTTAGTTACCAGGTTATAAAATCCTTAAAAAAATATACTTTATTTTATTTTATTTTATTTTTTTTATTTTATTTTACTTTTGTTCTTTTGGCGGGAACGCGAGGAGTGAAGTTGTGTGATTTGTTTTATTTCGTCTATTTAGTGCTTATTCAGGTTTAAATGTGTAATAACAGTGGTTTATTAACTGTTTAATATCTGTGAAAGTGCACAAATGTGGGAAAATGAAACAAAGCCACTGGACGTAACTTCTCGGGATTTTCCAAAAAGTTCACTGAAATAATCTCAGTAAATTACCACCATTTTACTAAGATTATATATTTCATCCCACATCATCTCATCTCATTTCATATAATTTCATCCCAGTTGATTAATGATCCAAATTAATCATCTACATTTCATTTCATTTCCCTCCATATTATAATTTTTCATAAAATTAAGAATATAAATTAAAATAAGACATGACTTAAAAGACCAGGTAAAATCCTTTAAAATTTTTTTTTGTTTCATTAACCGTACCATAACCGTACCTACTCGTTACCTATCAGTGATAGGGATTCTCGTTTCCAACAGAAAAGGCGAAGATATCGAACTGTGCGGCCTTTTTTAGTTTACTGTATATTTAACTAAGCTTAAATTATATCAAACGACATGAGATAGGATTAAATAAATCCTGCTCCTCGGTTGGTTAACGTTTTTGAAGAACTAGGAAGCCTTGTCGAGTGACTGGTTATTTCCCCACATTTGTGCACTTGCACAGATGCTAAACGGTGAATAAACCACCATATTACAGGTTTAAACCTGGAGAAGTTCTAAATTAACAAAGTAAAACAATTCATAAAACTTCAGGCCGCGCATTCCCGCCAAAGTCTTAGAACATCTTTTTCAATTTTTGAGTTGTAATAATGCAGCATTGTACAGATGCAGCATAAATTGTAACTAGGTACTACCGTACTGTAATAATCTGTGATGTTTATTTTCAATTTGATAAGAAGTGAACTTATGTTGATAAGATAATTTTGCTAATTAAACTACAGGTTATTGTTAACTGTGATTACTGTAATTATAAATACCATTAGTATATTGCGAAAATGTTATTAAGTAAATTAAAATTGAGATCCTTCATTGTTAGAGTTGTAAATTCCCGAAATCTAGCAACAAAGATACAACAACTGAACGAAAATGTGAATCCTGTTGTATTTGAGAAACTTACTGGGGTAGATAAGGGTATCGCATTATGCGGTCTCAACAGCCCTAAAGACAGGAACGCACTCGGATTTACCCTCATAGATGCGATGCGCGAGGTCAACCAGATCATTCGAGAAGATACCAAACTGTCTGTTGTTATCTTTCATAGTATGGTTCCGGGGATTTTCTGCGCTGGTGAGGATCTTACACATATTCTCTGTTCAATCTGTGCCCTAAGAGTCTAAAACTGTGTTTTATTACTAATGAACCAATTTTTGTTTATCAAAACTCAGGAGCTAACCTAAAAGAACGCTTAAAAATGTCCGATGAAGAGGTAGCCAAATTCGTTCGAGGGCTTAGAGAAACTTTTATTGAAATCGAAGACTTGCCCATGCCAACCATAGCTGCTGTGGAAGGAGTGGCTGTTGGTGGAGGGTTGGAATTAGCCTTGGCATGTGACATCAGGATAGCAGCAGATACTGCTAAACTAGGTCTTGTCGAGACTGGTAGAGGTCTTATTCCCGGTGCTGGAGGTACCCAGAGACTACCAAGAACTATTCAGGTACCAATTGCTAAAGAGTTGATATTTACATCAAGAATTGTTAGTGGAAAGGAAGCTAAAGCATTAGGTATGTATCTGATTATTTAACTAAACTATTTAGAAAAAAAAATTCATAGCCTTTGAAGTAACATAGCTCTCCTGATGGTTAGTAATCACTGTTTCTTATTAACATCAACAACACCGAGGGCACAACTAAGATGTTGAAATAGCTATTCATGTTATCTACAATAAACCATACATTTTAAAAACAAATGATCAGGTTGTGTTTTCTACATTCAGGCATAGTGAATCATGTGGTCGCACAAGACACTGCAAACAAAGCAGCCTTTGAGAAGGCCTTGAGCATTGCACGAGAAATCATCCCGAATGCCCCCATAGCCCTCCGTTGTGCAAAACAAGCTATCAGTGAAGGCATACAGCTGAGTATCAAGGATGGTTATGAGATAGAACAGAAATGCTACGAAATAAATATTCCAACTAAAGACAGACAGGAAGGCATGATTTCATTTATGGAAAAAAGAAAACCTGTTTATGAGGGACATTAGCTAACATTTTTTTAAAAGAAATTTATCAATACTTATTCAAACTCTTCAATTTGTTTACATGTTGACTATTGATACAATTTTAAATTGTTTTTATTTTTTTATAACTTAAAAATATATAATTTGTTACTAAATGTTTATAAATATAACTTTGTTAATTTTAAATGAAACTATTTTCATATTATAGCATTCACAAATCTATCAATGTGTTAGATCTACCTAGAATTTTAACCTAATAGTGATAACTACATTGTCTCAAAGTGATTTATTTATTTACATTGTACATAAAATTTTACTAGAATTTGTTGGTTAATTAATGTTAATTAATAAACATAAATTGCTTCTTCATAAATTTTATATTTTGTGATATTTGACAATTTTATATTGACATTTTTGGAAATATTTGACATTCCATATTATTACAATGTTACTACATATCAAATCAAGAATATTAAGTAGATACTTCTACTTCATATTCTACAGGTATTTGAATTGTAATTAAAACAACAATGGTTGTGTAATTAAAATTAATATTGAAAAATAAAATATAATATTTCCATGTTGTATGTTGTTCTGTGTATATATAATAAAGTATTTTATTCAATAAGCAATAAAAAATACCTATATATTTTTCCAAATAATAAATTTTATAGAAAAAATCTATCTTATTTCCTCTTCACTCGAAAATGTTCAAATAAGTACATTAAAACAATTACAATCAAAGATTTAAGATCTATACATATTTGATTGTTGTTAAAACTATTGATATATTTGTTTTTTATATCAATTAAAGCAGATAAAACAAACACAGCTGTAATAGTATGTATAACAGGCATATTATTATTTCATTAATCTTCTAAAAGTCAATAACAAGACAATTTCAATTTAATGGGTGAATAGTCACTTATTTTACTACATTGAAGTAGGTTAACATCAAAATATATTTATATATACTTCTTTCATTTAGATGGGTAAAGTTTATGGCACAACCTAGTATCAAGCAGTAAATATAACCCTTGAACGCTATTAGTTGCCATCCATCTCGAGACACAACAGTGAACTTTTTGTATTGTGATATCGCTGTCAAATAGAAACAAATAATGTCATCATCGCTAAAATATACAAGACACTTAACTACATGGGTTCAAAATGTATCCTACATCATTAATTATGGACATTGATTGGTATCTGCCTAAAATTTTTATCATTTCATAGCTTTACTCATTTTATGCACACTGGGCAAATTAATCATTTGTGTCAATAAAGATGATTAATCTGTAATTTCTTCTTGCAGAATGTATATATTGGATTGCTACAAATAACAGTTAATTTTCTTTTACCTATCTTTTCCTTTTAGATCCAATTGCTAAATCCCTGAGTAGAAATAAACTGGAGGAAACTTATATACAAAATAAATTTTAAAATAATATTATATTTGTCTTCAAGCTGGACCTAAAACTAACACTATTCCACATTAAGACATTTTTTCACTTGCATTTCGGTGTCATTTGGAGATGAGACTCTGTGTCCCACAGTCCTAGAGTCATTGTAAATTTCATGATCATTCCCACCAGGGTCTGTTTTGTCTCCAAAGAAGTGAATTTCAACAAAATTCTCACTAGCTATGTGATTTAAGCAGTATGTCTTGTCCCATCCAATTGGGAACACATCAATACTGATTTGACCTCCTAGAGCAAACTTTAAGCCAGAGTCTTTGAACTTGCTTTGAAGTGCTTCAACAAATTGTTGTCTAACTTTGTGTTTTGAATCATACTCAGAAAACTGATCTCGCTCTATTTGATTACATGATCTTCCAACAGGGCAAATATTAAGCATACTTGATCGGAATTCAATGAAATTACCTCTCTTGACTGGTAATTTGATGTTGGACATGTAACCCATGGCGAAGTTTATTACCTCTTGCAGTTTTTGTTCACCCAAATGGTTAACTATGCTCTCTGAACTTAATTTTTTTCCGTTCTTATGATGCACCAGTCCATTTTCACTGAATACGTAGTTGAAATTGGACACGACGTCCTCTCCGCCCATTTGTTCGGAAATCTTCATATAATCTGAACCACTGACCAATCCTACATCCACTTTTGATTTTACCTCGTCAAGAATGAACCTCCTGAATTCTTCTGTAATTTTTTGGCGCGGTTTTGTCAACGTTCCGTCAACATCGAACAAATACAAAACTTTCTTTTGACTAGTCATAATTGTCTCAAAAGGTGAAACTAGTTTGAATTTTGGTGGCAATTTTGGACCGGTCGATAAGTAGGACACCGCCAGAGAACATCAAGTGCCAACACTTCACTCAGACACGTCAAACCGTAACAGTAAACACCAAACTTCAGTACAGAGAACTGATAAAATTTAATAATGCGAGTTACCGGCATCAGACTTGCCCTTATCTTTTATTTTTTCAGTACTGAAACTGTATTATCTGATAAGGCCCGCAATGTTCTTTTACTATTAGGTGAGTCAGTTTAATATCTTACATTCCAACGTAAGCTTTTTAGTTCAGAGTTCGTGTTATTTATTGATTGGCTTTGGGTCAAGCGAATATTTGAAAGCTTCAACCACGTAGTTTGTAACATAGATAATACACATAGGGCCGTAATATCAATCGTAGTTTAAACTAGAGAACACAGTTTAATCTGTCCTTTTCGTTTCTTTTGTAATATCAATGACAGATCATCGACCCAACACAGTTTAAACTATCAATAAGTTTAAACCTTCCCAGAGGGGCGTTTAAACCTTCCTTCATGGATTAGATGTCATTTAATGTCATTGTAAATAACGCTAAAAGATTTTGTATTTGGGTGCTTTTGATATTAACCAGTGATATGGAATATTACAATAGTGATTCAGATTCAGATATCGATGATTTAAATTATTTATATATATATTATAGTAGACCGTACGTTATTCGTACAAGAAACAATCAATGGAATGAGTGGGACGATATAGAATTCATACGGCGTTTTCGTGTTTCCAAAACATCAGCACAAGCTATTTTATGTGAAATTGAAAACCAAATTCGTCATCCTACTTCACGGTAAATATTATTTTAATTATATCAAAATCGAATACCTAATAAATTGCTTTCCAAATGAATACGTAAATTACCAAAAAAAATATTTAACCTGTGTATACCTACTGTACTTATACATTTTGGACATGTAGAAGTACAGTAGGTAAACACAGGCTATATAATTGTTGTATATTTCTGTATTTCATTGCATGTTTGTAATTGCTTGTCATAACTAACTCATTATATTGATTTTTATTATTTCAGGAACAATGCATTGTCCCCAATGAACCAACTCCTGCTTACACTAAGATTCTATGCAACTGGAAGTATGCAAATAACAGCTGGAGATTTCAGTGGAGTACACCAAACTACAGCAGGAAAAACAATTAAAAGAGTAACAGAAGCTATTGCAGCCAACAGATTTAACCATCTTAAACTTCATCTTTCGCCAATTGAACTGCAACAAAATCAAACTGGCTTTTATTCTATTGCTAGATTTCCTTGTGTATATGGTGCTCTAGACTGTACACATATTCGTTTACAATCCCCAGGAGGGCAAAATTCAGAGCATTATAGAAATAGGAAGGGATACTTTTCATTAAATGTCCAANAACAGTACATTATCCAGGGTGACACCAGAGTCACGAAAAGTATTAAGGGATGGACGAACTCATGGCCCACCCGATGTTAAGTGGTCACCAAACCCCACACATCGCATCAATGCCGCCGCCATCTCGAGGTATAACGGCTCTCTCACCTTTCAAAACGAAACGCATGACTGTTTCGTGGCATAAATATGCAGGGTAGTGGTGCCCACCCGTGCGGGCTCGCAAGACGTCCTACCATCAGTAATAACGTAAATTATAGTTTTTGTGGGTTTGATTCTTATTATATGATGTTATTCCTTTACCGTCACGACAGGAATGCACCGGCAATCTTAACCTTTAAGCCACGGTGACTTCCTAAAATAAGGGTGCCGTTTATAATAATTAATGATGTATTAGTACTAGTAGAAGTAGATAAGAGTCATATAAAATCGATGACAACGACAAGCTATGTTTTCTATGCTCAATGTTTTTTCTGTTTAATTTATAGCGGACGATGGCGGTTTTGAGATAGGCGCGTATCGCAACAAAATATGCCAAACGCCGAATATAGATGAATTAGCGCGAAACGGCCTGTTGTTCAACAATGCATTCACATCAGTGAGCAGTTGCTCCCCAAGGTAAGATACACGCGAGAAACGAAGATCCTTCTAAAGTATTAATATTCGCCATCCAAAAAGCACAAATAAATATACAGCATTTTATGTAGCGTATCAACAGCAATACACAGATTGAAGCAGACCGATCTAATGGAATGTGATTACAGTCTTTATTGGATATTATCAAGGTCTGGAGTAAAGCCCCTACTAAGACTACCAAACTGTCAAGAGCTGTTTTCAAGATTCGTTTGAAGAAGGTCATCACATCAAACTGGAACCACTGAGAAAGAGTATGTTGGCCCCCCAATGGCCCATCGCGCCTCTGGGTGATAAACCGGGATCATCACTAATAAAGATACGAACGATTGTCATTGTTTTATCAGCGTCACTTGTTTCTCAACAGCCTTCGGTGGAAACCGTCTCACTTTTCGTAATAACCCATTCTTTAGATATCTTTAAATTTTCTTTTACAATCTATATTGCACGTCTTAGTTACAAAGTTACAACAATGTTAGCGGACTTCAACAAAAGAAACTAGAATATCATCTAGATAGTCGATGTCATCCAAATGTGCATTATTAAAGATAACACAAAAACTACCTACTGGTTACATCTGGAATTTCAATGGGACCACATTATGAGTACCAGTTTTCAAATAAAAAAGAGATATCAAAATTCGTTCACACAAAAAAAAACAGCCGAATTGATTACCTCCTCATTGGTTTTAAAGTATTTTTTTCCATTTGAAAATGCCGCAACACACCTTAAGACATGAGTTCTAAGGCCTCAGTTTTAACAAATCAACAACTGCCCCACCTTTTAAACCGAAACGCATTAGTGCTTCACGGCAGAAATATGTGGGGTGGTTGTACCTACCCGTGCGAACTCGCAAGACGTGCTACCACCAGTAAAAGTGAAGTCCTTTAAAAATCAATAAAGAAGCTCATGGCAATTGGTGATCCATGCGTCCTCTCGAGTCTTGCCAAGTGCCTAAATCCTACTCAACTTAACCTTGGGACACACCATTATGTTTCCTGTTACTGATGATATCAAATGATTTCATAAAATTTTCAAGAGTTTCAAGGTTTGAAGATTCAGTAGCCTAATGATAAGAGGTCCTATGTACTCGAGTGAAGCGATTGTGTGTCCCAACTTTCAGTAGTGAATAGGAACTTGCATGCAATATTTGCAATTAAATGCAATAGGAAGTGGAGTATTGTAAACTTTTTTTTTATTGATTATGTGGGTGGACGAGCTCACAGCCCACCTGGTGTTAAGTGGTTACTGGAGCCCATAGACATCTACAACGTAAATGCGCCACCCACTTCGAGTTAAGTTCTAAGGTCTCAAGTATAGTCACAACGGCTGCCCCACCCTTCAAACAGAAACGCATTACTGCTTCACGGCTGAAATAGGTAGTGTGGTGGTACCTACTCGTGCGGACTCACAAGAGGTCCTACCACCAGTAAACCTGCATGGATAAACACGGCTATTTATTTAAAAACTTTCTGCAGAATATAAAAAACAAACAAAAGTTGTTTAATGGAGTTTTTTTTCTCGGCGGATTAACAGTCGGGCAGCACTCCTGACTGGGTCGCCGAGTCACCAGAACGGAATGTACGGGCTGCACCACGGCGTCCACCACTTCAACTCCTTCGACAACGTGACCAGTCTGCCGAACTTACTGCGCGAGAACGGAATTATGACGGGTGCGAATATTTCTTTTTGTTTTTTTTTTCTACCTAAGCTGATAGCCCTGAGAGAATATTTCAGCGTAACCTTAACTAGTAGGTGAGCTCACGGGGCTTAAACCGGAGTTATGCTAACACTGACCCTAGCAAGAGCAGTACTTCGTAGAATCTACCACCGGATCGGAAACGCGACCCACTTAGAAGATCCGACGAGAAACTCGGTGGGCTGTGTCTATGGGTTAATTCGCTCGTTGAGCCCTTCGTCGCAAGCGACGGGTTCGACGAGGACGGCGACCGGTGCTTGTGGTGCCTAAAAGCACCGTTAATGGATCGGGAGGATCCGTAATGACGTGTTTTCGGCGACGTCGATTGTTTACCATTCGGTCTACAGGATCGGGTATGTTCGTATTGTTACTGCTCGATTATGTCACTAAATAGTTTCTATAGGCCGTGTTATATACATAGACTTCGCTGTAAAGATTTCAAGTCTCCATTCTTTTTTTTATTTCTGTTAACACGGACATATAAAACATTTTTGTGTTTTAATAATAATAATTAATTTATTTGTCGGATAATAGTAATCAAAGAATGAAAAAAAAACAAAATAAAATAAACGAACAAGTAGGCCTTCTCAACTTTAATTATAATATTATTTCTAAGCATTACTTACAATTTCTACCTTATTTTTATTTACGAGGGTATTATTCTTTTGTTAATCCGCAAGTGAACCATGGTACAATGGTTCAAGTACTGACAGTCAGATACTGTACAGATTCTGGGAAGCATTGCTCTTGCTAGGGCCAGTGTTGGCAACACTCCGGTTTGAGCCCCGTGAGCTCACGTTAGGGTGAAGCTGATATACCTAGCCTCTCAAGGCTATCAGCATAGGTAGGAATAAAAAAAAAGTGCGAGTTTTTTAACTTCTCGATCACGTAAAAGTTAACCCACATTTGATGGAGTTGAAACAACTCCACCATGTTTGCCGCTAGGGGCGCTGTTCTAACGCCATACAATTTTGAGTTAACTTTAACGCGGTAGAGAAGTTAATAAACTCGCACTAAGCACACTGCGAGCCCGTTCCCGGTGGGCCTGATCTCAAAGAAGTGGTCACATTCACCAGGGAGCTATGATCCGCGAGCTCAGTAGCCCGTTGCTTACCAACAGTCACGGTTACTGGCACTAACGCATCCTCACGTGTAGTGTGAATTTAACTGCGTTTTACTCATTATGAACAGGTATAATTGGTAAAAAGCACGTTGGGCCTTCGAGCGTGTATCAGTTTGATTATGAGCAGACGGAGGAAAACAACCACATTAATCAGGTCGGTCGCAACATCACCCACATGAAGCTGCTCGCCCGGGAGTTCATCGCGAGTGCAAACAAGGAAAACAAGTAAGCAAACATTAGTCTGGCTTAAAACATGTCTTTGTATGGAGTCGCAAAACCCAATAAATGTATAATATTAAAGTATTAAACTTTGGCGTGAAATTTTAAACCTTTAACTGAATGTTTTTGGAAGAGTTATTTATTTATTTATTTATTCCATTCAATACAAAGTCAGGCTTACAGTTTGCACCAAAACGCGTAACTCGTTAGTGCAAAAAACATTATTAAAATTATTAAGTACTATTATTATGCTAATAATAACATTATTTTGGTAAAAAGTATTCCCCAACTATCGGCAAACACGTCAGCATCCTGGATTTCGGACAGAAATTCGTTTAAAAGCTTTTAATTAGCTTTGGGATCAATTTGTTTCATTAATGCAGATGCAGAATCTGTTTCAATAATACCGGATGTTTAGTAAACTGTTTCAGTCATACCGTCTTTTGTAATGTTGACGGTCGATGTTGATCCGATTTCTTAGGCCCTTCTTCTTGTACGTGGCCTTCCATGACCCGCACCGCTGCGGACACAGCGACCCGCAGTACGGGCCCTTCTGCGAGAGGTTCGGCTCCGGCGAAGAAGGAATGGGCACCATTCCAGACTGGCAGCCATGGTACTATCAGTGGGACGAGATTCAACTACCTTACTTCATACAGGTAGGCAGCGGCTTGGCTCTGCCCCTAGCATTGCTGAAGTCCATGGGCGACGGTAACCTCTCACCATCAGGTGGGCAGTCTGCTTGTCTGCCTACAAGGGAAATAAAAAAACCCTTGTTTGGTTTAGTTGTACGGGAAAGCTCACATTCCACCTGATCATGAATATTTACTGAATTGCCTATATTGCAAAATAGATGCTTTGCACTAGAAATATAAATATTAGTACTTCAACTGCTGCAGGGTATCAATGGCCCGTATTATCGTTCATTTGAGGCACGTAACGCAGGTTTTATAAGTATCATCGCAACTTGCAGGACACTGAGGCGGCCAGGAGGGACATTGCCGCCCAGTACACAACGATGTCGCGACTCGACCAAGGTGAACCGACTGTATATTACTGTATCTACGAGCTTTAATTAGATTATTTACTGGTGGTAGGACCTCTTGTGAGTCCGCACGGGTAGGTACCACCGCCCTAACTATTTCTGCCGTGAAGCAGTAATGCGTTTCGGTTTGAAGGGTGGGGCAGCCGTTGTATCTATACTGAGACCTTAGGACTTATATCTCAAGGTGGGTGGCGCATTTACGTTGTAGATGTCTATAGGCTCCAGTAACCACTTAACAGCTGTGAGATCATCCACCCATCTAAGCGATAAAAAAAAGAGATCATATTATGTACACAGTTAGAAGTTTCGTATTCATCACAACGAACTAAAATAGTTGTAATATTAAATAAAATCGGCGGAACTTGGTTATCGTCATATCACAAATATTATACATTACATATACAATCTTTTTCGTAACATGATACGTGTCTCAAGATGGCGGTCGGTGAGTACCGACCGTGTGACGTTTCCTATGGATCCCTTCGCCGTGGAGGCTCTTGTGGTAAGCAGGAGATCCCGTATGGAGGCATGGTTACAGCAAATGAAAGGTGAACTTCGTAGCGTAGACGCTCCTGGCCAGACGCCAGTTTGCTCCACCGGGGCGGTATGCTGCCGCTTCTGTGACCAGTTCCAGTACATATTCCAAAATAGATTGGTTGTTTTTTGACAAACAACCAACCCCGTTTTAGAATATGTATCGACTGACTGGGGACTGAAGCTATCAATATATAAGTGAACAGCCGGTCTGGCTCTCCAAGAGTAATGCAATAATAAAATTTAAAACCTTCCTTTAGTTTCCTCAACTTGGGTAAATACTACTTAATATTGTACTCATTACATTTTCGCAAACCTTTTTCAGGGGTCGCCCTTATTCTGAAAGAACTGGAAAGCGCAGGGCACGCTGACGATACGTTAGTCATCTACACTTCAGACAACGGCATACCATTTCCATCGGGGAGAACTAATTTTTACGATCCGGGATTACGGGAGCCCCTCATCATACGCTCACCTTCATCTTCAGCCAGAAAAAATGAGGCTTCAGGCGCCATGGTCAGCTTACTGGACATAATGCCAACCGTGCTAGACTGGTTTGGAATTGAGAAAGAGATGACAAATGACATTTGGGATGGAGATACACCAAAGAGTCTCTTACCTATACTGGAGAAAGGTCAGACCAATATTACCTTAATATGCTATAGTATGGTGTAATCGGAATGTCTTCGAGTCAGCCACAGAGATATAATCTGTTTGCTGCTTAAGGCGCCCAAACTGTTTATAGCGACACTCAGGGCCGGAATTACCTTAAGGGCCGCTCTGGGACACAGTAAAATATACCACCTCATTATTTACATATATAGTATATACATACATTGAGTAAGCATCAGAAAAAAAGTTCACAATTGGTACTGGAAATATTGCTTAAAGTTCGCTTCCAAACTTCCCAGGATCAGACGCTAGGTTTTTTTTTATTGCCCTTGTAGGCAGACGAGCATACGGCTCACCTGATGGTGAGTGGTTACCGTCTCCCAGGGGCAGAGCCAAGCCGCTGCCTACCGCTTAATATTCTCCACAAGCCACGTTTGAAGAAGGACATGTCATAGCGCTCGGGAAACACCGTGGAGGGGAGCTCATTCCATAGCCGGATGGTACGTGGCAAAAAAGACCTCTGGAAATGCACTGTGGATGACCGCAGTGGCTCCAGGTAGTGTGGATGAATTCTACACTTGTGGCGGGTGGTGCGATGGTAACAACGAGATGCCGGTATCATCTTGAACAATTCCTCAGAGCACTCCCCGTGGAACATACGGCACAAAATACAGAGGGAACCGAACTCCCTCCGCAGACCCAGAGGCTCCAAACGATCCGTGAGAATGGGATTATCGACAATCCGAACGGCCCTCCGTAATTAATTCATTAATTTTAAGTTAATTTGAAGAGTTCGTGAAAATGCTAACGAAATTGGTTCAGCCGTTTCGGCGTCTATAGGGAGCATAGACGCATAAATACATCTGTATGTAATACACACGTCGGCATATTATGTAGATATACTCTGAGAAACAAACATGGTTTTGGGCAAGACTAACGCAAACTCATACTTTTAAAAGTGATTTCGATAACAATTGCTTGCCGATAACGATATTGCTGCCCTGGGCACCAGTCCGCCACCAGCCCAGGGTCCAGTGGTTGCTACAAGGGGTGCTCCGTTGTGGGTTGCAGAGCCGCCGCCCTCGGACTCGGACGCGGTGTTCGCCTCCCAGACGCACCACGAGATCACGATGTACTACCCGATGCGCGCCGTGCGCACGCGCCGCTACAAGCTGCTGCACAACCTCAACTACGGGATGCCGTTCCCGATCGACCAAGATCTATACGTCTCGCCCACATTCCAGGTTATATTAGTGCACGTCGGAAATTATTTATTTATTTTTAATGTAAAATCGCCCCCTATTTTGAGACGTAATTTCTAATTCTCTGTTCTAATACAACAACTATCTCACCCTTCAGACCGGACACTTGATTGTTTTGCGTGAGAACTCGACATGATATTACCTACTTGTGTGAGCTCGTAAACTCCCTACCACGGTTGTTCAAGATTGCAGAATTTGATAAAACAATTAAATTATATAAAGAAACCGCAGCTCAAAAATGGCCTCCCAAGATTTTAATAACCATAGTCAAACTTAATCTAGTCGTTGTGAGTCGTGTGTCAATGTACCGTAATTATTTTGAAACAAACATCATTTTCCATTCCCTTAAAAACAGGGAGACTAATTTACAGTAAGCACTGACGGAACGTTAATAAGACTTCTGAAAAACTAAAATAATTATATTTAAAAAGCTACTCCTTTTTTGTGGAGCCTGTGGTCTTTTGGATAAATGACCCCTCGGTTCGGGTTTTATTTATTTAGATATTCATCAAACTATCCCTGAAATATTTCTTGTTTTCACATTATTAGTAAATATAAAGGAAAGCACACGAAATTTAACCAGTAATTAATTTTATAATCTGTAATTCATAGGACCTATTAAACAGAACGCGCAGCAAGCAGCCTCTACCTTGGTACAAGACGCTGAAGCAATATTACTACCGGCCGCAGTGGGAGCTCTACGACCTTCGTAAGGATCCGGCAGAAACCAATAACTTACATGGTAACCCTAATATCCAATATCTATAGAATAAATTGATACTTTGATCTCGTGTTACAAGGCAGTGATATGGCGATGTCTCTGTTTAACCTCCCAGAGTCGTAAATAAATCTATCCTAGAAGTGTATTGGACTAGTTTAGGCACAGGCCGCTCAAGGCAACACAGGTGAAAAGAAAGTATAAACAAACCAGAGTAAATAGTGACAGTGTGGTGACGTCTCAGATGTGAACAGTATTAATTCAACAATATCATATTTAATCGACTTTATTCATCGGCCGAAATTCGATAACAATAATTTTTTGGCATGTTTAATTAAATACCAATGCTACAGTAATTCACTTATAAAAAGACAAAAGACTTATCTCTCAAGACGATACGCGACGTCGCCGGCGATGATCTCTTACAAAGCACCAACGATGTGATATGAAGATTGTTAGCAGTTTTATTTTCTGACCTTAATACTTTCTTTGATGATCAAGGTAAACCATCCCTGGAGGAGGTGGAGTCGAATCTCCGAGAACGATTGTCGCGATGGCAGCGCTCCACCCGCGACCCGTGGCTGTGTTCGCCCGACGCCGTCATGGAACGCGACTCGGACAACGCCGTGTGCCGCAGTCTAGACAACGGACTCCTAAACTATCATACACTATAGCTTTCATTGCATTGAAATATCTATTGAGGAATTTAAATACCGTTAGGTTCATGTGAAACTGTAGATAGATATTTTAAATCTTTTTAATGTTAAAGAACAAATATAAATCTAAGAAATATATTTTTTACAATAACGTTTAACTTTACTGCTACTTTTAAGAACAACTGTAAAATTTTCATAGCTTCACAAATAAAAGTAAGTTGAGATTTATTGTTATCAATTTTTTATTTGTTGTTATTAAGAATTAAAAAAATTTATTCTATTAGTTTCGTTTTTTCTTTGGATACAATTTCGTAAGTACGTAAATTACGGTATCTAAACTCTTTAATGAAAAAATTAAAACAAACAGCCGATACGCTGATTATTTTACAACATTTTCCCGGCACATTTCTGCCAATCAAATCAAATCAAATCAAAAAAGTTTTATTCAACATAAATAAATGAAAGTACATACTTGTTGAACGTCAAAAGAACTGCCGAATGTAGCCAGAACACCAATACTATTTGGTTCTATGTTAATGTGGACAAGAATTTTGGTACTGACCGAAAAAGGACTTTTACTCTAACTCGTCCGACCCTAATGACCCTAATATTTTGGCTTGAGGATCTGACTGATATAAGCTACCATATTCCGATTCTGAAAATCAATCTTCTTTATAAAGTACTTTAGTACTGAATATTTCATTAGCGGCTTAATAACACAACTAATTTTATATTTTGTCCGATAACACAATTCATTTCTTTAAACGTATTGTGAAAAGATGGTGAAAGTAGCTTTTACGTTACAAGTCATGTATTCGCGAAACAAAAATGTTCTTTTTTTGCGTCGCTACGTCGCTAAGTTGAGCCTTGACCTGGTCAGTCCACCATACGGGAGACCTGCCGCGCAGTCTGACACACTATCCTGCCCTGCACGACCGTGCGCTCCACGGAAAGGTATCAACTCCGCGATACATGTTCAAAAAATGCCATGATATTGAGACAGCACCGTGCCGGAGAGATGCTTCACTATTTTCAATTCCTCAATAACGTACTCGTTGGTGCGATATTCAGTTGACCATATCCCAAGCGTTTTTCTCCAATACCACATTTCAAGTGCGTGTTTCCTGCGTTTCCCACTATCTTGCAGGGATTCTTCAAAACTGTTCTTAATTCATCTTCTTGGTGTTTTTCGGGTTTTAATGTATAATAACGGTGCTTAAAATAATAATTTTATGGAATGCCGTTTATTAAAAGTTGACTCTATCATTGATTGAAATATCAAGGAGAACTATTCGTTTTACAAATGAATCACTAGGAATACATTCTTTCAATAGCTGAATAATAATCATAAATGAATTTTCAATCTCATTTCACTCTCATAATAAATTTTATCTTATGGGCTCGATCTCTTTGCCCGTCACATTACACCATTATTAACAGAATTATTCATTGGCCGTCTGTCAATAATGAATGTCAAATCATAGAAAGAGGTAGGGATTAGGTAGGGATTTACATTTTAAAAGCTAAATCATACAGTTTTAATTTTAAATACCAAATTAAAACCTTTAAATTTATTTTTCGGTAAACCATATAAACTATAAAATTTTGTGTTGGACATGATATTTTTTTATAACCTAAATTTTTTGTTTTAGTTGAAAGTAAACAATGGCCACAAATTATACAAAATATGCTCAATTAATTAATGCGTCGACAACGTACGCGCGACGAATGAAGCGCCTGTCCAATAGGATCTTTGGCGAAGTTGCCCTACCCACCAACTCCAAGTCCATGAAGGTTGTCAAAATCTTCTCTGCTCGACCTCTGCACACAAATGAGGAAATTATACACTATTATCCTAGACACATGGAGACGCATAAACTGATGATGAATTTAAGAGATTATGGTCTATTCCGTGATGAGCATCAAGACTTTAAGGAGGAGATGAAGAGATTGCGAGAACTCCGAGGTAAAGTCAAGGTTTGGAGGCGGTTGCTTGATAAGAAGGCGGAAGAAAAAGAATAAGTGGCGTAGTATGTTTAGTATAATTAATATGTAAAATAAAAATCACTATTTAGTAACTATTTAATAACAACTCATTACCTACACCTTACGTTAATAAAATACGTTATTATTGTTACCTTGCCTTACCTTATATTAATGCACACCGTATTAAATGTAGAGGCGTATTTTCAAATGAATGAAACAGGTTCTTAATGTATGTAGGTTTAGAGTGTTGTGATAGGTTAAAGTGATGAACTCCCAGAACTGCTTATATTCTTTATTTAAAGAAATATACATTTATTGTTTGATGTGTACTTCAACATCCACCTTTCATGAAATTGATTTTGTGTTTTATATAACAGTTTCGAAAAATTACTTCTTAGTTATGGCAAAAAATTGCATGTGCAGATGATTATATACAAGTCAATATTGTTAAATATAAATGGGATTTAGGGGCTGGGTGTTTGTTAGTCTTTATACCTTAGTAAGTGTACTACGTAAACTACGTTTTTGTCTTCTTCTTTGGAATAGTTGTTAAGTGCATCTCACTTGTCATTTCTTAATATTGAGACAAATATTACTCATTTCTGCTCTCAAGCAGATAGCCTACAAACAAGTTTATGAAAACTCTTTTGAATACTGATTCGTCTGTATAGAGGGAACAACTACCTACTGTTTATTGTGACTAGGTTACACTTACGCCTGGACGGATAGGTGAGCTCACGGGCTCAACCTGAGAGAATTTGCTAACACTCGACCTAGTGAGAGCAGTGCTTCGCAGAATCTACCACCGGATCGGAATCGCGACCCACCGAGAAGATCCGACGAGAAACTCAATGAGCTGTGAATATGGGTTAGTTCGCTCGTCGATCGACGAGTTCGATGAGGACGGTGAACGGTGCCCTAAAAGCACCGAGAGTGAATCTCGGGGAGGGGGATAAGGTTTTCGTGTCGTTTTATCGAAGTAGCCATCTGACGCTTCCTTAAGATATTCACGTATTGGTACTAGATTTAGGTCGTCGTGAAGATCTACATAGCTCACATACCACGGTGCTTCGACGGCTATCCTGCTGAAACGGGATTGGATGACCTGGAGTGCTTTACATCAGAATAGAAATGCAGAAGTAGAACAAACACCGGAATCGCGCTATCGAAATCATAATTAAGACTGTAAGTGTAAGTATAACAGTTCAAATTTAACAGTCTTAGGACTGTCAGTCAACTGAGTAAATTCCACTCGACCTTTTGAAGATATTCATAATTGTCACTGCAAAGTATTACACTACAGGTACATAAAAACTTGAATGCAATTACATATCATAGCTTGGATGAGTGAATGAGGTCACGACCTCCCTGGTGTTAAGTTCTTACCACAGCTCATAGTTATCAACTTATAGTTTGAGGTTGACGTCACGCCAATAACGTGCGACACCTTTCATATCTACCAGCTACCATGCTCCTGTGTCTACCATCTGTGTGGGCTTACTATACAGCCATTCCACAATAAATGCATAACTATTGTCAGTAGCGGACAAATAAATGAAACAAACGAGAAAATAGCCATTGTTTATTTGATTACAAAATCTTTCGTCAGGAAATAAATTGCTACATAAAATTATCTTTTAACAACATGTGCCTCGGGACTCGCTCACGGCGCACCGCTGCAGACATCGTCTCGTATCAGAGCCGCAGGCAAATACGCAGGCTATTTTTATATTAATTCATTTAAAAACTAGAAAAAAAAAGACTTAAGAAATCAAATCTAAACATACGATTTTGGAATTTACCACAAAATATCGTTTTCATTTTTTTTCGACGTTCTTATTACAAACGGTGTTTACTAATTATTGGCATGCTTGTGTAACTTGTCCATGGGCAACACTAACGCCATCTTTACAGTACAGCAACCATGGAAGTAGCAGCCACATTTACAAAATATAAGATTCTGCCATTTTACAATATAATCAGTCGATTCACGTTCATTACATTATTATTTAATGCTTGCTTCAGACGCGGGAACAATATTTAGATACGTGCTTAAACCTAGATTGTTTTGAAACAATTTTAAGAACCAAAATTTGTTTTTTTAGAAATCAATTTGACTTTAGGCTTAAGGTTGTTTGAACATTTTCTACACCTGCGGCAATAACTAGGCATAGACCAAATGAAATCATACCGGTGACAATTATAATTATTAGCCGTCATTCCAGTGCTCGATTGTAGAGCAGGCCAGCATATGACCATATATTACGTGGATGAGTGACGACTTAAACTCATTTACGATACTAAACGTAACATTTAATGGCATTCAAATAGTGCTTGATATTGGTTAAAAATGACCGCTTTATATATTCAATTAAAAATGATAGGCTATCTTGGGTTGAAAATTTTAAGTACGATAATATAGAACGTTATATGAATAAATATGGTGTGGTTTAAGGTTATATTTTACGCGAAATTACTAATAGATGAGTTGCATTGTGTGTACATACACTGCTCTCTAATTTACTTTGAAATTGATGCATATCTTACAGTCTTAAACATTTGATATTCTTTGGTTACGGCTAGATTTAGTGGATTGTTCTACACAAGGGCGGGTAACCTTTTCCGTGAAGGGCACTATCAGGGCAAATCTAGTATTTTCAAGGGAGCTAGAATTATTTGAACGACTATTTCGGGCATTCGCTATATATTTATTTATTCGGATTCATGTCTCGGAAATTTATAGCTTCTACGCCCGCAGTAGGGAGTTGCTTCGGAAATTGTCGTGGAAAGCCTGATTTGTTTGATGTTCACAATATTCTTTTGGTTAACTTCTTTTTACCGACATCAAGAAGGGTGAAGGTTCTCAATTTGTATCATTATATTATAGATAAGAACATCCGCGGCGAGATCAGTAAATAGATAAGTTTAAAAGGTTAATGGAAAATTATTTTTTCAAAGTAGTATAATGATTAACTTAAATATTTATAAACAAGAATGTGAAATGGAGCAAATTTGAAATAATAGGTTTGTTTAGAAGCAACATCGCATCTACGGTACTCTTTCTTGTGTGAAGAAGTATCTAATAATTTGTTGCTATTCACAACAATTTTGTTGGACCGGTTTAAATCGATTCAGCAGATAAGGTTTAGCCACGTTGCCCATATTTGATCTATATATGACGTGAAATGATATCTTTATGATTCCAAAGTAAAAATTAAAAGTTCTAAAAATATAATGTTTGAAGATGACATTAATCAAATTGATATAAATAGTTTTCGAAGTTTAATTCACTTTGAATGCCTAAACTTATTTGCCCAAAAGCTAGTGTCCTGAATCGATTCCGTTATTTTTGTTTCGGTAGCATGCATTTCCGATTAAGTAGTAAACGGAAATGCCAAAAAAAATTATCTAGCATTGACATTTCTAGTCTTTTTGAAGTTTGACATATTGTTATCACACAGTAGCGAGACCTAATCTGTGGCTTATATTGCGAAAATGTCTCTACATCAAGAAGACTTGACAAGGGATCTGGGATATTACTAGTGTTGAATGCCATCAAATGGTACAGGCCACGGAATACATAAAGCACAGTGCGAGTTCGCTCGGTGCTCACACAAAACTGTGATTCAATTATTAATATTTAATATAAAGGCGGATATTATTTAAAAACTACACGACGGACGCGGGGACCAGTAAGCGAAAGCGTATTCGTGAAGACCTTGCCGGCGTATCCAAAACATTATTACTATTTTATTCGTATTGTTTTTATTCTATTATCACGTTCCAAGAAAAAAGTTTTTTATTCATAAAAAAACTAAAGTTAATTTTTTTCTTTTTCGTTTTTCATTACCGTGTTTCCTTTGCCGGTGTGAGGTATTGCCAGGTTTGTTAACATACCTTCGTTATTATTAGGTATTAGAATAAATGTATTATAAAGTCGATACGATATAATTTTTTTTGTGAAAAATCACTACTTCATTTTGTGTTGACCGTATACAAAGTTGAAATTTTATAACCGTTTTTCTATATTCAGCTGCAAACGCATCACGATGATAGTTCGTAGATGAACCTTTACATCTGTCTGTCGGAGTACGTCACCACACACACGGATGTGACGCCAAAGATGTTGTCAGAAAAAAAAAACAATCAATTGAAGGCAAGAAGAGTGTCCTAATTTAACTTTTTTTAAACAACAACATTCTACGAAAAGCTCATCACGACAATTAAACTTACAACACTGACGTAACGCTAAGCTATCCTATAGAAAATTATATTTAACTCATTTTCAAACTGTCTGTTTCAAACACCATGTTACAAATATTGCAGCTACGTTATTAAAATGTAAGGTTTGCTGTTGAATAAAACATAACCGTCGGTCGCAGATACAGCAATTTAGACCTAAGCTTTGTGAATTTTAAGCTCATAATTTAATACTCAGTCGGTAGATACGAGTTGGGTCTTAACGCAGGTCGGGCTCTCTTACTGTTGCGAGTTAAATTAAAGTGAATCGTTCAAGCACATGTTGCATCGGTCCCGGGATTGATCCCGGACACACGGGTAGCCATCGCTTAGGATACATCTTAAGTCCACAAAGTATTCCTCGGAACTTCATTCTCAGATAACCCAAGGAACAACGTATTATTTATTTGACTCACTACAATTGTGAAAGTGTAATTGCACCCAGCGGCCCCCTCCTCCGCGCTGGGGTCCCCCGGAACACTCATCGATGGGAAGAAGCCAAATTCATCATCACGTTAAAACGAATTTTGTAATCCAAATTGTATTATTTTCAAATCAGTCGTTGTATGTGAGTTCACCCCCCTTTTTTAAATCGCAAAAAAGGGTGGGGACAGGCGCTCGCCGGCGACCAGGGGTACATTATCCGTCACTTATATTTAATGTTTTATTTGGTACATTCAGCACGCAGCCCACGATGCGCCGCCTCTCGCACTGGAATTACGAGATAATTACCTTTTAATTATTCGTTCGGAATTTATTCAAGGTGTGTGTATTTTTTTAATTGCTTATATGGGTGGACGAGCTCACAGCCCACCTGGTGTTAAGTGGTTACTGGAGCCCTTAGACATCTACAACGTAAATGCTTTACCCACCTTGAGATATAAGCTCTAAGGTCTCAGTATAGTTACAACGGCTGCTCCACCCTTCAAACCGAAACGCATTACTGCTTGACGGCAGAAATAGGCAGGGTGGTGGTACCAACCCCTGCGAACTTACAAGAGGTCCTAAGCCCAGTAAGATATATGTATATATACATATATGTACACATACATACAGTTAATACACAATGTAACATGCGTACGTGCGTGTGTGCGGGCTGGTTGCGCGCTAGGTGTAGTCGTTGAAGTCGTCGATGGCGACGCGCTGCGCCAGGTCGGGCGTGGAGGCGTAGGGCGCGGGGGCTCGCGCGGCGGCCGCCAGGCGGGAGGCCTGCACGCGCCCGCGCAGCATCTTGATGAGGCGCAGGCGCGCCAGCCAGTTGGACGCGTAGGGCTGCGAGCCGCCGCCAGAGCTCAGCGTCGCAGAGATCTGGGACGCCAGCTGCAAGCACCACACGCCACCCTCAGTGCACAGGTAGAACAGAACGCATTCATTTGTAAGCAATAGATTATTAACTTATTTTTGGAACGAAGTTCCTAATTGGGACGATGCAGAGGAGTACCCTAACCAGAAAAAATGTCCGTAGCGTAAGATTATTATTAGTAATGTACACAGTGTACGACTTAACTTTGTAATAACATACAAAAAATAACATATTGTTTATTATATATTTTTTATAATTCATTGTGAATAAAATAAAGTTGATAACTTTGTAGTTTTTTATTTATTTTTATCAATAAAAAAATCATAATAAAAATGTATACCCGAATAATTATTTTCTTTATACCTCGAACGGAACTTAAGATTAATATTTTAATAATAAAGAACTTCGTTTCTATCTGGTGTCCCACGACACCACACATCTTTTTTTTTTAAATCTTCTGCTGTGTAAGTATACTATTTTAAATATGTAATTCATTTTTAATAATGAATAGAACATGTTATCGTTTCTCAAGGTGATGAAGTCATCTCTAATTATGAACATAGCCGTTACCTCAAAAAAATGATATTCTGACACGTGGCACTCATCTTTAGACCCTTCTCTCAACATCACCCCTTTACTTTCAAAGTTTTAAAGGCATAGCTACCTTGAGTTGAATTAATGTGCTTCGATTGATTTTTATTAAAAATAAAATAAGAATGGCCCATACCCAATTCTCCAGTGCTAAACTTATAAGACATGTGACCCAGAGATGAAATGCTATTTTTGGTAAATAATAGAATCAAATGTAGATCCTAAGGTAAACTAGGGTAACATTTTCAGAATTAATCGAAAAAAAAAATCGATACAAAAACCTATGAAGACAGATTTTTTTGTTTAGAATTGTTTGTATGAGGGCACGTACCGCGCAATGTAGCGCCATCTGGCGGGCGAGCAGCGCCACGTTGTGGTCGGACACGGCCACGTGCTGCGAGTCCAGGTGCGCCAGGAACTTGGTGCGGATGCGCTCGTCCTTGGTCTTCAGCAGCACGCGGTTCATGCCGTGCTCGTACGGCTCCACCACCACGATGCACAGGTTGAACTGGCCCTGGCATCACGAGACTCGCATCAATACAACATTCGCACACACACTTGTAATTCGGCTCGAAGGACCAAAAATATGTGCGAGTACGGAGCGAGTATGCAGTGGATGATTAGTGATAATAAGTCCGAGATTTTACTAACTGACTTTAATGCACACAATCCTTACAAATGTTCTATATTATAAATATTAAGTGTTACGAACGCAGGGACTGCATCCGACTTCCGCGAAAACAGATTGTCGATAATGATTCTTGTTAAAGTGCAGTTTTAAATAAACGCACTGTATGGGTTACTGCTCGCTAAGGTGTTCGGTCACATTACATCGAACACCATTCATTTTCATAGAGAAACAAGCAAGACTAACGATTTTGATTTAATATCTTGTTTCATGGGGGAGCACTTTAAAAACTTATTTGTGATGACCCCGTTACATTTCCCACGACCTCAGATCGCTGCGTTCTTGTACATTTGACGGCACTAACCTTGATGGTGTGGATGTTGAAGTCTGCTCCGGAGTCGTTGTACACGATGGACACGTAGTCGTTCCCGATGTACTTGCGCTTCTCGTTGCAGCTGGGGTCGCTGGCGCACGTGGGCATGGCCGTCGCCACGTGGAACAGCACCTGCGCAGCCGGACCGGACACTGCTGGATTACTGGTGGTAGGACCTCTTGAGTCCGCGCGGGTAGGTACCACCACCCCGCCTATTTCTGCCGTGAAGCAGTAATGCGTTTCGGTTTGAAGGGCGGGGCAGCCGTTGTAATTATGCTGAGACCTTGGAACTTATATCTCAAAGTGGGTGGCGCATTTACGTTGTAGATGTCTATGGGCTCCAGTAACCACTTAACACCAGGTGGGCTGTGAGCTCGTCCACTCCGAAGCGCCATGTAGCTTCACGGCAGAAATAACCAAGGCGGTGGTCATGTACACTTTGGAAAGTCCACTTGTAGATGTCGTTAGCGCGATTCAGATATTGATCATATTTGTTGTAGTGTGCGTCGCGTTGTGAGCGGCGGCGGCGGTACCTGCATGATGTCGTCGGTCCACACGTAGGTGTACCGACCGTCCTTGCCGCCCTTCTCCAGGTTGAGGAACAGCTCCGGGTGCTCCTGCTCGTCCTCGCCTTCCAGCGACACCAGGGTGCCGAGCTGCGTCAGGAACTCGGAGTATCTGTAAACGAAAACCGTGTTTTATTCTACTACCCACCCTGATATACTCCTTAACAACGTGTGTAGATATAAATTGCAATTTGACTTTGTGCGGGAGAAATGTTTTTTTCTCCTACCTACGCCGAAAGTTCGTTTTTCCTCCCGCTGTACAGGGAATAAAGTTTAACATTTCCTCCCTGGGCACTGACAAGTGCGCATACGCGTTAGTGTTTACGTCTGCTCTCACGCACCTAAAATTCTCCGCCATTGTTGTGATCGGGTAATTTGCATTATTATGTTTAGTGTAAAAGTGAAATAAGCAAAATGTAATAAAATTTGATACTGAAGTATTAAACAAAGATGAGTTCTTTTTTTTTATTTCTTTATCATCAGAGAGTTCTTATTCAATTAGAAGTAGTTTATTTAAAAAATTAAAATGTCTATTTCTACAATACGTTGTAAGAATGTGCAATGGTTATAAAAATATTAGTGGCAAATATTGTAGTTTACCCTATGGATCGTAATTAATAAAAACAATTAGACATAAATCATATGATACGTTAATAAAATTTAGCACGTGTTTTATTTCTTAGGTTGTGTAGATGAACTGATCTATTTTCGTTTGAATAAACAAAATAATTCAATGACATTTCAATCCCATTAGAGTTTCATTTCTGCATTAAGTTAATGCCAATCAAAATATACACTGTATATGTATATTTTTAAAGTTAACCTCGAGATACATAACATGTAAGACTAGTTTCTTGCCAGTTCTCAGGACGGGGGCTAGTTTTTGTGAATTAGCGGTAATTCTTTTTGAAGTTCAACACGTGTGTACTTTCATTTATGTTGAATAAAAAATTATTGATTTGATTTGATTTGATATAATGCGAGGTAAATATCAAGTTGAGTTAGGTGTGCGTCTGATAATAAGCAGTTATCTTTAAAAACTTAAAAAAAGATATTTAGGAGATCTGAGCAGTACAACATGACGCGTGCCGGGGACGTACCTGACGCTGCCGTACTCGTTCTGCAGGATGGCGTCCTCGCTGTCCTGCTGCCCCGGGGCCACGTAGAGCACGCCGATCTGTTCGCAACACTCTCACTGTAACATCCTACCGCACACTACACGCCTTGTGAATAATGTTCCACTGTGAACCGCGACAGTTCCAATACTGTGTACAGTAGGGGGGGCGGGGGGGGGGGGTACGTCCGTTTCTGAACATAGCTACTCATGTATATAACCGAATGGTAAACAGTCGACGTCGCCCTAAACACGTCATTTCGGATCCTCCCGATCCATTAACGGTGCTTTTAGGTACCACAAGCACCGGTCATCGTTCTCGTCGAACCCGTCGCTTGCGACGAAGGGCTCGACTAGTAAATTAACCCACAGACACAGCCCACTGAGTTTCTCGCCGGATCTTCTCAGTGGGTCGCGTTTCCGATCCGGTGGTAGATTCTGCGAAGCACGGCTCTTGCTAGGGTCAGCAAGACTACCGGTTTGAGTCCCGTGAGCTCACCTACTAGTTCGGTGAATCTAGAATAACCCCTCGAAGAACAAACGAAGTTTAGAGCAATGTGCTCTGTAATAGTTCAGAACATTTTTTTAAGTTATTGGAATTAATGGCCACTATTTTCAGCAAGATGAGTTTAATGTAAATTTATTTATTGTCAGATCTCAATATATACGGTGCATATAGGCTTCGTTATGTTGCAATACTGATAACAACTCTGATGATTTGAGAGATTATTTATTGATAAGCTTGAGGTAACTGACAGATGACATAGTACAAATCGGCTCACGAAATAACTCTAATGCAAAATGCATCCGTATGCAATGTAACGTGCGCGCTTATCTGTTCGTACACAATCTATTTGTATTGAACAAAGTACGATACAGTAGAGGGGGTGGAGAGGAGGGCTCACCTTGTAGGTCTCGATGGGCGGCATGAGGTCCAGGTTCTTGATGGTGCGCTGGTCCTGCGCGCTGCTGACGCGGAGCGGCCGCTGCGACAGCGGACTCAGGGTCGTCGGGCTCTCACCTGCCACACCGCGCCGCGCATGAGCACGCTANACACAATCTATTTGTATTGAACAAAGTACGATACAGTAGAGGGGGTGGAGAGGAGGGCTCACCTTGTAGGTCTCGATGGGCGGCATGAGGTCCAGGTTCTTGATGGTGCGCTGGTCCTGCGCGCTGCTGACGCGGAGCGGCCGCTGCGACAGCGGACTCAGGGTCGTCGGGCTCTCACCTGCCACACCGCGCCGCGCATGAGCACGCTACCAGTCTTACTCATAGTCTTACTGGTGGTAGGACCTCTTGTGAGTCCGCACGGTACCACTACTCCGCCTTTTTTGCCGTGAAGCAGTAATGCGTTTCGGTTTGAAGGGTGGGGCGGCCGTTGTAACTATACTGAGACCTTAGAACTCATATCTCAAGGTGGGTGGTGCATTTACGTTGTAGATGTCTATGGGCTCCAGTAACCACTTAACCATTCTACCCATCTAAGCACTAAAAAAAAGACGACGCGGTGGTAGGGACAGATCGCGGCGACTCACCAGGCACCGGGGGCGTTATGGGGTATGTGCTCATGTTGTGGTACAGCTGCAGGAAAACGAAGGAAGGAGTCAACCCGCCCCCGCTGGCGCCTGCGCACCCGCTCCCGCTGCTGCTCGTGGGCGCGCCCGCCGGCCCGGTGCTTATCGGCGGGGCGTGGTTTGGAGTTTGCCTGTTTATGAGTTTGGTTTATGCAAGTTTATGAGTTTTTTAATTAGCCGTTAAGTCGACAAGGGTTTCGAAGTTGATTGTGTTAAGGGTACTGGGGGCCGAACCTCCTACGAGGTCCCCGCGCCTAGGGGGCGCGCGGAGTATGTGGGACTCAACGATCTGCAAGGTGTTGTGAGCAGATCGCGGGCCCAAAAAATTTTAGGGCCCACCCACTAAACGACTCCCCTGCACTCTTACACCCGACGTCCGATCTCCGTCCGGGCTCAAAACCCGATCAGAGTAGGGGGGATAGATAGATACCTAGATACTACACCAACCTCGGTAAAAATCAAACAATTTGCATAGCAAGTATTGTCTGGACGTTTTCGCTAGCACTGTTGACAGTTTTAGACCTTGCTCAATGAGCTTCTTCAGTTATGTAATAGCGTATTTGGTAGTAAATGTGTAATAATGATAAATTTTCATACAATGTTATGTATAGTTTTTCTTTCTCTAGTATTATATAAAGAACCGCTTTCTTTATTAATGCATGCAGTCAGTCCTTTAATTGTGTTAGTATTTAGTGTGAGATCAATATAATATAATTTATGCTACCCGTAATGTTTTGTGCTGATGTATAACATGTTGGTACCCAATAAATAAAATAAAATAAAATGATTTAAAACTTCTATTGAACCGCATCAAAATCCTTTGCGTAGTTTTAAAGATTTAAGCATACATAGGGACAGATATAGGGACAGAGAAAGCGACTTTGTTTTATACTATGTAGTGATATTGTCCTATTGTTTAAGGCGTCACAATTGCTTGATGTTGGTACCTGTGGCGGCGCGTGGGGCTCATGACGGAGATGGTGTTGGAGCGCTTGGAGCGCGCCAGCGGCGGCAGGTCGTCCCGCGCCGGCGCCCGCGGCGGCTTGCTGCGGGACTCCGGGACTGCGCCCTCGCTCGCGGTCTGCGCACACACCCGGACCACTACATTACAAGCTTGCACGTTTGTGTCCCCCTACTGCAATTCGATTCATATTTGGAGCTTCGCACCAAAATCATATAGTTGATATTGATGTGACATTTTCTAAATCTTATACCTTTAAACGAGCAATTCTTGTATATTAATATATATGTATATAATCTGAATCTCGTAAACGGCTCCAACGATTTTCATAAAATTTAGTATATAGGTGTTTTCAATAATCAACTCTTCCCGACATCTATTAGCGAATAATAATACTATTTTTCTTAATTGAGGGCAACTAACTGCTTTAAAGACAAAACAAGATGGCGTTATCAAAAAAATTTATCTCATCTAGGTCATCATCTAGTCTTATATAAATGTAAAGATCTGTGATACCTATATGAGTATATACTATATACGTAAAGAAAAATCTTTGTACCGCTTTTTACGGAAATTTCGTGAGCAGAGGAATATGAAATTTCTCACACTTATAGAAAATATAGAGAAGGAGTGCAGAATGTTATTATTTTTATAAATTATAGATAAAAAATAAATACATTAAATCAATAAAACAAAACATTACGCACATTACCATATATTTGACACAAAGACACGCATACTATTTGTTTATTGTCAATAGTTTAAATATTGTTTGTCTTTCGTAATATTTGTCTAAAGTGTACCTAGTCTTGGCGAAATTTTGTTATTATAGTATATGATAGTCTTTGACAATAATTTAAATTGATTATAGTCGAATTTCGATTACCGGACGACCACTAGTATATAATTATTTAGCCGAGTTCCTGCATTCCGTATTGAACATTGTATTTTTTTTAATTTTTTTTATTGCTTAGTTGGATGGACGAGCTCACAGCCCCCTGATGTTAAGTGGTTACTGCTGGAGCCCATAGACATCTACAACGTAAATGCGCCACCCACCTCGAGATATAAGTTCTAAGGTTTCAGTATAGTTACAACGGCTGCCCCACCCTTCAAACCGAAACGCATTACTGCTTCACGGCGGAAATAGGCGGGGCGGTGGTACCTACCCGTGCGGACTCACAAGAGGTCCTACTACCAGTGATTAAGCAAATTAAATTTTTTGCGGGTTTAATTTTTATTACACGATATTATTCCTTCACCGTGGAAGTCAATCGTGAACATTTGTTGAGTACGTATTTCATTAGAAAAATTAGTACCCGCCTGCGGGATTCGAACACCGGTGCATCGCTACACACGAATGCACCGGACGTCTTATCCTTTAGGCTACAATGACTGAATTGATTATAGTCGAATTTCGATTACCGGATGACCACTAGTATGTAATTATTTAGCCGAGTTCCCGCATTCCACACTGAGCATAGTAGTAGTACGAGCAGGCGCGTTACCTTCTGCAGCTGGTGGTGCGCGGTGTCGTCGGCGGCGGCGCGCTGCCCGCTGTCCGCGCCCGCTCCGCCCGCGGCGTGGCCCGTGCCTGCACACGACAGCGGCTCGCTCGTTACTGCTGCTCGCACACATGTTAGTGTTACCGTGTTAGTCCAGTTAAACAAGCGTTTAATACGAAATCTTCGTTAAGACATACGCAAATTACACTAAAATTAAAATAGGTGATTTTGTGCAAAGGCTAGTTTTTGTAGTTCAGCGACAATGCAGTTATTTGACGAGACTGGTTCGATTATAAATAAACCTGACCGACTAAACCCTCAAGAAAATATATTAAAAGCAAAAAAAAAAGAATTGAGCACCCTGTATCATTAAGTTAACAAACAACAAAAAATATTACTTAAATATTAAAGAAAATGCTAAAAGTTAGTCTATATAAAATGTTCTTTTTTAATTACATACGACTTTCATGTTAAAAGCAAAAAAAAATTTAACACCCTGTATCATTAGGTTAACAAAGAACACAAATAAATACATATTTAAATAATAAGAAATCACTGGCAACACAGTACTGTGAGCTCTAATGGGTATGTACCATCATTGCGTGATCCTATCGCACCACAGTGATGGGGTCGGGCATTGCAATTGGACACATTTAGGTGAGATTCAATGCTGAGAAAAGAATAGCCACAAAAGAAATTCATAGTAAGGGCCCACAGCGCGCAATGGAATACATAATGTTAAAATATAACAATCATTAATATTCAATAAGCAGTAAGCCATTTCTTGTTTTATAAAATATCGTATTGTTAAAGCAATAGTTTAAAGGGCATAGGCATATAAATACTCCTGATAAATATTTATTATTATTTTTGTTAAGAGTTTTTTAAGGTGAAAGAATTAGGTTTTTTATTTTATTTTATTTTTTATTGCATAGATGGGTGGACGAGCTCACAGCCCACCTGGTGTTAAGTGGTTACCGGAGCCTATAGACATCTACAAGTAAATGCCACCCCCCACCTTGAGATATGAGTTCTAAGGTCTCAGTATAATTAAAATAGTTGCCGCGCCTTTCAAATTGAAACGAATTACTGCTTCACGGCAGGAATAGGCAGGGTGGTCGTCCTATCCGTGCGGATTCACAAGAGGTCTTACCACCAGCAATTGCGCAAATTATATTTTTACGGGTTTCATTTTTATTACACGATGTTATTCCTTCACCGTGGAAGTCAATCGTGAAGGTTTCTTAAGTACGTATCTCGTTAGAAAAATTGGTACCCGCCTGCGAGTTTCGAACACCGATGCATCGCTACATACGAAGGCAATGGACGTCTTATCTTTTAGGCCACGACGACTTCAAACAAGTTTTTTTTTTTTATATTTTAAGCCTTATGTTTTAAGGTGGGAGGTGGAATTTACGTTGTTGATGTGTGTCTACTCACCGGGGTCCGACTTGTATGTGACGAGGTGCGGGTGCGCGGCGAGGGGCGACGTGCCGCACATCTCCTCGGGGATGGCCTCGCACGACACGCGCATGTCGCTCTTCTTCGCCGCCTTCTTCGACGCGTGCATGGACGCGGCCGGCGTCCTGGGGGGGACCGCCGGTCAGTCGAGAGGGGAACCGAGGGGGGACGTATACATGATACCGCGTTAACCCCACCCGCGATGCCAAAGCTCGGTGATAAGCTCCCAAGGTAATTCACATTGAAAAAAAAAAATATAGTAAGAGAGTGCATTTGCTTTACATTGACTGTGGTGGGTAGCCATCATACAATACAAGATATTTGATAGATGCTTGAAACTCGCTTACGACATTTTCAAGACAAGCTTGCATATACTATACAAGTTCCGAACAACAACATTCGGACCGTCGGTCTACCGAGCAATATCACCCGTTCGGTGGAAGATATTGTCTTCGTCGTTAAGCATTCCACATCGACTGTTTGGTTACATGTGTAAATACAAGGAACGCTAATAGAATATAGTGCGGGGTCTCGTTGTGAGCACACGCTAGCTGAAGACGGGGTGTAAGGCCAAAAAAACAACAGATTATTTTCTGTAAAATAATTTACAAATTTATATGTTCCACTTAAGGTGGGGTTTCTGAAAATCTCTAAGTATAGCGGACTTCACATTAACTAATCGTTTCGCTGTTCACATTGCCTTAACCAGAGTATTTATTTCTTTAATAATTTTGAATTTTTGAAAGTAGTATATTGAGAGTAATCACACTAACGTGGGTTCGACTCCCGGGAGCAGGATCATCTCGTCTAGTTCTTCGTCCTGGAGCTTAGGCTGCGCACTCAGCTTCCACGAGGACGACATCTCCGGAGAAGAGTTCGAGCGACGCACCGGGTGGCGGGACTTCCCCTGGGCACAGACAACCGCACACGGTACTAGACTTGCCAACAAAGGCGGGGTTTGGCCTAATTACAATATTATATTGATGCATTTTCTTTTTTTTTTATTGCTTATATGCGTGAACGAGCTCACAGCCCACCTGATTTTAAGTGGTTACTGGAGCCCATAGACATCTACAACGTCAATGCGCCACCCACCTTGAGATATAGGTTCTAAGGTCTCACGTATAGTTACAACGGCTGCCCCACCCTTCAAGCCGAAACGCATTACTGCTTCACGGCAGAAATAGACAGGGCGGTGGTACCTACCCGCGCGGACTCACACGAGGTTCTACCACCAGTGATTACGCAAATTATAATTTTGCGGGTTTCATTTTTATTACACGATGTTATTCTTTCACCGTGGAAGTCAATCGTGAACATTTGTTGAGTACGTATTTCATTAGAAAAATTGGTACTCGCCTGCGGGATTCGAACACCGGTGCATCGCTCGATACGAATGCACCGGACGTCTTATCCTTTAGGCCACGACGACCTCTAAGAATGTGTAAGGAATGATCTAGATGAGCGACTGACCTCCTGCGCGAGGAGCAGGATGTCGTCGTCGCCCGCGGCGCTGGTCGAGCCCTGTCTCTGCGGAGACCCGGGGATGTTGATCGGCTGCGTACTCATCCTGTGCCGCCGACACCAATACATCGTTACATATACATTTGTGTTCAGGGGCCCTTAGCATACGATACAATTGTATGACACCGCTGTTGGGGTAAGACAAGAATGAGACCAGTGACTGATGACGAGACTTCTTTTTCTTAGTCGCATACTTCATTGTTGAAGGTCGTGTCCCTGAAAGCCCTTCGTGGCTCTTTGTACAATCAGTCACCATTTCCTTCGGTTTTCGGCTTCTCTCAATTAAACCACTGCACTACCTCTCCCAAGAAATCCTATGAAAGCAAACAATGATGACAAGACAACAATCTTATTACTCGGACCTAGAATTTTGACCAGGAGCAGTGAGATAAGAGTACGTGTGTACGTCACTAGTGGGTACCTGTGGGGCTGGTGCAGCAGCGGTTTGGACACGACGGTATCAGAGTTGGATTTGTGCAGGTCGAGGGTCGAGCGGATCGACGGTTCGATCTCCGCCCGGGACTGCGCCTGCCGGGAGAGACGGTAAAGAGTAAATAATAATTTAGTTTTAGACGAAAGGCAGCTAACTTGTTTTCTGGCGTGTGGAAGACGTACGACGTTGCAAGTGCTCAGTGTGCTTAGTGCGAGTTTTTTTACTTACCTCTAGCGGTTGTGCAATAAAATAAATAAGAACAGAACAATTTAAAATATTTAATTATTCCTGTTCTTTAAAATGTATAAATACCTTATGCATATTATAGTTTTAAACAAAAACAATCCAAAACAAGATACAAACCCAGTTAGAAGAAATATAAGACTTTGCAATGTTATTTACCTGTTCTTGTTTGTTGTCGTCGCTAGATGGCGGTGGCGCGTAGGGCGCGGGGGGGTCGACACAGGGCGCGGGGGGCGGCGCGGCGGGGGGCGGCGAGGGATGAAATATCATCGGGTTGAGTAGCGCCGCCACTTCTTGTAGCGGCGACTCTAGCTGGTAGTCCCAGTTCATCTGTTACATTTAAATAACTTATTATTTTTTCATGTTATAGGCGCTTCAACGGCGCTGCGTAACCCAGACACAGCCCACTGAGTTTCTCGCCGGATCTTCTCAGTGGGTCGTTTTTCCCATCCGGTAGTAGATTTTGCGAAGCACTGCCCTTGCTAGGGCCAATGTTAGCAACACGGTTAGGTTAGCCCCGTGAGCTCACCTACACGTCAAGAAGCTGAAATAGCCTTGAGAGGCTATCAGCATAAGTAAGCAAAAGAAAAAAAAGGGCGCTGCCTACCGTAAATTGGGGGGAAGCGGGATCATTTCCAAATCCAATACAAATTTTCAATGGTTTTTCTTAGGGTAATACTAATAAAATTGATATCAAAATGGTTCCGGAGGCTTAAATTTTTTATATACGATACGTTATTATACATAGTTCATTACAAAATATACACAAAAGCTGAAAGAACTAGAATATTTTATACGAAAATGTTTTTAGTCGTTAATTCAAAATATAGTTTTTGCACATAGCAGATTTAGGTTTGACAGGGACGATTTGGAATATTGTTTAAAATTGTGTAAAATTTGGAATCAATGAACTGACGTAACAAGTGATGGATTCCATTTGTATTTGTGTGAGACCTCACCGTTATTACGTGTTAGAGATTGCGTTCCCTCACCTGGTTCTGCACCCGCATGACCCAGCTGACGTCCCCGGTTGGCGAGCGCACGTGTATCTCCGCCCACCCCCCGCACCAGCACGGGCACGCCCCCCCTCCCGCGAGCTCGCCCACGCGCGACCAGCTCGTGTCGTCCGTGTCCTGTACGGAGCGTGCCGGCTCATCATATTGTCGTCGCTGGCTCTCTGCACCATCAGACGTGCCTCTCGGTCGACATTGGAAACGAACACTGGTGGTAGGAAGTCTTGGGAGCCCGCACGGACCACACCCCCCTATTTCTGCCGTGAAGCAGTAATGCGTTTCGGTTTGAAGAGCGGGGCAGCCGTTGTAACTATACTGAGACTTAGAACTTATATCTCAATGTGGGTGGCGGATGTCTATGGGCTCCAGTAACCACTTGATACCAGGTGGACTGTGAGCTCGTCCACCCATCTAAGCATTAAAAAAAAAGAACAGTGACGTCACAGGCGATAAAGTATAAAAGTTAAAATCATTTTACGGTTGAATCTATTATAGATCGCTAATGTGGATTACATATTCTTATCGACTTTAAAAGTAGACAAACATATAGCCCAACCCTAATCATGAATGGTCAGCGATGCTCATGCACTTTACCATGAGCGCTTGGGAGTATTCAAGCAGTGTTTTAATAAGGACAAGAACTATATAACTAGTAAAAAATACCTTTTTTAAAAACAACTCACCTCCTGGTAGTTCCAGAAACTTTACCTGCAAAGTCTTAACTCAACCATAGAAGAGTGTGTAGTACCTTAAGCAGTCTGCTATTTACTTAATTTCAGTGAATGCTTACCACCTCCTTGGATATCCTTTCGAAGCGCTGTGAGAATTGGTTGAGGACTTCGGCTAGAGGATCTGTTGTCTTATTGTTCTCCGATGAATTTTGTCTGTGAAATAATTTACTTATACAGTTATATAACTCTTTTTCTTCAATCAAACACGACATTATTTCTACGTTTTATGTACAGAATAAGGATTGTCAATGAACGAGATTCTCGCTTTTTTTTGGAACGAAGTTCCTTATGGGACGATGCGGACGGGTACCCTAACCGGGAAAAAACGTCCGTAACGTAAGATTTTTATTAGTAATGCACACAGTGTTCGACTTAACTTTGTAATAACGTACAAATTAGTAATGCACACAGTGTTCGACTTAACTTTGTAATAACGTACAAATTAGTAATGCACACAGTGTACGACTTAACTTTGTATTAACGTACAAATAATAACATATTTATATTATATATTTTTTATAAACCATTATGTAAGCCCGAATAATTATTTTCTTTATACCTCGAATATAACTTAAAATTTATATTTTTATAATAAGGAACTTCGTTTCTATCCGGTGTCCCACGACACCACACATCTTTCTTTTAATTAGCAGTTCTAAAACTTGAGTCATAAAGGTAGCAGACAGTAGTGTAATATTTGTAGCGTTATTTTTAATGTAACATACAGCATTATACACATTTATAGCATTGCAGTTATTTTATATACGTTCAAAACACAAATGTGAACAAGACGTCTTTAGCGGAGTATGTACTCACCTTCTTCAGTGCGCTCCTTGAAGTTTGATCGAGATGTTTTTATGTTCGTTGCCTCATCTAAGCATGACTACTAGATAATTTCCGTTTGTATACTGAATGAAGCGAGCGTGATTCCCGATTTAATATTAGCCATTCGCAAATCTAACTGCACAAAAGCATGCAAAGCATATTTGATGTCTAATGGAAACACTTTCTAGAACAAGATGCTTGTTTCGCGTAGCTTGTTGTAGCTTAATTGGCTAAGAATTCTGCACGCCCGACTTAATATAGAGTTTGGCAACGGAAAATTTCTCTGCCTACGTTAGGACTATAGTAATACTCTTCTTAAATCTCGTTTGAGGATATTTCAACTTAATTATAAGTATTTTCAAACACCGTTTTAAGTTATGCATAAGTCAAATGGACTGGCTATATTTTTTTACATACGTCGTATGTAAAAGCATGATACAATTAAAGTTTTTGTTTTAATTTTCATGTTTTAATACGAAAATATTAAGAATATTGGGAATCTTTACTATAAGGCACATCTTGAAAGCTGTTCCTCACGTTATTCCATTTTTGTTGTTAATTCTGGGCGTCGTAAATAGTATGTTGTGATTATTAAATTTAAGTTTATTTTCATGTCCCTTTTAAACTTTTCTTAGTACCTTTAAAGTTGTTTCCCGATATTTTCCGGCATATCTATAAGGTCGGCCGGGGTAAATCAACTGAGTCGTTTCAAAATTAATATTTAACTGTATGGTGTATATATATTTAGATATGTACTTTTTAGTATGGTATTTTAGGTATTTATATTTATTAAATTCATATGCTTAATGTTTATATATTCTATGTATTTATTTAAATTTATATTTAGTAAGACTATATTGTATAGCATTTATTTTTCCCTGAATTATCAACCGAAATACCTATTACGTTCTTTTCTGTATCACCCTTTGTCGACTGGTAGATTATTTCTTAGGCATTAAGTCCGCAAACGCACATTAATATGCATGAAGTTTAATAAATAAATAAAAATTATTCCATTAGGTAATGTTATTGTATCATTGTGTAACAGCGCACTGAGTTTCTCGTAGGATCTTCTCAGTGGGTCGCGTTTTCGATCCGGTGGTAGATTCCGCGAAACACTGCTCTTGTTAGGGCTAGTGTTAACGTCCTCAGGTTAGAGCTCCGTGAGCTCACCTACTCGTTCGGTGAATCTAGTATGACCTTTCAAGGTCACTAGAATAGGTCGGTAAAAAAAAGTGTAACTAGACCCCTCGCATGGTACGGCTGGACTGTGAGGGGATGACTGAATCCTCAGACCTACATACATCAATGTTACATAAAAAAAAAAAAAAACTTTTCAAAAGCGAGCCAAAACCATACATGATTGGAGTCTCCTTTTATACTTTCGCGTGGTGTTTCCATGAGCCGTCAAATAGTACGAAAGCATATTAGTCGTTTTAGTAGGGGCGCTTGGACCTGGTGGTGTGTCCGCTGGTGGGCGGCAGGAGGGGGGCGTCGCAGCACGACAGGGACGAGCAGCTGGTCTCCGTGGAGCGGCTGTGCTGCAGCGACCGCTTGCTGTAGCTACACACGCACACACACGCTGCCTCACACCGCACCCCGCCCACACCACGTGTACGCATTGACCAGTAGGACTTATTTTTTTGTTGGCCTTGTAGGCAGACGAGCATGCGGCCCACCTGATGGTGAGTGGTTACCGTCGCCCATGGACTTCAGCAATGCCAGGGGCAGAGCCAAGCCGCTGCCTACCGCTTAGTACTCTCCACAAGCCTCGTTTGAAGAAGGACGTGTCGTCCACACTGATTGAGGCAAGGGTAGGGTAGCCACCGATCCAATATAAACGAGAGATGGACTTAATACCTCGCCGTGTGGCCACCCTGGCTTTGACTGCCCGTCATGTGTACGAATAAACGCGATAAATCAATTTCATTAAATATTTATTCCAATTTTGAGCAAACCAAAAATCATTTTCATTTAAAATTTCAACTATGATGGTGCTAATGATTTTGTTGAATACGGCCGCGATTATGTTTTGAATTCATAATTTGATATAAAGAGTCTGCCACATATGGAGTATTTTACGTGTGGTCATCAACGATTCACGAACGCGATTATTTATGTAAATTTACATCTCCATAAAAGATTGATCAGAAAGAAAAAAATATTTTTTCTCTTTTATTCTGTTTATAATATAATAGAAGTATAGCGTGCGGTGTAGGCGGTAGTACCGGTTATAAAAAGCCCCTTGTTATTCACGAAGCAAGCTCGGAAAACCTTAGTTTGGCGTCGACTGAAAACTCACAACTATTTTAAATTTTAAAATGTTTTTAGTTTATTTAGACGAACGAAGCGTACCCGCAAGTTGTTCTGTCTCTCTCTAACGCAAGTGTTAGAAGAGGACGGATCATTCGTCTAGTTTTGCATAGTCTAATACAAGTGCAGTCACAGGTGAAGTCACACACAGTCATAGGTGAAGTACAAGTGAAGTCGTCGTGGCCTAAAGGATAAGATGTCCGGTGCATTCGTATGTAGCGATGCACCGGTGTTCGAATCCCGCAGGCGGGTACCAATTTTTCTAATGAAATACGTACTTAACAAATGTTCACGATTGACTTCCACGGTGAAGGAATAACATCGTGCAGTAAAAATCAAACCCGCAAAATTATAATTTGCGTAATTACTGGTGGTAGGACCTCTAGTGAGTCCGCGCGGGTAGGTACCACCGCCCCGCCTATTTCTGCCGTGAAGCAGTAATGCGTTTCGGTTTGAAGGGTGGGGCAGCCGTTGTGACTATACTGAGACCTTAGAACTATATCTCAAGGTGTGTGGCGCATTACGTTGTAGATGTCTATGGGCTCCAGTAACCACTTAACACCAGGTGGGCTGTGAGCTCGTCCACACATCTAAGCAATAAAAAAAAAAAAAAAACAGGATAAAGACATAGGATAATTCGGATATGATAAAGTTGTAGTTTTAATGTTACTTTCGACGTTATGATTTTAGCTCTTACAGAGCGAATCGTCGATAGATCGACTCTTTATTAATACGTATAATGTGCGGAGAGTCGGATTATCGACTATTGTGCAGTTTAATTATAGGTATTAGGTATTGACCTATATGAGCGTGTCTTATCGTCTTTTTAATAAGTCAATAACATTTATAAGTAAAATAATAAGTAGACAATAATATCATTGAAATTGAAAAAAAAATAACACGATTTTAGAAGTATTGTAGAGTTTTCAGTCGCACGACCAACTTTCACCAACCCAGTTCCGCAGAAATATAGACCTTATTGCGTGTTCTTAAGCGTTAGTTGGAGTCACCAAGAGAAAGCGTAAAGCTCAATCGTCTATCCCTTCCCCCAAAACCGGGCCAAGTTTATACCAACAAAAACCATTAAATATATTTAAGTGAAATTATCAACAAACAAACAAACGGACAGACGAAAAAATTCGATTTGGAATATACGACCTCTTTCGAACTTATTTAGTTTCATATCACGGTCGAGGTCAGACAGAGCCGAACTATCGAATTACAAATTTAAAATCACCAAAGTTATTGAAGATAAGTTTCTTTCAGTATTAGATTCTGGAAGGCAACTTGCAAAAGCTAAGTAGTAAAGCTTACCGTTTTACTTCGGGCGGGTTTTGTGCTTGCGACGGGCTGTCCTCGGTTGTCTGGCTGTCACTCGTCGACTCATTAAGCTGTGTCTGGAACGTCATCAGTGACATTTTTAAAAGAACTAGCTCTCTGAACTAACGTTACTGCGGGTTGTGTATGTCGACCGCTGGGTGACTGCGGTCTGACCTGGGACATGTGTAAACTAAACTACGGTAAGGGCCAATTAATCATTATCATATAGATAGCTGACCCGGCAGACTTTGTCGTGCCTCAATCGATAAATAACATACCTAAACTTTTGTATAAAATAAACTTAAAACAAAAGGAATCCGTCGTCTGACGGGGGACACATAATAAGAAAAAAAAATTGCTATTTTTATTTAATTCCGAGTATTTTAATATTTTTCTACCTTCTCTGGACTTCCACAAATAAATCAAGACCAAAATTAGTCAAATCGGACCAGCCGTTCTTGAATTTTAGCGACACCAACGAACAGCGATTAATTTTTATATATAGAGATTAACAAATTTACAATATGAGTGAGAACACTACCTGCGACGCGCCGGCGGATGCGGCGTTGGCGGCGAGCGCGGAGGGCGCGGCAGATGCGGCAGGCGCGGCAGATGCGGCGGGTGCGGCAGAGGCGGCGGGTCGCAGCGGCGGCAGCGGGCCGGCCGCGCTCTCCGCGTGCTGCTTGCACAGCGCCGCGCACCTGCGGGCCACGACAACGGTTTGTCACTACATCAACGACACTTGACACAAACATTTATAATAATTTTATTAAATATTCATAATAGTTCTTCACCTGTCGCAAAGTCCCTGCTTGAGTGAGTTCTGCAGGCAGCCGGACGTGGTGATGGTGACGAGCTTGTGGCCCACCAGCCACGTCATCGACTGGCCGCCGTTGAACAGAAATTCCGCGAGATCGCTCCTGGAATTGAGATTGCATCGTGTTCGTTTATATATGTCGACGCGGCGTCCCGGGGGGCGCGGCTCGTACCTCTGCGGCTTGACGGTGCAGGGCGTGGTGGCGTACCGCGCCAGCAGGTCCACGCACGTCTCCGTGAGCTCCACGTGGAAGGCGGCGGAGGCGGAGGGCCCGGCGCGCCCGATGGCCACCTGCGGCACGGCGCGGGAGCCCTGCGGGGGAGAGCGGCGTCAGCACCGGGGTCTCTGAGGACCGTTTGCCCAACTGTTAGGACCGAGTCACAACGGAATGGCAGCGGCCGGCAGCGTCGCGGCGAGCACTTTCAGTGTGAAATAATTTTCAACTTTATCTATATACTTAAAAAATCAGTTCGCTTGAAAAGTTTGAAAAGGTCGCGACACAGCCACCGCCGCGCGCCTCATGCGTCTTTTCGGTGGTTCTGCCCTCATATATAATAAGCAATTCCATCATGTTCACTTGAAGCACACGAGTATCATTGCCGAATGAAGAAACTAAACTAGTCAAGAGACTAGGCTCGTGCAGTATGGAGGCCGCGCGAGGCCGCCAGCGGCGACGCCGGGGGCCGCTGCCATTCCGGTGTGACTCGGCCCTTAAGGAAGTACTGTAGTTCCGAAGGCGGCTCAGGCCTGGGTTAGGGTTTACATTTGCAGACGGAGCAACAAATCAGCACGGATTCGACAATTCTATAATATTATAGCACTTTAAGCTGGGACGACGCTCTGCTGCGGTGGAGGGGCACGTACCAGACTGGAGCTCCGCTGCCGGTTGGAGGAGTCCTCGTTGGCGGCGCCGTGCTGGAAGTTGCTCTTGTACTGCAGCTGCTCCTCGAACGGCATGATGATGTAGTTGTGCAGGCCCTGCGGAGTGGCGCGGGTCAGCCTGCGCTCTCTAATGCACGTCTCAGACAATACCACGACCAACCTTCAATCAGTACCTAGTACGTAATTGTAGGTTGAGATATAAACTATGACATCCGTGGGTGAAAACGATTTATTTATAATAAGCAATCGTTTCTAAATGTTGCGAATTGTAAAATGTAAAATTGTCTAGCTGCAATTCTGCGTCTGTCTTATATGATACTATTTACACAAATATTCACTTTAAATTTAATATTTATTTTTTACGACATTATAACGGGTTCGGATACAGTAATATTAGCTTTATTGTGCACGTTGGATAGTTCAACATTAATTGGGAGCATCCTTTCTATTTCTGTATTAGTGTCATTTATGTTTAATAAAATTAAATACAGCTACAAATAATAGTACACGTCATATATCGGCGCGTACGCATATTTACCCCTAAAAGTGGTTATTTAGGTGTTGAAGGTTTATATGGGAAGCTCATCACATACAAAGGGAGAATATCGAAACTCAATGTAATAATTATATAAAGTTTAGCATTAGATATTATTATTGACCTAATACTGGGTATGGACTCACGTGTATGATGAACCTGACGAAGTTCCTGCGGTAGGAGAGGCGGCACTTGAGGAACCAGGCCGCGATGACGTGGTGCGCCAGCGACACGGCGTAGTGGTTGTAGCGCGACGGGTTGGTGTAGGGCANGGAGAATATCGAAACTCAATGTAATAATTATATAAAGTTTAGCATTAGATATTATTATTGACCTAATACTGGGTATGGACTCACGTGTATGATGAACCTGACGAAGTTCCTGCGGTAGGAGAGGCGGCACTTGAGGAACCAGGCCGCGATGACGTGGTGCGCCAGCGACACGGCGTAGTGGTTGTAGCGCGACGGGTTGGTGTAGGGCAGCAGGATGGCGAACACCGACATGTACTGGTCCTCCACGAACGACGCGAACACCTTCGGCAGCCGCGTCAGCGCTGCAACACAGCCGGGGTCAGCCGGGGCCAGAGCGCGCAGTGGGGGGCTGGAGGGGGGGGGACACTCACTCGACAGGAACTCCAGCATGGGGCTCGCTATGGCTTTCGTGTCCGAGATCTTGGACAGGTCCAGCAGCACCTCGGGCAGCATCTTCACCATCGTGTCGCGCGTCTCCAGCGTGAAGATGGTGAGCGCGTTGATGTAGGGCTGCGGCGAGCGCAGCACTGGCGACAACCACGAGGGGTTAGTTGGGAGTGGGTGGCGGGGCGGGGCGGCGCGGGGCGAGACACTGACCCATGCCGTACTTGAGCAGGCAGCGCACGATCCGCTGCTGCGTCTGCGGCTCGAGGCAGCTGTGGTAGGGCGCCAGCGCGGCCAGCGCGGGCAGCGCCGTGCCGTGGAACTCCGACACCAGCAGCTTGCCGCCCTTGCACGTGCGCAGGCACTCCGGGAAGTTCAGGCTGCGGTCTGAGATCTGCACAATTTTTTTTATTTTTTTTTCTCTTTCTATGCTGATAGCCTCTAAAGGCTATTTCAGCTTTACCCTGGCGTGTGTAGGTGAGCTCACGGGGCTCAAACCGGAATGTTGCTAACACTGACCCTAGCAAGAGCAGTGCTACGGAGAATCTACCAACGGATCGGAAACGCGACCCACTGAGAAATCCGGCGAGAAACTCAGTGGGTTATGTCTATGGGGCTGCACGTACAGTCGCATAGCCCACTAGATAATGCTAAATTAGACATAAAAAATTACATTTTTAATTATTTAGGTAGAGAGAAAGGATGTTTTCCATCTGTAAGCATCCTGCGTTATTAAATAAAAACCGTCACACTTCGTTGTGACTATGGCTAATTATATAAAGAACATAGATTTTTGGAAACTATTGACGCACTGTCTATTTTACGTAAAAGGATTAAACATTATGTAGCATAAAAAAGTTTAGATTTTCAATACATCGTCATCTATTATATACCCGGACATTAAAACATCAAGTTGTTGTACACCGCCATCTTTTAAAAACCTGTAGAGCTCACAGATATTAATAATCATTTACCGTATGTGAATAAAAAAGTGCGATCAAAAAAAGGGTGCGTGTACTTATGTACGCGCGTAAGAAGTTATACTTTATTTTTATTAAATTTATTTCTTTTTTTTATTTAAATTTTAATCAATTTGAAAAAAAATCCATTAACCAACATCCTCAAACACGCATATTGGACATCCCTTTTCTTGACATCGTATAAATTCGGTAATTCTCGGTACGGTTCTAAAGAAGTATAACTTCAAAAAGTGTGATTATAAAGCGGGTTAAAAACTATTCTGTCTTCCAAATTGGACTAAAGTCCACAAGGTATCGGAATTTCCATTAAAATCGGTTCATTAGTTCAGATGTTCATCACGGACAAACTTTTCATTTTTCTGTAAACACGACCACGGCTTATTTTTATTTTTTATTATTTTTATTGCTTAGATGAGTGGACGAGCTCACGGCTCTCCTGGTGTTAAATGGTTACCGGAGCCCATCTTAACCGAATATCTACTCTAAATGAAAGTAAATGCCACCACCTTGAGATATTACTTCTAAGATTTCAATACATTACAACGGTATCACCACCCTTCAAACCGAAACGCATTACTGCTTCATGGCAGAAATAGGCGGGGTGGTGATACCTACCCGCGTGGACTCTCAAGAGGTCCTACCACCGGTAATTACGCAAATTATAATTTTTGCGGGTTTGATTTTTATTACACGATGTTATTCCTATACCGTGGAAGTAAATCGTGAACATTTATTAAGTACGCATTTCGTTAGAAAAATTGGTACTTGCTTGCGGGATTCGAGTACCGGTGCATCGCTAGATATATAATGCACAGGATGTTTTATCTTTTAGGAGACGATGACTTCAAGTTGAATCAAGAGAATGCTATTAGCGCACCTTTTTGAAATATTATTTTTTTCCTTGTAGGCAGACGAGCGTACGGCCCACCCACGGACTTCAGCAATGCCACGGGTAGGGCCAAGCCGCTGCCTATAGCCTATTGTCAGCGTACAATAATGTACAATAACGTGCAATAAGAGAGCTCACCATGGAGCAGAGCGTGGAGGCGAGCACGTCGAGGTCGTGCGCGCGGCGGCCCAGCGCCAGCGCGCGCGCGTGCAGCAGCGGCGGCAGCGCCCGCAGCACGCGCCCCACCACCGCCCACTCCGCGTCGCGCGTCAGCGCCGCACACAGCGCGCGCGCCGCACGGGCCGCCGGCACCACGCACGCGCCCTGCGCACACGACTACTCAGCTTGTATCTACATATCGACGCTTGAAACGCAAACGTGACTAAGCGACAATAACTGCTTTGTACATAAATGATAGGCAATAATCATATTCGATGCCCAAAAAAATATATTTCTAGGTCTATTAAAGTCATTTAAATCCTACAGCTAGATTCGTTAAAAAAATTTTTTTTCAGGTATTTCAACTTTAAATTAGTCTAATGTAAAATTCATTCGCTTAGTCACGTTTGCTTTTCAAGCGTCGATATATAACTAGCAGACCCGGCCACGCGTTGCTGTGGCTAAGGTTTTTGTTTCTAAATAACACGTGGCCGGCTATGCGAATACCAAAAATTGACAAAGTAAGAACAATTCGATTTCACTGTATTGCGTTTACTACGAAATAAGTTTCACTTATACTTTAGCCTCAGCAACACGTGGTGTTTATACCATTACATTGTAGCTTATGTGAAACGTTGATATTTTTAACACAGCGCCATCTATAAGATATTAACGTCAGACAGTATTACAATTAATTGTCTGTAAAAACAGATTTAAGGCGCCATCTCTTTTAGACTTATGAAACTTACAATTAATAACAATAATCAACATAAGAAATAATTTTATTGTTAATTAATAAATCTTGCGACCATTAATCGAAATAAAAACCATTCTATCTTTCAAGTTGGATCAAACTGCACACGGTGTGCAAATTTAATTAAAAATCGGTTAAGTAGTTTAGGAGTCCATCGCGGACAAACAACGTGACACGTGATTTATATATATTAAGATATAGCGGCCCGCCCCGGCTTCGCTTGGCTAGTAGCGCACGCGATATAAAAAAAATTAGGTATTTTTAGCCGGAATTTTTTATAACCGGGAAAATATAGGTATTTTTTTACACACATTGGGTTACATTATTGTAGTTTTAGTAAGGATCCCTAATTTTTTTGAAAATATAATAAATATAGCCTATGTCACCCGGGGATAGTGTAGCCTGCCATCAGTGAAAGAACTTTGTAAATCGTTTCAATAGTCTTGGAGCCAATTCAATACAAACAAACAAACAAATCTTTCCTCTTTATAATATTAGTATAGAAGTATAGATTAAGGCACTTGTGAAGACTAAAAAGTACTTTACAATTTTTCAGGTATTTGTCACAATTAAAACAAGTCGCAATTAGTGAATAAAACTATTCATTGTACTAAGTAGACGAGACGGTGCGGACTAAATTAATTTAAAAAAATCTAAAACTGTTAAATGAAAACTAAATAAATGATCAAGACAAACGTTCCGCTGAACACATACCGGAGGTACATCTCTGTGTTGATGGTTCTGATGTTGCTGTCCGCGCACTCCTAGGGGCTCGACCAGTAGGAACGGAGAACATACGACGCGGGTTCGACTCGAAAACTGACCTTCAGGCAGCAAGCCGACGAAGTTAAGCGTGTTCGCCCGTAAGCAGAATATCATTTCAAATATCTGTAATGTAGTTAGTACAAATAATTATAATTAATCCTGTAGGAGTACTTAACGACGGAGGGACGATCTTCCACCGAGCGGGTGATATTGCTCGGTAGACCGATGGTCCGAATGTTTTTTATTTTTTTTTATTGCTTAGATGGATGGACGAGCTCACAGCCCATCTGGTTTTAAGTGGTTTACTAGAGCCCATAGACATCTACAACGTAAAATGCGTCACCCACCTCGAGATATAAGTTCTAAGGTCTCAGTATAGTTACAACGGCTGCTCCACCCGTACTGTAATTGTTCGGAACTTGTATATATGCGCTTTATCTTGAAAATGTCGTAAGCGAGGTTCAGGCATCTGACAAATATCTTGCGTTGTATGATGGCTACCCGCCACCAGTCCGAACGAGGTTAACAGTATGAATGTGAGTCTGGCATTGTCGGTGTCCGTTAGACACTTATAAGACGGTGGGTCGTCCGCTGACCACTTAAGCCCTTTTTTGTAGTGGTTGCTAGACATACGATCCGCAGCTACTCATCATTATCCTGCCTTTCTCCCAGTCACCTGGGGTTGGCGCAACATGTCTTCTCCTTCCATACTCCTCTACCATATACCATTTCTTCGCTCACCCCCCTCTTACACATACCGTCTTTCACGCAATCCATCCATTTCTTTTTAGGTCTACCTCTTCCTCTACATCCTTTCACATTCACAGTTAACACTCTCTTACCAATCTCATTTTCATTTCGTCTCATCACATGTCCATAGTATCCCAAACGCGCACTTCTCAACTTCTCTGTCACAGGTGCCAGTTTCAGATCCACAAATCCGCAGCTACTATCGATGAATAATATGTATAACATACTATGTACATAAAATGTGTTTTATATTGCAGTGCATTATTGCTTCAAATCATAAATAGGTATCTCACTTCAACCTCATTCCGATTATAAAAGATGTTTCTGCATCGGACAATCTGTTTGTTGAGTATAACTACAAAATTAAGTAGCTCTAACCTGCAACTCAAATTTTAAATTGAACCCAAGTAGAGTCGCGGGATACATCTAGTATTGTATCTAGTAGTATTATATAAAAGGCTTTTACGTTTGAAGTTGCGTTTTGCAATACTGGCGTTAATAATATTGTTACGCCGGTAAGAGTAACGCCATCTATCGCCGATTAGTCGAACGAATATCGAAAGATCCATGCTCGAGAATTATAACGCCATCTTTTTTTTTTATTTATTGCTTTCGATAGGCAGACGAGCTTACGGCTGATCTGATGGGAAATGATAACCGTCGCCCATAGACATCCAAAATACATTAGTGACTCAGATGCGCTGCCTATCCTGGCCTGGATGGGCAGCCTTATGTATGTTACACCGGCTATCCTGTCCTTCAGACCGGAACACAGTATTACTGTTTTTCGGCAGAAATAGACAGGACGGTGGTACCAACCCGGGCGGGCTTCTACACAGAACCCTACCACCAGTAGTCATCTATTGACAGATAGCGGAAAGTGCTACTAGAGAGGTGTGGAATATTTTCGATAATTCTAGGGGCGAGGTATACGCTATAAAAGCGTTGTAGGGATGGCACGCAGTCAGTCAGTAATCGGAATTACTCGAAGCGAAACAGCGAATTGAGAGTTTTAAAGTGTTTTAAGTGTTGAATACAGTTTTTAAGTTGTACTTTGGTGAAACTTTATTTATCCCGAACCCCAGCCCGTAACAATATTTATCAAGAAGACTAACTCTCTGTATAGTAAACGGCAAGTTCATAGGTAATATCAGAGGAAGGATCACCTTGAGGCGGATGTCGGGGTGGTGCAGGAAGAGCGCCGGGCGGCGGTAGTGGTGGTGCAGGTGGTCGAGCAGCACGATGAGGCAGCGCGCGGGCGCGGCGGGCGCGTGCAGCAGGCGCGCGCGCAGCACGTCCAGCAGCCCGCCCGCCGCCAGCCGCAGGTCGCACACCTCCGTGTCCGCCGGGATGGCCACGTCCGTCACGTACATCTCGAACGGACGGTTCAGGATCTGCAACCGCCACACGAGCCTCACCAACCCGCTGCTTACATATAACAACTCTTATTTTTTTAAGGGATTTTATGACCTGGTAACTAAGACCTTTAGGTCATATCTTATTTTTAATTATATTTTTATTTTTATGAAAAATGATAATATGGAGTGAAATGAAATTAAGATGATTAATTTGAGACATTAATCAACTGTGATGAAATTAAATGAAATCTTAGTAAAATGGTGGTCATTTACTGAGATTTTTTCAGTGCACTTTTTGGAGGATCCCGAGAAGTAACGTCCAGCGGTTTTGTTTCATTTTTCCACATTTGTGCACTTTCACAGATATTAAACAGTTAATAAACCACTGTTATTACACATTTAAACCTGAAGAAACACTAAATAGACAACATAAAACAAATCACGCAACTTCACTCCTCGCGTTCCCACCAAAAAGTCTTTCTTACATATTACAATCAAACTTCTAACTTGAAAATAAAGGCTAAAAATATTATCCTGACTGTATTTAACTATTTTTTTTATTGCTTGGATTGGTGGACGAGCTCACAGCCCACTTGGTGTTAAGTGGTTACTGGAGCCCATAGACATCCACAACGTAAATACGCCACCCAGCTTGAGATATGAGTTCTAAGGTCTCAAGTATAGTTACAACGGCTGCCCCGCCTTTCAAACCGAAACGCATTACTGCTTCACGGCAGAAATAGGCAGGGTAGTGGTATCTACCTGTGCAGACTCACAAGAGGTATTACCAGTAATTACGCAAATTATAATTATTTAAAAGCTCACCTTTTCAAGGAGATCTATGAGGTCGGTGCAAGACTCGGAGGTGCCGTTGCGCGCCAGCAGCGCCAGGTTCTTGGCGGCGGCCGCGCGCATGGCCACGTCCGCGTCCAGCGCGCACCCGCTCAGCACCGGCACCCCCACCAGCTCCACCAGCTCCTCGCCGTATACGTAGCTGCAAAACAACAGCGTCACGCCGCATAGTCACTAAGGGCGAATTTACATTACGAAACTATTTACTTTTAATGGTGGTAGGTCCTCTTGAGAGTCCGCACAGGTAGGTACCACCACCCTGCCCATTTCTACCGTGAAGCAGTAATGCGTTTCGGTTTGAAGGGTGGGGCGGCCGTTGTAACTATACTTGAGACCTTAGAACTCATATCTCAAGCTGGGTGGCGTATTTACGTTGTGGATGTCTAAGGGCTCCCACTTAACACTAGGTGGGCTGTGAGCTCGTCCACCCATACTAATTTCATAATGTAAATTCCGCATAAATGGGCCCGCAAGCGCTGGATGACGGACCCGTATCTGGTAATGAAGGCCATGATCTGGTGCAGGGCGTGCAGGCGCACGTTGAGGCGCGACTCGTTCCGGATGTACTTGTCGGCGAGGGCCAGCGCGCTCGCCACCCACTCGCTGCCCGTGGGGGACAGCGCGCCCGCCCGCTGGCTGATCAGCTGCATCGTGGACGATTCCTGAGGATGACCAACCACTAAACATATGCCCACTTAAGGGGTAGTCCTTGCATTATCTATACCTTGCATTATAAAGTCTGTGTTTATTGTTAAACGTAGGTTATTGTTTAGGCTGTGCTCAAATTGAAAATAAATTAATACCCCAAAGTAATGAATATTTTCCAAATAAGGTATGAACTAAAGGTCTCTGTCACCAGGTCATAAAAAAAAAAAATTGTTTGTCTTTAATATTATTTGTCTATAGCGTAGTCTTGGCTAAATTTGTGATTTAAGTATAATAGTGTTTGACAATAGAACCATAATAATGCTCAAACTTATAATTTCAATTAATTCTAGTCGAATTTCGAGTACTAGGGGACTGCTAGTAGTACGTGACTGACCGGGCGCTCGTGTCCGCAGCTGTCCACGAGGTCCAGCAGGGCCTCCGCGTCGCCCTTGTACTGGCCGGACTCCTGGAGTTGTTCGATCGACGTTATGATGTTGTGCAGGCGGGAGTGCATCAAGTCGTTGGGGGGGTCGTACGATTCTGTTCGACACAAATTATTCATTTAGATTATACATTTACCGGGTAAAACAGGGCTTTCCTCTTGAAGGTCTTCATCCCGAGTTATAAGTATTTCGTTTTTCTGCCTTTCAAGCAGGCGCGCTTCTGTTTCACGATTGAAGTCACTACTGAAAATTGGTAGCGATCTCTATTCATAGTGTGATTTCTGCCACTAGTAATGATATTTTTTTTATAAATTAGATTTCTAAGCGATGTTCTCTTCTATCAAAAGTCATTCATAAACGCGTATGTAGTACATATTTACTTTATCTTCATCTCTGATCACCACGTATCTTCCTATTAAGCCACGGCTCTACCACTGCACGGCAAGTGTGGCGCGATTAGTCTCGACAAATTAGAGTGTGTTACATTAGTGAGTAAAGTAGGGTAGTCAGATATTAACTGTCGAGCTGCAGCAGGGTTCGCACGATCCTCAGCAGCACGTCCCAGGCCGGCTCGTAGAGCTCGTGGGGGGCTCGCGTGACCACGCTGGCCACCCCCACCACCACCTCGTACGCCACCACCGCCTGGCGACCCTCCAGCGCCTGAAACATTTCTCTTATTACATGTCCTTAGCCCAACAATGTTTTTGTTTCTAGCAGCGCTGGAGCTAAATATTAACATTGTTAATGCTCTGTGCAATCTAGTCAATCAAAGAGTTCTACTGACTATTTTTTGGTTTCACTAAAATATCCCTTGTTTCATTTCTATCAAAAAGTTTTTTTTGGTCTATATTGCTTTATACTTTCTGATATTATTAAAATGAAATTACTTTTCATAGTAAAAGTTTTTTGGCCACGACAGCATAAATTTAAAGATGAATTTGAAAAAAGTTTTTTGCCATAATTTCGTTTTTAAATAATGTTCTCTTTTATGATTTTCGGTTGAAACAAATTTTACTTCTGACACCTGTACTGAGTTAAAGAATTACATTGTTGGTTTGGTTTGATTGGTTTACATTTCTCATTATTTTAATCAAATGTGGAATGGCACGAGTGATGACTAGCTCCCACTAAAAATTATTACATATATCAGTGGATGACAGCAAAATACAAACCTTCAGAAAGGCCGGTAGGACGGCCAGAAATGACACCTTGAGCGTGGGCACACGTTGCGGCCCCCACAGTGCCATGTTGATATAGAACACGGCGCCCCTGGCAGCCCCGGCCTCCGCCCCCGACTGCAGCAGCGACACCATCTGCTGCACGGCCGCCGGACCGATGTCTCCGCCCACCACGTACCGCATCAACTGACCGACATAATCATTTATTTATTACAAGAGATGGAATTTCTCTTGGATAGATATCTCAATTCGAAGCGCTTGTGAAAATTTGATTTGAAAAACTTAAATGCTTGCCAAATATTTTATGGGTACAAATGAAACGAATTAAAATATGCCATTTATATGCAAGAAGGAAAACAATATGTTTTAGTAGCAGGGATCAGATCCCGTAGACCACAACGTCAATATTGTCATCACCTTGAGTTGTGACGTCAAGGCTCAACTGTTTTTCAATAGCACTTATCCCATCCATCAAACATGCACGATTGGTTCGAAGCAGAAATAGGAATGCAAGATTAATAAAGGCAATGGACTCAAGATTGCGATATCTCTTATGTAATGGGTAAGGGGGAAAGATACACATACCTACTGACCTACATAAACTGATTTCATTATTTATTTTTTTGCTTATATGGGTGGACGAGCTCACAGCCCACCTGGTGTTAAGTGGTTATTGGAGTCCATAGACATCTACAACGTAAATGCGCCATCCACCTTGAGATATAAGTTCTAAGGTCTCAGTATAGTAACAACGGCTGCCCTACCCTTCAAACCGAAACGCATTACTGCTTCACGGATGAAATAGGCAGGGTGGTGGTACCTATCCATGCAGACTTACAAGAGGTCCTACCACCAGTAAATCAAACGTACCTTCCAACTGTTTTGACAGTAGTGTTCCATGTTGACAGTCCGGCACAGAGCACCGACAAACGTCGGCAGGGACGCCCGGGGCAGCAGCGAGTACGACACGACAGCCTCGAGCAAGGAGAGGCACTGCTGCACAACTGTCACCTCCGGGGAATATACGCACAAGTGGCATGCGTTGCTGAGGAATTTCAACTTTAATTAGACTTTAAAATGTGAGCTTCTTCTTCTATATCATTCCCTCACTACTGAGGATCGCGACCACATGTGACGTTCTTCCACCGTGTTCGATCATGGGTGACATGGACTGCCTTGTACAGACTACCACCAAGTGCTTCTCTTACTTAGTCTGACCATCTGGCTGGTGTTCTGCCCACGGCGCGCTTGCCCTCTATGCGACCCGTAATTATGAGCTTACGGATCATTTAATATTAATTGGGCACCTTCTCACACGGAAGTCAACGTCATCATACCATACAGAGGAAAACCACGGCCTGGCATTACATCCTACCTATGACATATCCTTCTTCAAATGAGGTTTGTGGAGAGTACTTAACGGTAGGCAGCGGCTTGTCTCTGCCCCAGGCATTGCTGAAATCCATGGGCGACGGGACCCACTCGCCATCAGGTGGGCCGTACGCTCGTCTCCTTACACGGGCAATAAAAAATACCTATTCGTCGGTGGCCTAAGGGCCTATTCCAACTACGCTATGTCTAATAAGTTAGCTCACAGGGCTTTGCAGATTTTTTTATTTTTTGAATTTTTATTGCTTAGATGGGTGGACAAAATCTACCACCAGATTTGAATTGCGACCCCCTGAGAAGGTTCAGCGAGAAACTCAGTGAGTTGTATTCATAAGTTAGAGACTATTAGAGATCTGCCTTCTTAGATGGTGATTTAAAATTAAAGTATTGTTTCAGAAAATTTTATTAAAATAATCTTGATTTCGAAATAATTTATGAGTCCTTGAGAGATATTTCTGTTTATATACCAACAACTAAACCAATTAAGACCTGATGAGCTGGGTTATCCATTTTACAATTTAAAATAAATGTAAATATTTCTTTATAGCAAGCTGCATACTTGACAATTCCATGTACAATGTGTTCGTCCAGATATGTAGCATTGAATTTTACTACATTTACGATTAGCTGTAAAAATTCAACTGTATTTGATGGTGTCTGAATTTGAGGCAGCCATTCCAATAAGAACTCTCCAATCTGAAATCAATTATTATCACTGGAAATTAGTGAAATGTTTACAAATATGTATTTGTAAATGTGTACTACAGCTGTTTTGAGTGCTGTTTCACTGAAATCATGCTCAGAGAAGCAAAAAATTGAAATATATATTCACACTGTCAATTTTTTAGATTCTCATCACTTTCCATTTAAATGTAGCAATGTGTATCTTTTTCTTTTTAGCCTAATAGCAGCATCCTATGAAGCCCCTTTCTATAAAGAGAAATATGTAGGATATATGAGATTCCAATGAAACAAAGTCACAGTTTTCCCTCAGCTAACTGCATTGATTGAACAAAAAGAATAAAGATTATTTTTTACTTACATCCACTTCAAAACAATTAATATTTTTCCCGCTATTAGTCAATGTATAGAGTAGTTTAAAGCGTAATTGATAGTCGTCTGGCGGATGAGACGGGTGTGTCTCCCTTAGGAATTTGAAGAAAATTGTCCTCATTATTTGTAGATCTTCTGCTTGTCCTTCAGCGATACATCTCATGAACCCCAGGGCTGTGTGACGGGCTTCGGTATTATCCGTGTAGAGGAGGTCTCGAGTGCAAGACCATAACTTTTCAACACCACCCTATTGAGAAAATGTAAATGTTCTTGGCATCAAGTATATATTCCTTACTGACGGTGGATCTCCACACTACTACTCCCTTGCCTATCATTATTGGCAAGGGTGTTATTCAAATTTTTATGCTTTTGTGGCTTTTTCATAGGCTCAGATAGTCACATCATTCAGATGATAAGGATTACATATTAAAGATGGAAAATTTCAGTAATGGCAATTCAACACAATGTTTTCATTCAATTCAATAAATTCACAACCCATATAGCATATCTTACCAGCAATTATGCAAATGATTATTAAATTCTATATATATACTCATTGTACATAACAGGAAATACTATAGTCATTAAATACTAATAAGTCATCTGTGAGGGCCTTAACTATGGACTAGGGGGAAGGTATTATAGATGGTACTCTTTTCTGTTCATCTGGATAGCAAAATGCTTTCGATGAAAACTTCTATTTTTAAATAATTTTAATTACAAAGTAATCAAATTGACCTACCCATGTGGATGAGCTCACAGCCCACCTGGTGTTAAGTGGTTACTGGAGCCCATCTACACTTATATGTGCCACTCATCTTGAGATATAAGTTCTAAGGTCTCAGTATCGTTACAACAGCTGTCTTATCCATCAAACCAAACACATTACTGCTTCACGGCAGAAATAGGCAGGGTGGTGGTACCTATCCGTGCCAAATCACAAGAGGTCTTACCACCAGTAATTATGCAAATTTTAATTTTGCAGGTTTGATTTTTATTACATGATGTTAATCCTTCACAGTGGAAGTCAATCGTGAACATTTGTTAAGTACGTATTTTATTAGAAAAATTGGTACAACCTGCAGATTTGAACACCGTTGCATTGATTGATACGAATGCATTCAATTTGCATTCAGTGCAATTTAGTGATGTTGTTAGTAGATATGTACTAACCTCTGCATATCTGTATGAGTTATAATAAAATTCATACAGAACTAACTTGGTCCTTACTGAGTGGCAACCTGACAAAACCGGTTGGTAAAGTACTAAGGTAAGTATCATTTCTTTTTTTAATTAGGGAGTTGTTTGTAAAAAGTGTCAATTGAGTGATTGTAAAAGCAAATAGCATGCTGCAATTAAATATTATTCGAGAAATGATTTATTTTATGATCAGTGACAAAGTTTCATTATTTTTCTTCCTTTTTAATAATGCAAACATAAAATTATGTTACAAATTACATAGTAATTAGTCATAAGGATGTGTACAACAAAATGTTGTGAACTGATTTATAGTGTTTGTTTCTCAATAAATTAATGTTTAATATGAATTATTGGAATTTTTATTATTCACTATTTTATGGATGGGAAGTATATTTGTTATTTTATGGAGGAGTGCAGCAGTGGAACAATTTGATTTCAATATAACAATTTAGGGCCCTTAGTCATGTTATAAAAATAATGTAGGTGAATACCAAAATTAGCAATCTGTTGAAATTGTTGTTTTTTTAAATAATTATTATGTTTTGATTCAACTAAAGTTGTTGCATAGGATAGAAAAGATTATATGAACAAAAACAAAATGAAGGTAGATTTAAGAACTCACGTCTTCCACGCGTCCCTGAATGACCTTGTCGCCAACATCCTTCATGGCACGGAGCCGTCGGTGCAGCGGCGTTTCGACGCTCAACTCATGAAGCACCTCCTTCGACACCAGCTCGCTGCGAGCCGCTAGCGGCGCTGTACATACGCCCAGATTCAACATATTACACCACAAAACCCGAAACACACCACAGCCACGTTCCGAATACCATAACACACGCGCAGTACTCACCCGATGCACCTTTCTTGAAGAACACTTTCAGCTTGTCCTGTAGCGATTTCGAGTCCCTGTCCCTAGACCCCATTTTGCATGGACACCGGTTTTGTATATAAACTCTTAATACACTACAGCTTACGGCTAGCCGCGGCGATTACCTAAGTGTTTGATAAAGCGAATAAAAAGACATATTTATTACAAAATATTCTCACTACCGCTCCTGCTTTGCTATTCACCATTTGACAGATTCTCAGCCGATGTACTTACAGCTGACAGGCGGCCATTCAACATAGACATGAGCCATTCTGAACGAAACACAAACAGNAACTCTTAATACACTACAGCTTACGGCTAGCCGCGGCGATTACCTAAGTGTTTGATAAAGCGAATAAAAAGACATATTTATTACAAAATATTCTCACTACCGCTCCTGCTTTGCTATTCACCATTTGACAGATTCTCAGCCGATGTACTTACAGCTGACAGGCGGCCATTCAACATAGACATGAGCCATTCTGAACGAAACACAAACAATTTCAATTTTTGTTTTAAAATTTGCCAGGCAGTTTTACGTTAGATCTAAATATCATACTTAAATTATCAATTTGGACCAAGTTTGTGGATCAATGAAGAGCAACTATTAAATTCAAAGAAAAAATTTACGTTAACAATTTGACCTAATTATTTTTGAACGAATCGCAGATGGAAAATTTCCTTTGTGTTTTGAGCTCGTTAGTGAAGACAAAAACAAAGGCATCGTTTGTATTTTGTGTTATCAACACGAGACATTACATCCTTTGATTTTTCATCCATATCACTAGTAAATTAAATTAACATTCTTCATTTCAACTTCACGCTGTAAGAGTTAGCGTGTATTTTGCAATAGATGGCACTACTAGTACCTAAAATAGGAAGGGCTAAATATAAATTGAGGATACGAGTATGTAGGCTATATTGCAAATATTTTGATTTCATATGAATCTCATTCTTTAATAATTTTTAATAACTTTCAATTTCTCTCTCATATTCAATTTAATATCTTGTTGAAAAGATTTTTGTTTCCAAGTTTTTTATTTTCAAAATCTAATGTCCCCGAAAGAGATTGTATGATGGTAGCAAACGCCTTTTTTTTCGGGCAGTGGGTCGAACCACATACGAGCGGAGCACGCGGGATATGTGGGATTTGACGGTCTGCAGATATTGTGAGCAAGCCGCGGGCCCAAGGATATGTTTAGGGCCCGCGAAACCCACCACGACTCCCCTTTCGCACTCACACCCGACGTCTGTTCTCCGTAGAAAGTTGAATGATACAGTAGAGGGGTAAATGGTAGCCAACCCAACCTAACCATTTGTCATCAGGGGGACCGTAACTATACTTGAGACCTTAAAACTTATATCTCAAGGTGGGTAGCGCATTTAGGTACGTTGTGGATGTCTATGGGCTCCAGTAACCACTTAACACAAGGTGGACTGTGAGCTCATCCACCCATCTAAGCAATAAAAATTAAATAAAAAAAAACTCGTCAAATTAATAAAAGGCAAATTTGATATAAATTTCAAGTAAGCAATAGTATGGTATGGCAAGCAAAGGTATGGTATGGTATGTTGGCATATTGGAGCCCTCACCAAGTCGGGCCTCGTTTCTCGTGTCCTCTCAAGAAAAGTACAATACCGCATGTTGTATTGTTTATGAAATCGGGCAACAGCTCACAATCAGATTAACCAAAACATCGGCTGCCCATCTTTACTAATATAATACGTAGTAAAAATGTTTTAATGTACTTTTTTTGTTATTGACTATAATGAACGTGCAGACGACTCATTCAACGCTTACTGGAGCCAATGATCATCACAAATAGCTAAAACGGTGGATTCGGTCAAAATAGAAAACCACTCACGCGGTCTTCCATAACGATCTATGAGAGGTCAGTACAGTCTATGGTAGTGTAGGGGAATGAGACCCCGCCCTGCTTAGCTTACTATGCAGTTATTGTGCATATAGTAATGAGCAGTTTGGGGAGCTTAACGACAAAGGGAAGATCTTCCACCGAGCGGATGATATAGCTCGGTAGACCGACGGTCCGAATGTTGTTGTTCGGAACTTGTATATATGCGCTTTATCTTGAAAATGTCGTAAGCGAGATTCAGGCATCTATCAATTATCTTGCATTGTATGATGGTTACCCGCCACAAGCAGCATACGTTAGTCAGTCAGTGGTCAACGTGCAGCGATCCACCGCGGTCCTGACGCGAATAAACATGTAATTATACGTAGTGTTTTATTGACCGCACCGATGAGGTTTATGGAGGACAACACGCAACACACAACCAGCGCACACGCCTCCTCCTCTATCTTCTCCCTATGAACCTCACAGTAGTAAGATAATTATTTTTATTTTACATAAGAACGAACGAAACCGAACTAGAGACCCACAATTACGTACAAGTGCGTGTAATAGTTTGTAATCTGGCACGGGTGTGACGTGGGTCGGCAATATGCTCTCACCTGTGTGACACGGACAGGCGCTCACAATCAACGGGTTCGCCCCCCTAAATACTTGCTTGACGGCTATTTATTGTAAAAGAACTTAAGCTTGAACAGGACCGGACTTGTAGTTTTTATTTATTTATTGCTTAGATGGGTCGACGAGCTCATAGCCCACCTGGTGTTAAGTGGTTTCTGGAGCCCATAGACATCTACAACGTAAATGCGCCACCTATCTTGAGCTATAAGTTCTAAGGTCTCAAGTATAGTTACAACGGCTGCCCCACCCTTCAAACCGAAACGCATTGCTGCTTCACGGCAGAAAGAGGCTGGGTGGTGGTACCTACCTGCGCGGACTCTCAAGAGGTACTACCACCAGTAATATAAATTTAAGTAATAATGTTTTATAGAGGTTTTATTCATTGCAGATTACCAGTAAATCCGTTTTGGATAACAGTTGTAAATTATCAGATTAATGAGTACTTGTGGGAGCAACTATCTCCCTCGCACGCCCTAAGTTGATCGAGTGGCCGTGACTTCAAAAGTTTCTTTGTTATTTAATAAACAACTACCCGCCCGCCAGTTTTGAAAAGTCTCTCCTTATTTATTGTTTTTTAAAATTATTTTAATTTCTCTTTATTACAGAAATATAAGGATTTTCATTAATAAAGTTGAGTAAGTGTACGTAATGTAATGATAATATTTTATACTAGGCATTTTTTTTATTATCATTAACTCATAGCTATTTGACTATTTATTACATTTTTTTTCTCCCAAGTGCCTGCCGCAAAGGCTGATTTAATTAGCAGTCCCTCGATCTTATTATTATGTTACCTATTCATTATATATTTTTAAATGATTTCTGTAGCTGAATTTTGACACCAGTACATTATCGAGTTTTATATATTGAACACGTAAAATTCGCCTCCGCGTTCTGCGTCCAACCCTCAACCCCGTTCGACCGCACATATTGTTCACGAGCTCTCCACCAGCCGCTTTAGGTACCCGTAACAGCCCTTACAAATGGCGTAACACCTCAATTTGTCACGTAATTCTATTCGAAATATTGAAGCTACTGTATTGTACTCAAAATATTCGGACAGCAACATTCAATAGGTATTGAAAACGGTCCCAAAACTTTGCGTATAATGAAACGTGCCTGAAATATTCAAACAAGTTCGGTTGTATAATGTGAGAGTTGGTGACAGTCCGCGTCGGTAAATTCTTTTGAGGACATCTTTATAGTTGTTTTTGGAAATGCTCTGTCTGTTACACTTTCATTCATTGTAGTACATTCAGTTCTGTACTCTTCAGTTCAATACTGAAAAAGACGATAGAACTAAGTAATTTAATTTTAATTTCATTGTATTGTACACATCAAAAATGTTTGCATCAAAAGTTTCATTTCACTGATTTGATAGTAGCTGGAAAGAAACTCCTGTCGGAGTTAAGCTTATCTTTGTGTATACTTTTTTCGTTGTAGATTATTTAAAACAAAAAAAAGGAAAGCCGACTTAACCTAATAGGTATAGGTATGGATGTAATAAAGAATAAAAAAAAAATTATCTATTATCTATATATAAAAATGAATTGCTGTTCGTTAGTCTCGCTAAAACTCGAGAACGGATGGACCGATTTGGCTAATTTTGGTGTTGAATTATTTGTGGAAGTCCAGAGAAGGTTTAAAAGGTAGATAAATATGAAAATGTACGTAATTAAATAAAAATAACAATTTTGTTTTCCCTTTGATGTGTACCCCGTCGGATGGATTCCTTTTGTTTGTTTTAAGTTTATTTTATACAAAAGTTTAGGTCTTTTATTTATCGATCGAGGTACTACGAAGTCTGCCGGGTCAGCTAGCTTATGATAAATATTATAAGTCATATTTTCAATGGAATTTATATATTTTTGATTTGTCTTACATATTTGGTGTTCCTTAATATATGTCGATTTTAGTTTTGCTTGGGTAGAACAGTTTTACTAATCACTAATTCCGTTAATGACATAAATCAATATCTTGTCTAAGGTACTGATTATGCACCTCTCATGTACTTATTGATAGTAGGTACTAAATATTCACATAAATTGATCGAAGGAGATGTTGTTTCCGTGATAAACTATTCACTAAACGTTAAGCACAGGAGAATACAAAACATGAATTAGTTTTGGAATTAAGTTTACTTAATGAAATTAAACATGATGAATAAATCTAGTCTATCTAAAAAAACTGTAGTCTGGTTCGTTTTGGTTTTTTAACTTCATGAATATGTAACATGAGCCAGTCTGGAGTTTTTTAACGGATGCTGTCGAATACTGAAAATATTCAGGGATGTGTAAAAATAACTTTGGCTTAGCTGAGGTAATGACGCTTAAAAGTTTGCTTGCTGTCAAACGAGTCGACGGTAGACCAGACCTACCAGTTGGTGTTAGTATTCTATTTTATTGTAGATTTTTTTTAGAACCAAATGTGGACAAGCTCACCTGTATGACGTTCAGTGATCCTGGGTCCATAGACATCGCAGCGTGATTTCCGCAGAGGTGGAAGTCCTAATGCCATTTGTTATACAGTTTTTATACCCGTCGGGCCGGAACGCATGTATTTATTTCAGAAATTGGTAGGATGGTGGTACATACCCGTGTGATTATGTAATGTGCCGTACCACCGGTAATGTGTATGAATGTATGGCTGTTGTATGAATGTTTTTGGTTTTTTTTCATGAGTTATAAGGTATCAGTATTGTTACAACGGTT